ATTTTTACTAGCAGATGCATTCAGTATACCACTATAGATATTCCAGCTGCTGGTGATGTCTATAGAATATAGGCATACACCTCTTCATTTTGTAATGAATGTAGTTGTCACTGCAGCTCATTCATCCAATTTTGTTACCATGCTGTAATTTTGTTACAGAAACATCATACAGCATAGAACTTTACTAAGACTTAACCATATTTTACTCTGGGGTCTGTGTCATTGTATAAATTTTACAATATATATTCATTTTTCAGCCATTTTCACTACATTTATTCTGGCACCTGGTGCTTGCATCAAAATGATACCTCAGAAGGATGCTAATAGTAGCCTAGTATAAGATTTGTATATACACTATCTGGCTAGGTACAGTGGTTGTGTATATACGGAGGGATTATAACACCCCTTTGTAGTGTTGTGCGTTATTTTTGGCGGCCACTGTATATGCGCCGTTCTTCTGCCTGACCTGCAATCCTCTATTCATCGCAGCGAATGAAATCGAAAAATTTGAGCTTAAAATTTCACGCCCGCAGAACCACATCCACGAGGACAGCAATCGCGGAGTGCAGCGAAGCGGCCTCTTGTTCAGGGTTAAAAAGCAGGCCGAAGTGTATACTCAAAATATCATAGGAAGTAAAGTACAAGCCGTCAACGTCAACGGATATACCAGAGTGCGTCATCGTGGCGATGACAACGACCGATCAACGAAGTTACGCCCTCCTAATCGACATCGATCTTAAAGCTGGTCACCTGGGGTAGGTACGCGGCGCCCGCAAGCTCGAGCATATGGACGTCGTCGTAGACTTCACTGCCGTTGAAGCCCCCAATCACGAAGAGCCGGCTATCGGCAAGGAGCGATACGTGATAACCTCGCGCAGACGGTGCGCGACCTGCGATGGTACGATGCTCGTATGTCAAGGACACTGCAGCAGAGCATATTCAGTAATGTTTGCATGATTGGGAAGTACAATATAGCGCACCGAGGTTGAACAATAGAAGCTCGGAGGTGTACGATGTGCCGTCGTGCCCACCCCAAATTAGGAGGTATGAGCCAACCTGGGTCGCAGCGTGCGATAACCGTCGATACATCTTGTTCAAATTGACCCTGCTCCAGTTGAGTGACTCTGCACGAACTCAGTATCACCAATTGCTTCAAAGTGCAGACATGGACGCACCAAGGTTCAAACACCATATATCCGAGAAACACTCCCGCCCGTCGCTTCCACCAACGATGACCATCACGTTGCCGACGAGGTTCGCCGTGTGGTAGCCCCTTGCAGTGGGCTTGCGTCCCCGTGTCTGTACAAGCTCCCACTTCATCCTGTCCATATTCGCAGAGCCGCTGGCCTCGAGTGTCCATAGGTCGTTCAGTGCCATGCTGCCATTGCCACCTCCAAAAACCCATATTTTGCCGCGCCAGAGCACGGCAGTATGTGCACGTCGTGGTGGCGGAAGTACCATTGTTGGCGGGAAGCTCGGGCGAGACCATCGACGAGCGATCGTGTCAAGGACGAAGACGTCATTGTAGTAGTACGGGCCCTCGCCACCGCCAATCATGACCAGTCTGTGTTCGACAGGGGTCGCAGTGTGTGCTCGGCAAGGCGGAGGAATGTCACCCAGAGTACTGGGATAGGTCCACTGCATCGTCTCTGAAATGCAAGGTCGGCCTTATCCCAGCATGGAGCAATGGAACCCTTACCTGTGTGGAAGCACCAGACGTCTCTCCAGCATCCTTTCTCATCGCAGCCTCCGTATATCCATGCGACGCCGTCCACCAGAGTCGCCGTATGTGCCCGTAGTCCGTGTGTTGGGAGGTAGCCATATACAGGGGCCTTGCCCCAGTACATCAGCGTTGCTGGAGCGGGTTCACAATCTCTTGCGCTTGGCATACGAGGTGCCTCCCTGTACCGCGGCTTGGGTGGAACGCCCTTCTCCATGGCTGACACCTCCTCAGAATCCTTATCCTTTGCATCCTTCGAGTTCTTCGCGTCTCTTCTGTCACGGTCGCGTTCACGCTTCTCGCGAATCGTCGCACCCGACGGGCTCTTGGACCGCGCCTTGCCCTTTGGAGTTGTCCCATTCGACCCGCTCGTGGCGCTGCTCGTCATCATGCCCGCGATACTGGGTGCTGTAATGCTTATTTTGTCGCTATCGCGTTCGCGTACGCTCTCCTGGCATCGATCTCTGTCCCGATCGCCAGCGGACTGGGCCAGCTGTTGATGCTGCGCGTGTACCGCGCGGAGGCTGCTGCTGCTCGCGACACGGAGGTTCGACGGGTTCCGAGGTCCTGCTGGACTCTTCGCGGCGGACGCCACGCTCCCGAGGCTGCTGGTGCTCGCGTAACCTTTAAACGCGGCGGTGCCCGCGTGCATATATGGGCTTGTGGTGCGACCGGGCGGTGTCACTGTGCCTGATGGTTCTTCAGGCACATCTGACAAGTGACCTGGGCGTGGGGAGTCGAGAATCGGAGATGGTGTCGTGGAAGCGGACGGAGAACGAGAGTGCTGCATGTTGCTTTACGACGCGATGTATTCGATTTGCAGATATTGGAAAGAAAGTGGAGGACAGAGATGATCCGAATGAAGGGTATGCGAGTTGTCAAGACGCCAATGCGTCAACGTATGAGTTGTCCTGTGATTAAAGACGACGCGACCGAATAATCCCTGAGAGCATGTATGAGTACGAGCAACCTCTGCGGCAGCCTGAAAGTCCTATTCGTGTATGAGGTAGCGATCGTACCGAGAGCAAGATCCAGCGACAACTAGCAAAGCGTATCCCTATGCTCCGACCGTACCGAGTATAGTATTCAAAATGACAAGGATAAACGCGGCCCAGTCGTCTTACATGCGTGCATGTTCATCAGCTCTCTCCCCGTATTTCAGAGCAGTACTCACCCAAGTAAATTGACGAACGACCACGTGCTATGCACAGCCGACGGGTACGTAGGTTCAGGAGGATAGCCAATTGCCTTGAATCCAGCCCACAATAGTCAAGATGATGGTAAGACGAAAGTCGTGAGACCACAGCCGTTCGGGACGAGCGGATTCGGCGCCTATGCAATCACACATCGAAAGACGGGGAAATTCTCCTGCATTTAATTTAGCTCTGCTAACTAGCTAGGAACGCATGCGTTACCTAAGGTGCTGAAACGAAAGTGGGGTGTAAGATGAAAACCAAGACGAATACATGCAAGCTCCAGGTCTTGTATCAAAAGCTATCAAAGCATAACCAGTCGAGGCAAAGCAAGACTACTGTACAGACGCGTGGCAAGAGAGGAACAGAAGCGGGGAAGGGATAGTCAGCGTTTAGAGCCTGAGCCGGCGTATGCGCCTGCTCTTCTGCTTCTGGTTACCGCCCTTGTTGCCTGCAGCACCCTTGCCAGCAGCAGCAGGAGACGGTGAAGCGGCTGTGGGACCGCCTACGCCAGCAGCAGCGGGAGACGCTGAGGCAGCGGTGGGGCCGCCTACGGTGCTACCAGTAGCAGCGGGAGATGCTGTTGCCGCTGTGGCGCCGCCTACGGTGTTGCCACTGGCAGGCTGGCCATCGTCGGTGACGGTGAACTTAGTGGCGTCGCGTTAGCATAGGAAGGGCCGGAGACAAACGAACACTCACGTAAATTTGGTCGTCCAACGAACCGTGCTGTGCAACTGCGACGATTACTGGCGCATGGTTCGCGTTGGTGTTGATCGACGCCATACGGTAGGTACCTGTAGGGATACCGCTGGTGACATTGGCGGTGAGTATCCCATTCGCCGCGGGGGCGTTGAGGCCTACGAAGAACGCGAACGCGGTTGGGTTGGTCGGCGTTGTGCTCGTAAGCGAATCGATAGCCTCGATGACGATGTGCGAGTGCCCTATGATATCGCCCTGCGTGTTCACCGCTTGCGGCGCCGCGAGGAAGTTGGTGTCTGGGTTCACGAAATTTCCCGTATCGAGATTGTTGATGTTCATCTGAACCGTGAACGACGTATTGGCTTTGAGCGTCGCCAAGTTCGTCGGGAAGACAAACTTGGCTGAGGGCATATTCGTTGTTGCGGCAACCACACCTATTGGCGCAGGGTTACACGAGCCGGTCTGGATCTGCTGGCCATTGGTTATGGGAAGGTTGGGGACGGTCAAGCAGTAGTTGATGAAGTTGTTGCTAGACGTGAGGGAGGCGACTTGACCGGCTGTAGGTGTTTGCTGGCCGTTACTCTCGAAACCCGTGGCGATGACCCGGGGATCAAGCGTGAGCGAAGTCTGAGGGTCGCTACTATTGCTGCTAACCGCCGGGGGATTAGAGGCCTGCGAGACAAATCAGTTTGTCGTCACCAACGAGTAGCAGGCGTGCACTTACAGCAGCGGCGGAGGTGCTCGCGGGAGCTGCGGAAGAGACGCTCGCGGAAGCAGCACCGTTACCGGCGGCACCGCCATTTCCAGCGTTGTTGCCACCCTTGTTGGCGGCGCCGTTGCCTCCTGCCGCAGAGCTAGCGGCGGCGGCGGTGACGGCAGCGCTGGCAGTGCCTGCCGCGGCGGTCACAGTGACTGTTTGGATGGCAGTCTGCGGGGGGGAGGGCAGGTTAGACGAAGCGAGGGCACGGCAGAGTTGTGTACTCACGCTACACTGAGCAGTGTCGTCATTGCCCTTGGCAGCTTGACCGTTCGAACCTTTACCACCGGAACCGCCGGAATCGTTCGCGGGCGCAGCGAAGGCCGACGAGACAAAGAAGAGGTAAAGGAAGGCGACCAGAACAGACTTGGAGAACATCTTGACTGGCGAGGACTTGCTTTCTAAACAAATGAACAACCGGTGCTTGGGAAATGAAAGAAGTGCTTTGATAGCTTGCTGGGATGCACAGATCCTTGGAGAAGAAGGAACGGAAGCGACACCGGGTCGAGGTACGCACGAAGCACTAGGCAACGGCCTGAGAGCGAGAGCAAACGCAGGAGAAGAGGGAGGAAGGGGGAGGTGAAGAAAGGTCTCTGAGTCCTACGAGCCTTATTCTTATACCATCTTGCCTCGATCGCCGTGCTCATGGGCGCATGTGGTAAAACCGGACTGCCGTCGAGGATTATTCTTTCCGCGGCCTTAACAACTGCCGCGCCAGAGAACGAGGCCGATGTTGTGCTTATGGTCAGGAACAACAACAACCCCTGGTCGTCAAGGCATGTTTGCAACATCTAGTCTTTATGCCGATTGCTCGGTAGTCATGGGGACTTGCCAAATTCGCGTTCAATGCTGCTCTCGACAGTCTGCACTAGTAGGCGCTCTTAAGAATACTATTATCTTGAGCGTGCAGCTAGACAAAGAATGGTCGTGGAGCATAACTCCAGCTATGTAGCAGCCGCAGGCGTGAGTATTGCGACAGTTGCTCGGGCCGGGCTCCCCATAATCGGAACATTGTGATAGTTGTTGCCACAAAGACACCGTCAGAATGTCAGAGTACCGCTCGAAAGATCTCTGCTGATTGAGCAGCACGTTTGAGCTTGTCTCAGTATGACGCTCTCCAGCGAAAAGCCAAGTATAGCTCCTGCGAGACTAAACGACGAGCGGTGGTTGGTTCGTGGGCCGAGACTGAAAGGTCTGAAACAGAAAACAAGGAGACGTCGCCAACAGGGTACAGAATCGGCACCATCGCAAATCTTTGCGTTCCGCTACTTGACTCTAGACACGCCTGTGAACAAATGGTGCAGCCATCAAGACCGTGACACTGACACGACACAATCTGTCCAATCAACCTTCCTCGTCTTTCAACACGATCGCGGCTGACGGCTTGGTGTAGGGCGAATGCAGGACGTCCTTCAGCGGCGCCACGAACGAACTCCTGCGGCTCCTGGAAGCTGCTCCGCGTGACCAGAATATCCTGCACTCGGATTGCCGGAGTGAGTCCGGTGTACAACGTCCTGATGGCAGATCCAGCACGCCAAACGGACAGAAGGACGCTATTGATGTCTTCTGCTTAGTGTACAATGTACATATAGGAGGCGAGCCGAAGACACGGTGCTGAGAAACCAAGACAAAAGTGGTTAAATGAGGCCCCATTTATCCTCGGTTGTACGCCGAGGAAAATCGAGAAAATTGGTACACAACCGGTCAGGAGAGTCTAAAACGTGGTAAACTCTTGCAGTGCAAAATTTTGTCTTCCACTTTTCTCATGATCGGGTGGAAGCCAGAGAGACTTAAATATTAAATCCTTATCAAGCTTGCTTTCGACTGATCTTGCAGGGGGAAACCTGCGTCCTGACGGTAGGACGCGTACGCAGGGAGGCTAACTTAGCGTTGAGCTGTAGCGCATCAGTTGCCTCCCGCTATTGTGCGCAGAGAGTAACCCTGCGCCATTAACGAAGCCTTCGAAGCTGTATGATTAGGATCATCGAATTGCAAGGAATGACCGATTTGTGCAACTCATGGACGTGGACGGGTGGTACATACGGCAGATAAACTTAAGAAGGCATACAAAAAGATGAAAAGAGTGTTTCAAGGGAGAATCGAGCCACCGACGGGTCGATGGCATCGACCCAGGTTACCACTACCCCACTAATTCATGACTCAAGTCACAGCGCAAAGTCAAGTGGCTGGCTACGCACTCTCAGGTCGCGGGTACAGTAGGCAGATAAATGCGCACGGATCTACCATCATAAAATTTCGCACACGCAGAATATACTTGCGCCGAGAACTACGAACTCGGCTGCAGCATCGGAATCTGTCCCATCTTCTCATACGCCCTGAACAAGTTACCTGCGACGGTGGGATCAAGCGTGTCCGCCGCGATACGAAGGTTGTGCTCCGCGAGTTGCGCACAGATTTTGCTGTATCCCTTGTCGCGGTTGATGTATTCGGCAAGGAAATTCGGATCACCCTTGCATTGCAGCACACGCGTGCGCGTTTGCGCATCGAGTGGGTCGTCCAGCACCGTGATGAACGGCATCAGCGGCACGTCGCCTGGGCCCATCTTGCCGACAGACTTGACCATGTCAGGCAAAATCTCGACGATGCGTTCCAGGGTGTAAATATTGATGCGGCTGATCTAAGGAGCGGATGTCGTGATCACTTTACGAATGTATACAGAAGGGTGACCATACCACGAAATCTCGCAGCTTGTCAGTGTGTGGCTTGGTATTCGGATGCGTCCATATTGCGGTGCTGGACATTAGATTTTCAGTACTTTCAGCATTGCCTTCGCTGGCATGCGCTCGAAACGACTCACCAATGCGTCTTTGCCCTCTCGGGATAATTCGCTAGGTCAAGCGATACAAGTGCGAACTCGACGAGCGTTGGGCGCCATGTGTCCATCCACTTGCTGAACTTCTTGCCCATATCAAGAATGCGGCGCTCTTCGGTGCCCATTCCAGGTTCCCTCAGCAGGCTGCCTGACGCGTCAATGGCGTCTACAGGTTTCATAAGACCATGATGGGGGATGCAGCTGTCCTTGTGCGCGAGTTTCCAGTGCGCTCGTTGGCAATCCGTAGACTGGAGAAACACAAGCTCCTGGTCTGGGGTACTCGACATGTGGTGAAGTAGAAACACGTACGCAGTAGGTCGTAATCCTACAATAATCCAGTGAATCAGTCAGCTATGCTCTGTTGCCAGGGTATCTTGGGTTATTCCTCTCGTCTTTTCCAAACCCACACCGCTTGGAAACGTACCGACACCGCGCGCATCGCTTCATGTGCTGTGCTTTTGGGAGCTGACCTGCAGTCATGCCGCATTTGAAGCAGTGTGAAGACATTTTGTGAGAACTTATAGCTCTCTTCGTCCCGTATTTTGTAAGTATAAGCGCGACTGTGGCCAGGAAAGAGGTCGTAGCCGCGAAGCAAGCGACGCGGGACGGAAATAAATGAGCGTCTAGTCAGAGCAGCGCGACACACGTGGAATTCCACCGCCCCGCCTCGCGCATCCGTTCTGCCAGGCCTGGATCATATTCTCAACCGTCGTAACCGATACTCAGCCTGTCCTATTGTCTCGATGACCTTCGTCAATCGCGTCAATCGCGGATTCACAAACAGTTTTTGAAATGTGTGACACGCATTGTTACAAGAAAAAGATAGCACATCCTAATGCCCTCAACGAGAAGGGTCTACAGGTTTAAGTAAGGAGTCCACGCTCGATACCTCTAGGCGCGGCTAAGTCTAGGTATAAGTTAACGCATAATGGACGCCTCCAACCGAGAGCGCCGCCCGTCCACCCTGATGTATGGCCAAAAAGACTTTAACAGCCCCCCTAGAGTTGTGACGCCCGCTTAACAGCACGAAGGCTGCAGATCTCGCCGCCCAGATCCAAAGCACGCTTGCCTTCAACCCACCACATTGCCTCTGCAACAATCATCAGCAAAACTTGGTTGAAACGAAGAAGCATTACACACCCTGATAGGTCGTCGGTACAACAGTGCGTGTCAAGGGCTCACCCTCTTCCCGGCACCAAGTGAAACGGAAGTCGTTTGTTGTCTGCTCCTTTCCTGTCTGGACGTCGACGGCACTAGCTTTGACAGTGACGTGCTGGAAGACCACTCGGTCGGAAGATGTGCGGGATAGGAGGGTATGTAAAGCTTACGATCAAAACTGGGAAGTCCTTCGTCGAAGTCGTGTGGACGATGTATGACTTCAGACGTAGGACTGACCCAATCGGGACTGCACGTGCGAATGAGATGCTATCCAGGGACAGGAATCGCAGAGGTCCGCGCGCGAATAGCATCGAGTTAGAGTACCCAAGCTCGTATGCGAGGCGCATCAAGTATCCTGTAAGGATATCGAGACTTAGTTACTGGAAGAGATACTCCAAAGTGTGCGACATACCACCAAAGATCTTCTGATGAATGCTTGAACATGCCAGCTTCAGAGACAATCCATTTCATGAAAATGAAGATACCCACTTCCGCTCCTGTGGGTACATTGTCAGAGTCTTCTCCAGCCGCGTGTTACCCATGGGCACACGCGACTCGCTCGCCATGCACAGATCGACACTCTCAGACTGCGCAGTCGACTGCAGATACAGCTGGTGCATCGCCTCAGCTTCTATCGACGATGGGGGCACCTTGGCCAGGGATTGATTGGCCGTAGCCTTACGGCGATTTTTGCACGCTAAAAAAAACCGGCGGATCAGCCTGGAAAATCTCATCGAACAGCCGCTAGTGAGCATACCTTCGCCAATGTGCCACAGCTCTCGGTCTTCCTGAGTCTCGAGAACGAGCGGATTCACCTGCCGGGCCTTGTGTGTCTTGCTATCCCTGCATACCATGCAGAATCGACCTGCTCAAATGTTTCAGACGTTGAGTCTGCAAGCCTTGGCCCACAGACACGCACCGAGCATCACCGTCTCTTCCGTGCCATCGGCATTGAGCGCCTCCATCCGCACCGCGACTTCCACCGACGACCTTCCGACATGGATGACCTGGCCACTCAGACGCAGATCACGCACGACAGACAGATCCGCAAGCACGTCCAATCTTCACGAGACGTCAGTGGAGGTACCATGGTCTGAATCAGGGAAGGCGCACCGATCAACAGACGCAGTGACGAGGTAGAACGGAAGATCTTGCTCATTCGTCAGCCGCTCGACGGGGCCGAGCATATGCTTGTATGCGATGGCGCCCGCGAGAGAGTCCAAGTGTTCCATGAGCATGCCCGGGCGAATCCCGCCGTATGTGTTCGTGTACTTCTCGAGTAGGCCTGGCTGTGAGTGGAAATGCAAGCACTCCTCGGAGTACGAGTCGGCCATGGTCCGTGGAGTGAGTTCGAAGCTTGGTCCGTCGTCGTCGTCGCGTGGCTCTGGTGAGCCCTCCCGTGAGCGACGGAGAGACTCTGACCACATTACACCGCTGCGCATAGTGAATGAACTGATGGAGAGAGGGTCATTGTGCGCTCGCCCATTCAGTGGTGGATCAGACTTACGTTTGCCGTGCAGGATGAACTCGCAGGCCTGTGCGATTGCAACGATTGAGATATCGAGTTATACCGCTGATATCAAATGAGACACATACGGACTGCTCGGAGTAGGTTGTCCATGGTAGTGACGTCGCGGGTCTCGACTTGTGCACCGGCCTCCTTGGAGTGTGCAATCTCTGCGGCAGTGTTTTGGTTCGTGAAGGAAGTCGTGAATGCGCGGGAGGCCGTGGCTCGCCACATCGCGGGATCGCGGGGCGAGTGGCTGGCAACATGGCGCATTGCATTCAGAATCTCGCTTGAGTGTCCCATGGTGCCCGGAACGTAAAACAGTTGGGCGCCAGAAACGGAGCAAGAGGCGAGAGGAAGTAGTCGATCTTGCAGCATTGGTTGCGGAGCCCGCCAGCTTTTATAGGACCACTGTAGCGCTTCTCATAAGACCCAAATACTACATACCCACCGTTATTTCGCTGTGAATAATATCCACGTTGGTAGCCGGAAGCGTCAAAAGATTATCTTCCTCCGACATGTCACATGCCGAGCTGTGGGATGGCCTTGCAGCGTAAACGTTAGCGCTGGATATCTCAGCGGCCAGGCCGTATCACCAAAGGATTAGCCGTAAAGTTTGCGGACTGCCACTGAGCTCGGAGAAAAAACTGCTTGGCATACGATGAGACGAACGAGAATGAGAATGGAGGTGGTTTGGAAATGTGCGCATCTCCGAGGGCGGAAGGCGGGAAGAGGCCGTGGGAAACTTCAGCATGTGCTTTCAGAGCGCTAGAAGCCTTGGGCAACGCAAATTGCCTCTTGTCAATGATGCAACTACATTCTTTCACGTTCTCTCAATCACGCCCAGCATAGATGTCGGTGCGGACGCCAGACATTCCTCCCATCGCTGCCCGTATATTGCACGAATAATACTATTCCAATGGACATTTCATTTGACGACACTCAGGCCTCCCACAGAATGACGACCTGCTCCAGATCACGGTCCACGGGTCTTAAAAAGACGTCCATGTGGCGAGCAGTACTACCGGTGGACAGGACTAAGAAACAGCGGGGGCGAGTCGAGCTGACTTCGCCAGGGTCGACTCGGTGCCTCCGTACAGCCCACTCCCGGAATGGAAAGTGGCCAGGCGGCGTGGCCTATCCGTGCCTCCCGTGTTCGCGGCCGAGAAGTTGATGTCTACGGAGATGTTGCGGTCCGACAAATAAACGTTCGGATCTGCGTCCGAAAATTGCTGAGGCTTATTTGCCAGTCCAGCGGTGTTTTGGGTTGAGGGTTGCACGTTGAACCTGCGTGTTTTGTTATGAGAAACGAAGCAACATAGATCGGTCAAGGTTAAAACATGAACAATCCGATATAAGGAAGAATTTCAACTTACCTGGACCCTGGATTGTCGTCGATACGCAAAACGCGAGACGATGCTGGCGGAATGTTGATTAGCTCGCTTGGATACTACCCGCCCCTTCGACATCCAAGTTGGTTACATGCCAGATAGGATAGTCGTCGGCCGTAGCTGGAATGCCAGCATATAGCCCGAGAGGTCTGGCGGGGACGGGAGCCCCGACCGGTATCGTAGACCCGTACCCCGGGTAGATCGGCAATGTACAAGGTTAGGGAGTGAAGCTAGTGAAGAATCTTTTGCGAACTGGAGGTTTACCAGCCTGTGCGAATCTGTTCTCGGCAAGCTAGTTTGACTACCGTAACAGTTGCTATCATCAGTGCATCGATGGGGCTTGACCAATGAGCATGAAGCAGTCTTTCCATCTGCGTAGTGCACGCTTGTATTTGACGCCAAGCATACTGCTAGTCGTCAGCGGGACGCAGTATACCTGGCAAAAGACAGAATGCTTAAACAATGAAGGACAACAAAGCAGAACGTGCTTACCAGTAGCCATACTAACGCAAAACAGGTCGCTGCGGTATCAACATAAGGAATCGTATCATGTACGTGAGCTCAGCGCTCAGTAGCCTCTAATTTACTTGCCACCATGCGATCTCTTCTCCGTCTCTCGTCGGCCCCCAGGGCAGCTTCATGTCAACGTGTTACAGTAACAGCAGGTCAGTCTCACGTTCTGTCGCGTAAGCGACATTGTCGGTCTCGAAGAGCTCGAGCTACGGCTCGACGCAGCCGCATGCGAGGACCCGGGTCCTCCGCGGCCGAAGAAGTCGGTGGGGGTTGTCGATGCTCGGGTCGGAGAGCAAAAGCGCCGGGTTCAACGCCACAATGTTGGCGCTTTCTTCGCCCGGAGGGTAGTTTCTCTCCAGGAAATGGAATCCACCTAGGCCCGGTGATAGCATACGCGTGACGAAAGGGGCCACTACCTCCTGAGCTCGCATGCCGCACGTTATTGCTGATCCGCTTCCTTTTGACAGTCTCATTGTATCCGGTATTGGCGCAGCCGGTCTGGAACAGCCCAGGCTCGTATGGCGCAATGCGAAAGAAAGTCATTCGAGAACTTGAATTATTATATCTCTATCAAGCAGGTATACAATGCTTTGAGGCCCAGGGCGCGTCTATAGGTGCAGCTGTTGGGTATGAATTAGCGGTAAATGTACAGCGTTAGATGAGATAACCATCTCTTGTGACAAAAAGTCAAGTTTTCCTGTCGTCCTGCATATGGATAGACCGCTCAAGAGCGTTTCTCTGCGCGTATTCTGCGAATCTCGGCGCCGAGGTCGAGAGCGCGCTTGCCCTCGACCCACCACATGGCCTCTATAGTGGTTTGTCAGAGGGGAAGATCCCGGTGAGCGTGACATAGAACCTACCTTGGTACGTCATAGGCACGACTACTCGCTTGAGCGGCTCGCCGTCCTCGCGACACCATGTGAGTCGGAAGTCATTAGTCATCTGCTCGCTGCCTGTCCGAATATCCACAACGTTCGCCTCCACGCCAACATGCTATCATTTCGGAGCCGTTAGCACTGCGCGGGATAGTTGGGGATCAGAGGGAGACGTACGATTAGTGCAGGGAACTCTTTTGTAGAGGTGGTATGGAGCACGTGCGATTTGAGACGAAGGACAGAGCCGATTGGTACCGGACGGGCAAAGGAGATGCTATCGAGCGAAAGGAAACGGACGGGTCCACGAGTGAAGAGCATCGAACTCGAATACCCGAGCTGTGTACATGGTAAGGGGAACCCAGGACATCCGAGTGCGCTTGAGATTGCCTACCTCATACGCCAAGCGCATCAAGTAACCTGCGGAAAGTCAGTTTCGCAGAGCGACGGAGCACGGAGTGATACATACCACCGAAGATCTTCTGGTGAATGCTACAGGTATTGTATATTTAGCTCCGAGAGCATGAGCGGACGAATACAAACTCACTTGCGCTCTTGCGGGTACATTGTTAGCGTCTTCTCAAGGCGAGTGGTGCCCATGGGCACACGCTCGTCATCTGCAACGCGCGGGTCGATAGTCTCGGACTGAAGCGTCGATTGCAAATATAAGGAGTGCAAGGCCGCGGCTTCCGCTGATGATGGGGGCACAAGCGCAAGAGACTGGATTGCCGTCGTCGCGCGACGGTTTTTGTGCGCTGGAGAACAACAGCATCAGTTCCGTCTTAGTGCGGCTGTAACAAAGGTGCATACCTTCGCCCATGCACCGAAGCTGTTGATCCTCTGGGGTCTCGATTACCAGCGGGTTGACCTGACGAGCTTTATGTGTCTTGCTATCTCTGCACACCATGCAGAAGCGTCCTACGCGGCGGTCAGAACCAGTTTGCGCTGCGCTACATGTCCCACATACCAAGCATGACGGTTTCCTCTGTACCGTCCCCGTTCAATGCCTCCATACGCACCGCAACTTCCATAGACGACCTTCCGACATAGATGACTTGCCCACTTAAACGTAAATCACGTACGGGGCTCATGTACGCCAGCATATCCAATCTGCGAACAGGCTTTAGTCTTGCATTATAGTGTAAACAAAGATCGACAGGACTCGCCGGTCGACGGATGCTGTCACAAGGTAGAAACCGAGATCGGTAGGGTTTCCGATTGTCTCTACGGGACCCAGCATATGCTTGTACGCGATCGATCCGGCGAGCGAGTCGAGATGCTCCATAAGCTTGCCCGTGCGGATACCACCAGATGTGTTTGTGTACTGTTCAAAGAGCTCTGGCTGGGACGAGAAATGCAGGTTTTGCTCACAGTACGAGTCGGCCATGGTGCGAGGCGTCAAATTGTGGGGCGGCACGTCTTCCGGTCTCTCTGACGCCCCTGCCCGAGAGCGGCGGAGGGACTCGGACCACATCACGCCGCTCCTCACGGGCAACATGCTAGTGTGAGCGCAGCGTTAGCATTTAAAATGACAGATCCTTTATCTTCCGACGCACATTTGGTTCGCAGGGCTCACTCGTCCGCCTGGGAGTACGTCCCCAGTGAGCTGTCTGGGGACTCTGAGGGAGAATCATGGGTACATACGCACGATTCGCAGTAGATGGTCCATGGTAGTCACGTCTTGTGTCTCCACCGCTGCTCCGACCTCTTGGGAATGCGAGACCTCCGTCCCTGTGTTGGGCTTCGGCAGAGAGGCAGTGATTGTCCTGCGGGCCATGTGCCGACGCGAGGACGAGCCTGCAGTTTGGCGGATAGCGCTTAGCATTGTTCCAGAATTTATATGCAGCTAGCGGGTGCTGCTATGAGAGAAGAAGTATAAGAGATTCGATGGAGGTCGGCAAGCAAGGGGAAATCGTGATATAGTGACGCGTTGAAGCGCCCACCGGATGCACGTCCCGAGCTTGGGCTCGGACCCCTGCTTTCCGCTACCAATACCAAACCCCGACAGTGCCGCTCTGTACGGAATTCGGACGCCTAATGCCGCCAACGAAGATTTTCATGCTTCATTCAGCGTCTAACCTCGTATACATGCGTTATCATTTATGCTGGAAATGTTTGGAATAAGGGGCGCCAGTGCACTCCGAGGTTTGATGGTGTATGGCGGCTGTGCGGGCACTGATGACATCAGATTTGAGTTTCTGACTTGGGTTTTGGGGATTTGACCTGAGCCTGCTCGGCAACCGTAGCATCGCTTCCTGGGACCTGATCTGCAACGATGCCGCATTTAAAACAGTGCCAAGACATTTTGTGAGCTTTCTTCGCCCCGTCTTTCGCAGGTATTATTAGCGCGATTGTGGTCAGGAAACGCGGGATGGAAACAAATGAGCGCGTAGCCAAAGCACATCGACACACGTGGTGGTCGAGCACAGGATTCCGCCGCCCCGATGTGTCCATGACATCCATGGCGGGATTGCACAAGTATCGTATAGCTGGCCTAAGTTATATCTTCAACGGCCGCAAATGTCGGAGGGACATAATCCTTAACGATTCCGGCGACCAACGTGGATGCTGTCCATAACGAATATATGTAACGGTGAGCATGTAGTATCTGGGTCCTGCAGAAGGCGCTCCGACGATCCTGAATATTGAAGCTGGTGGAGTCCGCAATCACTGTGCACTCTGTTGCATGATCGACACCACCCTCTCGTCTCTTGCTCCATTTCTGGCACCCAGCTGTCTCATATTTCAGAAACCATGGAGCACTCAAGCAGACTCAAGCAAAATGTTGAAACGCGCAGCAAAACTCTCTTACGCGGTTTGTACGCAGTGGTGAGACTCCCGCTTATGTAATCCTATGCGAGTAGTATATTAAGTAGTACCTATGTACAACTGTAAACATAACTCACTCACTATCCACAGCCCCCTCTTTATGTACTTCTACTCAACACAGCCAACAGGTGAGCGACTTGCTTTGCAAGTTGCGTCGCGCTCTGCGCGACACGAGATTCTGGATACAATGTGCCATGTTGCCAGCCACTCGCCCCGCGATCCCGCGATGTGGCGAGCCACGGCCTCCCGCGCATTCACGACTTCCTTCACGAACCAAAAAAGTGCCGCAGAGATTGCACACTCCAAGGAGGCCGGTGCACAAGTCGAGACCCGCGACGTCACTACCATGGACAACCTACTCCGAGCAGTCCGTACGTGTCTCATTTAATACCAGCAGTACAACTCGATATCTCAATCGTTGCATTCACACAGGCCTGCGAATTCATCCTGCACGGCAAACGTAAGTCTGATCCACCACTGAATGGGCGAGCGCACAATGACCCTCTCTCCATCAGTTCATTCACTATGCGCAGCGGTGTAATGTGGTCAGAGTCTCTCCGTCGCTCACGGGAGGGCTCACCAGAGCCGCGCGACGACGATGATGGACCAAGCTTCGAGCTCACTCCACGGACCATGGCCGACTCGTACTCCGAGGAGTGCTTGCATTTCCACTCACAGCCAGGCCTACTCGAGAAGTACACGAACACATACGGTGGTATCCGCACGGGCATGCTCATGGAACACTTGGACTCTCTCGCGGGCGCCATCGCATACAAGCATATGCTCGGCCCCGTCGAGCGGCTGACGAATGAGCAAGATCTTCCGTTCTACCTCGTCACTGCGTCTGTTGATCGGTGAGCCTTCCCTGATCCAGGCAATGGTACCTCCACTGACGTCTTGTGAAGATTGGACGTGCTTGCGGATCTGTCAGTCGTGCGTGATCTGCGTCTGAGTGGCCAGGTCATCCATGTCGGAAGGTCGTCGGTGGAAGTCGCGGTGCGGATGGAGGCGCTCAATGCCGATGGCACGGAAGAGACGGTGATGCTCGGTGCGTGTCTGTGGGCCAAGGCTTGCAGACTCAACGTCTGAAACATTTGAGCAGGTCGATTCTGCATGGTGTGCAGGGATAGCAAGACACACAAGGCCCGGCAGGTGAATCCACTTGTTCTCGAGACGCAGGAAGACCAAGAGCTGTGGCACATTGGTGAAGGTATGCTCACTAGCGGCTGTTCGATGAGATTTTCCAGGCTGATCCGCCGGTTTTTTTTAGCGTGCAAAAATCGCCGTAAGGCTACGGCCAATCAATCCCTGGCCAAGGTGCCCCCATCGTCGATAGAAGCTGAGGCGATGCACCAGCTGTATCTGCAGTCGACTGCGCAGTCTGAGAGTGTCGATCTGTGCATGGCGAGCGAATCGCGTGTACCAATGGGTAACACGCGGCTGGAGAAGACTCTGACAATGTACCCGCAGGAGCGAAAGTGAGTTCGTTGGTTTTCGTGAACGAAAAAATTTAAAGCTTTGGTTTTGAAGCATTCACCAGAAGATCTTTGGCGGTATGTCGCACACTTTGGAGTATCCCCTCCGGTGACTAAGTCTCTATATCCTTACAGGATACTTGATGCGCCTCGCATACGAGCTTGGGTACTCTAACTCGATGCTATTCGCGCGCGGACCCCTGCGATTCCTGTCCCTGGATAGCATCTCGTTCGCACGTGCAGTCCCGATTGGGTCAGTCCTACGTCTGAAGTCGTACATCGTCCACACGACTTCGACGAAGGACTTCCCAGTGTTAATCGTAAGCCTCAGATGCGCTCTTATCCCGCTTATTTCTTGAACTCAAACAAATGGTTTTCCAGCATGCCACCGTCAAAGCTAGTGCCGTCGACGTCCAGACGGGCAAGGAGCAGACAACAAACGACTTCCGTTTCACTTGGTGCCGGGAAAAGGGTGAGCCCTTGACGCGCACTGTTGTACCGATGACGTACCAGGGTGTGTAATGCCGCTTCCTTTCAATTAAGCTTTGCTGATGATTGTTGCAGAGGCAATGTGGTGGGTCGAAGGCAAGCGTGCTTTGGACCTGGGGGGCGAGATCTGCAGCCTTCGTGCTGTTAAGCGGACGTCATAACTCTGAGAAACCGTTAATATTTTTATGGGGATAACATAAGGGTGGACGGGCGTCGTCCTCGGTTAGAGGTATCTATCGTGTGCTAACTTAGACTTAGACTTGGCTGCGCTTAGAGTGTGGACTCTTAACTTAACATTATAGATTATTTTCGCTAGGACATTAGGATGTGCTATCAATTTCTTGTAATAACGCGTGTCATAGATTACAAAGACTCTTTCCCTCTCACCTTGTTCTGAGCTTTGCCTACAAGGTCGAGCGGCGCGGTTTGGGGTATTCGGGGTCGTGTTAGAGCGCTAATCACCCCCTTTCTTCTGCCAACTCCGAGCGCTGCAGCTTGACCACTGTCGACTAGCCCGTGTGCGAGCATCTGAGGGCGTATCCTCCGGCTCGATTCCGAATTGTTGTTTTTTGTGCAGCATGTATTGTGTATCAAGTCCGTTACAATTGGTAAGTTGACTACTCGGCCTTGATCGACGAGGCCAAGATGCCCAAGCGCGAAGGAGGGCCCTAACACCCGTAATCCTCATCCAGATCCAAGAACACATAAGATCCCCCCACTTCTCTACAGCACAGCTTTAGTCCCTTTGGAGATATCAACTTGTAAGCACGCTCAGCTTCTTTTCTTGTGGGGCTTTGGTTTCATCCCCATCCTAGCGCCCATCAGCCCCGAGCCTTAGCGGCCACCCTTCACGGTTACACCCTCTTCTAAGCCATAGTTACCGTGGGGTGCAGATACTCTCCTCTCCACCATCATCACTAGCCGCTTCCATAGTGGCCAATTTCCCGGAACCCCTATCGAATCCAGGTTTGCTGCAAGTACGCGCTTCGCGAGTACACTAACATGTCGCGGTCGAAAATGCGTGAAGGAGACGGTGAGTGGCGCACTCATTGCCTCAGCTCTCGCACTCATGGAATTTCAGAGTCGCGTAGGTCGCGGCCGCATCATGTCCTGCCAGGCAAGTTCGGCTTCCCGGCGTTCTAAACGTCTTATGAACAAGTATACAGAGCTAAGCTCCGACTCCGACTTTCTGGCTGATATGCGACACGAAGAATCGAAGCTGGTAAAAAAAAGGAGGACGCGCAGAAAGACCGGCCAGCTGGGAGAAGACGAGAGCTACAGCATACGAAAGGGAAGCGCGTCGAAGGCGACTGTCAGCAAGATGGTCATAGCTAGCGCTGGACATAGCCGTCGTCTCTCTTCTGCACTAAGCCACAATCCACTTTTCAAATATTTCGGTGAGTTTCTTGACAATCTCGTTGTCCAATGACCATATGGCCGATATTCTCAACAGGGAATTTGGGGATAGATGTTGCCTCTGATTCAGAAGAGTCGCAGAAGGAACTAGAAGACGATACACAGATTCTTCGTTTCTCCAATAAAGATGACGAAGTCGAACAGGACAGGGAAGGCAGCTCGGAGCCAGAAATACTACCGCGAACCCTCGCAATCGTACTTGAGGATATGAAGGTTCGCTCACAGTCAAGCATCATCTCTGCGGCTCTAAGTACAGAAGACCGTCCACAGATGAGTGAGTAGTACAAATGTCTGTGGATCTCCTGGTAGAGCCGGAAGTTCAACATCTCAGTAGGGTCTGAACCTGAGCTTTCGCCACCGAAGCAGCTCAAGCGGAAGTGGGCTCCCAGGAAAGCCAGACAGCTTTCTCCGTTCAAACGACCCCGTTTTGAGACATCGTCATCTGCTCTGCCCGCTGCCGAGCCACATCTGAACCATCCGGCAGAAGCAAACGACTCCACAACTGAGCCCGAGCCTGACGCTGAGCCCATGGCCACACCTTTGCCAGAGTCCACGAACCTGACAGCTGTTGATGGAGAGGACGAGTCAGTCACGGAGCCTGAACCAGAACCAGAGTCGCGGCTGACGCAACAGGCTAATGCTGAAGACGACTCGGAGACTGCTCCAGAGTCAGAGGTCGAGCCAAATGGGGTCCAAGCTCAGAAGGTAGACGACGATGGATCTGTCACCCGGCCAGAATCGGACGCCGAAGGTCAGCTTTCCGATGAATCATCCGACGATGATAGTAAGGACGAAGATAATGACTGGGTGAGTCTTGAATCGACGTCGGTTTCTAAGAGCCATGACGATGTCATGAAACGTGAATGACTGATCTTCCACTCCGCTGCAGGGACCTCGTCACCGTCCCGCCTTTCCACTCAACCCTGGTCAACTACCTCTTGGTCCTTTCGCACTGTCTGAGTCGCATGTCCACGTACCGTCCGCCAGTGCGGATGGGAAGCCCCCAGATCTGAACGATCACTCGAATCGCAAGCCGCGCGTTATCCGAATCCCCGCGAGCGCAAATACGCACCTGCGAGATTATCAGCGCAAGGGAGTAGAAGTGATGTGCGGGTGGTACTTTGCTGGGAGAGGGGGCTGTCTTGGTGATGATATGGGTTTAGTACATTTTCCTCGCTTTCTTTGCCTTCTTGGCCCTGCAACGTCCGAGACTGACCCCCTGACTAGGGCAAGACCGTCCAAATCTCCAGTTTCCTCAGCGCTATAATGGAGAAGACTGGTACGCCACGGGACCTCAATCGCCGATACAAGTACATCTCGAAACTGCAGGACGAAGTTATACGCAAGCGGCCGAAGGGCCAAGTAGTACGCGACTGGGAAAAAGAACTTCCTCGTGCGGATGCGCGCTGGCCTACGGCACTAATCATCGTTCCAAGTAGCCTCATAGGCAACTGGGAGCGCGAGCTTGAGACTGTGAGTGTGATTATTTTTGCCGCGAAGTGGAACTAGTGACGACGACACTTCATCATAGTGGGGCTACTTCGAGGTTGGAACTTACACTTCGAACATCAAAGCCGAGACACGGGAGAACGTGCTGAGGGATTTCAGGCTGGGACGTTTAGATATGCGTGCGTATCCAACCGGTACTTCGTCGAGATAAAGCTGATGTTCACTACTTCGATTAGTCTTAACGACACATGAGCTCGCTCGAGATCAAGTTGACCGATTCGAATCACTTGCTATTTCCATCATTTTTGTGGACGAGGCACATAAAGTCAAAGATCCAACGCGCAAGATTACCAAAGCATTCAATCGCTTCCAATGCAAACGGCGGGTTGCGGTTACGGGCACTGGTGCGTCCATCACTCACGTCCTTCCATTTTTTCTTCTCAGCACCGTTTCTAGCTATACAAAACAACTACGACGAGCTTTGGGCGCTGCTTGACTGGACGAACCCTGGTGCTCTCGGGTCGATCAAGCAATGGCAACGATACGTATCTAAACCGCTGACGCGTGGTCAGTCCAAATCTGCGACAGCAGACGAAAAGCTACGAGGCATTGTACGCACAGCTTTTCTGCGCCTTTTGAGTGCGAGATTTACAGATCCTTTTTCGCTGTCGCAGATGGTCTCAAAAATATTGAAGGAGGAATTTCTTCCGCGGTTCTTCATTCGCCGGACAAAGGAACTTCTCAAGGATCAGCTTCCGAAGAAGACGGATGAGGTTGTATTTTGTCCGCTCACTCCCAAGCAGACTGAAGTATATCGTCGCATTATCGAGAGCGAGCCGGTGCAGAATCTGGTTCGTAAGGACGAGTGCTGCGATTGTGGTAGTCGCAAGAAGTATGCCATCTTTTCTTCGATGTCAGTAGCACGTCCTAACGACGCATATCTGTCTAGGAGGGCACAATGTTGTCATAAATTCGACAAAGCGGATCTCTTCCGGTATATGAGTGCACTCATCAAGATCTCGAACCACCTTGCACTCATCCTACCTTGTATGTTCCACCATGTATAAACCCTTGGGCGTGCTTTAATCACAACTACTTTCAGCACCGACGGATACCCCTGATCAGGTCGTGCGGAACAAGGCTCTAGCGAAAGTGGCTTTTGGTGATGGGTATATTCCCAGCTACGGCCCTGCCATGCTCGTTCCACAGTACTGTGGCAAGTGGCTGGTAAGTTTCTCCGCATACCATTGAATACGACTGAAGGCCTGGCAACAGGTCCTCGAGACACTCCTTCAGGAATGGCAAAAGGATGCATCAAACAAGGTGCTCATCTTTACCAAGTCTGTCAAGCTGCTGGAAATGCTCGAGTTTCATCTCAAGTCGCAAAGTGAGTGAATCAACCTGACGCTCCCGCAGACGTTTTGCTCACAAAAATTGCGACAGGCGTGGGATTTGTAAAGCTCGATGGTTCCATAAAGCAGCCAGATCGTACGTAGCTTCGTGCACCGCAAGAGCTATATTGCTGAAAAGATGCCCCTATAGGAATGCCTCTCATCGACAGGTTTCACGAAGATTCAGACGTGTTTGTCTTCCTGATATCTACCCTCGCCGGTGGCACTGGTCTGAATCTGACTGGTGCCAACAAGGTTGTCATCTTCGGTATGTCTTACAACGCGTTTACTGCTACTAGTCACCGATAGTCCCACTCGTAGACCCTAACTGGAGTATGTATTCCTTGGAAATGTCGTGACATCTACTGCATCACTTAACTTTATGTCTACTCAGACCCTGCTCATGACCTCCAGGCGATGGACCGCGCCTACCGCATTGGACAGAAGCGTGATGTGTCCATATATCGTTTTCTCGGTGCAGGCTCTCTCGAAGAACTCATATATGCACGCCAAATTTACAAACAGCAGCAAATGGCTGTGGGCTATGACGCGAGCCTGCAGACACGGTATTTCGAGGGCGTGCAAGGCGACAAGAGCCGGCAAGGCGAGCTTTTTGGGATCAGGAATATTTTTGGGCTTGCCGAGGGTGAAGTACGAACCAAAATGACGGTACGTGTCCCTTTCTCAGGGGCCAAGTATGAAAGTAATCACACTATGTTGCCGCAGATTGAGAAAGCGACGCTCACGGACCTCGACTGGGCATTGGCAAATATGGACGCAAAGGTCAAACAGCCGGCTACCAAGGTCAAGGATAAATGGGTGTACGAAGCCGAGGTGAAGGGAAAGAAAGAAGATGTATGTATACCTCTCGGCTCGTCTCTCATGATGCTCAACTAGGACGACAGGTTGACCTTCGCGGCCTTGGCGCCTTTCTTTTTGACGATGGTGAGAAGCTTCTCGCTTGTCCCAAAAGCAGTGGCTGAACATTTTAAATAGACGCGCCGGCAGTTGACGACCAAGAAGACGAAATATCGAAGACACTGAAGGACGTCGGCGTCACCTACACCCACCGGAACGAGGCCCTCATCGTCGACAATGCCATAGAAGGAGAGCGAATTAAGGTTCTCATGGAGGTACGCGTCTGGTCTCTCTTGCTCCGTATTCTTATACCTATCCAAGCTTTTGTAGAGCAGGAAGAAAGCTCGTAAGCAATCTAAAGCGGTCGGCGGCGGCAATAAGCACAGCAAGGGCAAAGAGCCTGTCAAAAAAGATGACGACTGGCCACCTAAACGCGGTGGTCGTAAGTTATCTTCAGCCCCACAGATGAGGTACATGCCCTTATTCCATCATCGCTAGAACTCGGGCTAACGCATACAAGTCGACTGCTTCAACGGCGCGCCGCACTTGTTGGGCTTGGTATGATTTCTGAAAATGAAGGGGTATACAAATTCGCGGAAGAATTGTGAGTGATACATTGTCCGCGCACGATTATTTGCTGAACACGCCTTTGTGCCGGGCAGCCGCAAGATGAGCAAAGAGCAACAAGAAGAGCTGCTTCACCAACTGGATGAGCGTGCAAAACGCAGCTCAAATGCATCAACCCTTTGCTCAGGTTCTTGATCAGCCCAATGCATGCTCATCAATTCAGCTATGGTTCCTGCTCGCTCTCCATTCTTATCATCAGCTCTACACCGGCCACTTCCACATTTATCTGACGGAGTTATGCCTGTTCTTAATTGTGCTGTACTTCGTTTCGTTCGTCAATACCGACAACAATATCATATGTCGGTAGAAAAACCTGCGACACGCAGTGTACGCGAGGACCTAATCAAAGTCCTCCGCGCACAGCCTGACGTAGTTCATGAAGCCATATGCTCTAATCCCAGTGTCAGTCTGGTCAGTGCTAAAACAGAACTGATGGCTTACCCGTCCAAAACCCATAAACATCTCGCATTTTGTTGCCGCGGGGGCGCCTGGTGGGGAAGACACACGGGTGTGTCCTGTAGACTGGGCTCGAAGCCCTGTGCCTCGGACGTGAAGATGTACGACGGGAGCGGCGGAGGCGGGGCGAAGCCGCCGTGGGGGTGATGTCCCGGAAAGCCGTGGGGGTACCCAGGGAAACCAGGGCGCGGTGGGAAGGGCGAGTGGTGCGCCGGGAAATGCTGGAGGGGCGGCGTATAGAAGGAAGGTGGCACGGACCTAATGTCGTGCACTTTGACGCGGTATTCAGTGCCTGAGCGTGTTACTGGAATGTGAAAGATGTCAAACATTTGCGCACCGAGTAAGCGGAAGGAACCGTACCGAGCATCAGATCCTCCGGCCGCACACCGTGTTTCCGTGCAAGCTCTGGAGCCCTTGCGAGCAGTAGCGACCACGCGTCATTCACGTTAACGATGTAGTTGGAGTGCAGCATGTGTACCGTGAGGCGAGTGCCAGGTGAGGTTACGATAGGCCAACTGTACCCAGAACCGTGAGACATGCAACAGGTCTGGTCGCAGGCGAAGCACGTACCCGAGCATTCCCCCACCCGCTTCGAAAGCCTGGAGTTCCGTTTTCTCAAAGCGTCCATGGTCAAATGCTGTCGTCCATCCCGTGCTCTCTGGCTTTGATTCGAGACTTACTCTGGGGCCGGTCTCGATAGGTATCTCGGACCCGGAGTGGGGTGCCGCCTCGTCCAGAATGTTACACATCCGCACAAACCTATCAAATCCACCGTACGACCAGAGAGCCTTAGGCTCCTTCTCTCCGTCAGAGCCGTCTTTATCCTCGGTGCCCTCCGAGCGGATATACCCTACATCTCCGACCCTGAATAGATGTGGCGGAACAAAGTTATTGCTCCATGTAACGCCATGCGTCCCCGCCTGGAGAGCAGCCTGGCGTAGTCTCTTGAGCGTAAGCTTCTCTACAACGCCGGTTGATTGATCATATGGCGAAGGCGCGTTGCTCTCCGTGCCGTACAGGGCGATAAACTCGTCAACCTCATCCTGTTCCTCTTCTTCGTGAGATTCGACAGGCGGCTCAATAGTGCGCGCCAGGGTTTCGAGGCGTGCTTGCGCGGCTTCTGGAGTATCGTTCCCCGGAAGGAGCGTCCTGGCGAGAAGCGCGAAGTGGTTTGCTTTGATCTGCTTGGTGGGCTCCACTGTCAGAGACTAGCATGAGAACTAAATCATGGCAGAGAGGCATCCCACGTACACGCATCGTACAGATCTACGAGGCGGTTGACACGTCCACGGTTCGGCAACACCTGTATATCATGAGCTCCACCACCGTGTCCAGACACTTACGAGGGGAGACGCACCGAAAGCCAAACATCTCGTATGCTCCACGCCAGTCCGTAGTTTCGCCAGCTCTGCATCTCAGCGACGCCAGCTTCGGGGTCGGGCAAGCCCATGACCACCTTTTTGTCAGAGTATGGAGAGACACGGAACGACGCGTGTTCGACATAGTCTTGAGTCTTCGACTCGCTCAGGGACAGCTGGCGCTGAAGGTAGAGAGCGGCATCCTGAGAGACGTGAGCAATCACACTGGTAACAATGAACTCTGTGGCATACTAGAGTCTCTTTGTACTAATTGGAGGTTGAGAGCACGTAATATGCGACAACGAAAAGACGACCTACGAGGCCAATCAAAAGCTTAGTGCACTCGAGTAAACTTGCATTCGCGAGTCCGGAAAGCAGGAGGGCCTGCGGAAGGCGCGTCTGAACTGTTAATTCACCAGATCAGCCAACGCTGCTACCTGAGAAAGCGCACAGACTAAACCGTTTGCAAGTAAGATGAAAGGTGTTGGCGCGTCAGTGCCCGAGTAGCCAATAAGCATCGGTAAGTTCGGATGGCTGTCCTAACAGTTAGCATTGTGCCACTCTGATTCTGTTTGCGAAAGAACACACTGGACGTTCTGGAGTGTTTTCACGTCTCGCAGCCACCTCTGTTTGCAAACCGGTTAGGATCAAAATATTAACGACACCAAACACATACCCGAGCGGCGCGCAACCTGCCTTTGGGACTGTCGGGCGCAGCATAGGGCAGCATGAGCACGGTCCGTCCGTCGGCCTCGAACTCTTGTGCGCCGGCCCACCAGCCCGTAGAAAGCTTTGTCTTCTTGCCTCTGGCGGAACGAATAGAGCTGTAGTCGTATCGTTGGAACTATATCGCGCGTGAGATTCAACACGCCCTCCAGATAAGTAGAACACGTACGCCTTTATCATCAAACGACGCTAATTCGGCAAGGAATGACTGCTCCTCGGCCGAGAGATTGTCATCTGTTTCCTCAGATGGGCCAATACGCGCTGGAGCTTCCGCCAGGGATGTCGAAGACGATAGCGGCGGAGAAATCTGGAATGAGGAAGATAGGGAAGTAGCCGAAACAGAATCAGGGGCCATTGTAGGCGATTCAGAGACTAGCACGTATTCAGAGTCGAAGGAACTGCGGAAGGATGCTTCCATAAACGAGGAGGACATGGGTGAGCGGGACACCAGGGAGATATCTTCTACAGATAAATCGGAGATATTGTCGTTTACCGTTGTTGTGCCTCCTGCCGAATTGTACGGCGGAGCCGGGCTAGATTCAGTCGAGAACTCGTCCGACGACCTAGTGGGCAGGGCTTTGGTCTTGGAGCCAGGATCCTTGGCGCGCGGATCCCCAACAGCACGGTGGATATGTATGAGCGCGACGATCTGGAAGGAGCGTGCAGCATCATCGATCATGACAGTGCACTCAATGAGAGCTTTCTCTATGGCGCTTTTGCGAAGGAGTCTATCGTGCCATTTACCCTCGATATCACGCCTAAGGTCCTCATGTAGGTTCTCCAATATCCTAGGCAACTGGTCAATTTCTTGGAGGCCATGATGACAATGAATTACTACCTCTCGAATTTAGCAATGTTTTTCAAGAGAGTCTCTGGAGCATCCTCCCAGTGGCCGCTCATGGCATCCTTCACGTCCGCGAGAAGCGTGACGCAGCGCTTTGCCAGCCGGAAGCATTCTCGCTTGTTAGTTTGCAGATCCTGTTAATACCAGTCAGTACGTGTCGGATACAGGTTTCCGAATAGAATCTACTTGAATGGTTTTAAAAATTGCAAGCAATATGGCCGAGGCGGCACTGACTGGCGGAAACGCCAGCAGACCTGCCAGCTCATGAGAGGCAGTTGTAGCGGCGATGGCGACGGTGAGCGCGTTGTCTGCAGTACATCTCTTACGAATAGCACGGAGAGGCATCTTCAGCAACCTTCACGAGAAGAGACGAAGCAGTACGGACAGACTACCTCGGGACCCCAGCGGCCATGCCTGCTTACGTAGCAACGGGCTGATAGAGTAGTGTCAAGCCTTGCCAGGCACGTCGACCTCATCAAAACCTGCGAGCGCAACGTCTGTGAGTCCGGTTGCAAGTCTGCAAACGAACGCGTACCATATCACATTGATCCTCTGACTTGACGTTCGCCATTGGTGTCCCGCTACTCGTACTCGTTTTCCTTCATCGCCAACCACTAATGCACTGTAACCCTGGAGCTTGCAGACTTGCAACCGGACTCACAGACGTTGCGCTCGCAGGTTTTGATGGGGTCGACGTGCCTGACAAGGCTTGACACTACTCTATCAGCCCGTTGCTACGTAAGCAGACATGGCCGCTGGGGTCCCGAGGTACTGCTTCGTCTCTTCCCGTGAAGGTTGCTGAAGATGCCTCTCCGTGCCATTCCGAATATAATGAACATTCAATAAACAGAGAGGATGCGAGCACAAGAGCCTGAAGTCTGGCACTCTGAGGGCGCTGATCGCGTCGGTTAGAGAGAATCACACGACTTCCTGCGCGATTGGCCTTCAGCTCGAAGCGAAATGCATTATGTTTGAATAGTGGTAAGATTAGATATCGTACACGGCTCAACAGTCTGTGCTGAAAGAGAAAGTAGGCCCGCGGAGGAGATTCTTGTGTGAAGAGTATGTGGCCTTCGGTCTGGAAGCCTGAGATTGACAATTGAACTACTTACCTCTCGAGGGGCGGACCATATACGTGGCGATGACATACTAGAACCAGCACTTCCTGAAACTGAGTACCAGCGTACCCTGAGCGAGCTGCGACTAGCTAGAGCAAAGGCGCTAAGTATTTGATCGGATACTGTTACGTAAGCGACCTCGGAGCGCAAGGCGGCTGAGCTGAGGCACAGCGCCATGCTCAGCCACGACCGAAATCCAAGACAGCTCTCTTTCCGATACCGTCTCGTCGACGCCGTGTGGCCCCTTCGTCTTTCGCTAGTACGCTTCACTTGGATCTAAATCGTTTTGCCAACTGGCTTGGCTGGGACCGCGCAGTAACATGCATTCAGATGCCTTCGACGTTATTCCTTTCGAGGTACGCATGATCCCCCAGCGTTCTCTACCATTCTTCTGAGAATATTTATTGTAGGATATCAAAGGAAACTGGAAGAAGTTAGGCTCTGGATCGTTCGGAAACGTCTACAAAGGTGCGAAATTACCATGCTATGCCGGATGGCCATGATTCGAGTCAACCTCGTAGGGTCATACCTCGGGATCGATGTAGCTATCAAGGAAGTACTCCCGTCTACGGAGTACGACGTGGCGAAATATTTCGAGAGGGAGTGGAGGCTGATGAAGTGCGCCGCCATGAGCCCTTGATCCGTCTTCGCGCTAACTTTCTGCTTCAGAGAAGCCCGTCATCCGAACGTCGTCCTGTACCTTGGGCTGTCGCGTGCCCCGGACCCAGATGGCAGAGTTTTTATTATATCGGAGTTCATTGAAAACGGCAACTTGCGGAACTACATCTATGACAAGAGCAAACCTATGCCATGGCGGCTCCGCCTTTCGTTCGCGACAGACATTGCGCGGGCTCTCGCCTATCTCCACGCGCGGAAATGCATCCATAGGGATCTGAAGGGTGAAAATCTTTTAGTCACTGCCAACGGTCGTCTCAAGATTACCGACTTCGGCTTTGCGCGGATTGCCGCTCGCAGCGAAGAAGAGAGCAAACGTTTGACTTTCTGCGGCACGGACTCGTACATGTCTCCGGAGATTCTCATGGGCAACGAATTCGATTTGCCGACTGATATCTTCTCTCTTGGTGTCATCTTCTGCGAGATCGCTGCGCGTAAGCTCGCAAGCGAGCATACCTTTAAACGGCATCCGCCTTCCTTCACCATTGATTTTGAAGAACTGAAGAAGCTTGCAAGTCCTGGATGTCCTCCAGCGTTTACTCAACTCGCCGTGGACTGCTGTGCCGAAGACCCTCATGGCAGACCCACAACCCGCGTCATCCTGGATAAGCTGCGCGAAATTGAAGCAGAAGTCTTGGCCCGCCCAACGGAGGCAGACGATAACATCGGAAGCGTCAAGTTTATGACTGGCATGCGAAGGCCGGGTGCTGCCCCGCGTATACCCAGCTTCGGCATCGGTGTTGGCCAGGACATCAAGCACGAAGCTCCGGGAACTTCGGTAGCAAGCAACGGCCAGCATTCGAGCGATGGAGAAGATAGCGATAGTGAACTCATGGAGGCCCTCTCGAGGCTCAGTACGGCGGGCGTACACAGCGGTTGGAGTGATGCTACAGTAGGTATGCACGTTCCCATTCCTCTCTTATCGTGACACCTTCTCAGCTCAAAGTGCATCCGAACGCTCACGCTCCCTCTTAAACAGGCCATCCCGAGGGCAGCGACCGTCCCTTGTTGGACAGCACCCCGCCCGAGTACTCCGAATATAGCACCACGGTCTTCCGCTCGCATCCAGCCTCCCACGCCGCCGAGGCATCGTCGCTGTCATCCATCCTCACTATCCGCCCGGCGCAGAACCCGAACGGCTCAGACGACCTGACAGCCCGCCCGCTTGCCGTTGGTGTCCACGCTCCGACCCCGACCGACTCTCTCATCTCGATAGACTCGTACTACACCGCAGGCTCGATGTCCGCGTTCGAGCAAGCAAACGGCAATGCATCCGGGTCCGAAATCTCCATCGCTGCCGCCACCGAAGGCTCAACAATGGCGCAGCGCCCAAGCGCCGTCGTGCCGCTCGTGCACCGATTCACCCTCATCAAGCCCGGTGGGCGTCGCACGAGTATCGGCGGTGCTGAGCCTCGCAGCGGGACGACGTCTCCGGCTCGCAATGGTCCACAGGAGACTGCGGTGTGGAACCCGCTGGACTTTTTGTTCAGCAGCACACTGCTCGGGAGCAAGTGCGACATCTGCATGAAGCGACTTGGGTGGAAACCGGTGCTTGAGTGCGATGACTGTGGAATGAGGTGTGTTTGATATCTTCTGTTAAGGAAAGCCATACTAAGTCCAGCTCTATCTCAGGGCACACATCAAGTGCGGTGAAGTCGCACCACTGGACTGTGGCGTCCGCCCTGCACGTTCCGGCGCATTACAGGACGATAATCGTGCCCGCTCTGCCTCCCCCATCGCTAAGGACAAGGGCAAATACCGTAAGAACCTTGGTACTCCCGCCAAATAATGACCGTTACGACCTTTACGACCCGTCATGACCTATCTTTATGATTCATCCATTGTGTCCGTGTCTGTTTGTATCAGCATCAGCATTACCCGTAACATTTGAGACTGCAGGCTGTATCCTCTCATACCCATGTAAACATTTCTTCTGCAGTGGTGGATACAAGCGGACCTTCCTCAGCGCATTTTTTGCATTTTACCTGTAGCCACATATGCATGGATTTGACGTAGCCGTTTACTCTTGCGCACCCACCACCCCGAGCCGGTATTCGTTATCAATGCAAATCAAGGTAGGGCCGAGTAGGCTATTGGTATTACAAAACGAGGGCAGTGCAATTTACAAGATAACAGCATTATTCAAGCGACGATAGTGACCAAAGCCCAATCCTTATTCGGCTGCTTCCATTCTAGCGTTCCCCGGCGCAGTGCTGGCGACCTCTTCGTTCCAACTTGCGAGGATCTCCTCCAACGACGATATAGACCATCCGCCACCAACATAAGAAGTCATTTGTAGGCCAGTCGCATGCACTACTTCCCTGATCGCCTCGTCCAGCACAGTCTGGTCGTCCGTCCCATGTGGAGGCGGTGCCTGCAGACATCTGGCGTGCGAAGAGACTGCCAACGCTTTGAGCACAACCAATAGCGTTGACACTGGCACACTGTGTCGTTGGAGATACATGGCCAAGGATCGCGAGAGCTCGTACTCTGTTCGCCGCGTGTCGCGGTTGTACGCTGGGATGCCTGCACCGCGGATATACTTGCGTAGCATGAAAGTGAAGTCCTTGCGCGTCCTGAACGTCTCGATCTGACTGTCGAGCTGAAGAGATGCTGCGCGCAGGGTGCTCTCACGGAGGAGGGGCGGCCGCACATTGTTCTCTGAGATGCCGCTGAACCAACGCATGAAGACCTTGTTGTAGAACTCGGCTGCGAACCGCAGATCCTGTTGAGCCAACCCGATGTGCGGACTGTTTATCGACATCGTGCGATAGCGGTATAGAGTGAGATGCGTCTGGATCGTGTCCGACTTGTCTTGTAGTATGCTGTCCAGGAGCGTCGCGTGGCAGTACGCAAGGAAGAGTCGCTCTTGTTCTGTCTGGCCTTCATCGCGACAGAATCGATCAGCAAACGCGAGGAAGAAAGCATCATTTGAGTACGAAGAGATAAACTCGTGCAAATCAGTCGCCGGATGCTGATCACTGAGCTTGAGTTGTGGAAAGTCCAGCACAGCAGCATCGCCTGCAGAAGAGCCTGAGCGGACAAACAAACTGCGGCTGCCTTTTGGATCTTCCGTGTAGCTCAAAAATGCCGAACGTCTCTTCACGTACAACGTCTGACTTCGAAGAAGTGACTCCTTGTGGTGAGACATATTCGCAATGTCAAGGTAAAACGGCCAGTATCGCGGAGTGTCAACCCTGATCGATTGTATTTTGTCGACATCCGGAATCAGCGTTGGAGCGATGAGTTGCGCTGTTCCAAGGCCGTTTTCGTCCCTGACTTTAATCTTGACTGGCAGATAGACAACCTCCTTGGTGTCAACGTCCCGAGTGACTAGACATCGCGGCTCAACGGCAAGAACCCATAGATGTCGCAGCGCCTGCAAGTATGTCTTGTTATCAGACGAGACCTGGTTGAAACGCGGGAAAAACGCGGTGACGAGACATGCAATGGCGGCGTCCGACGTGCCCAGGGTGTATTTGCCGCCACCAAGGAAGAGTAAACCGAGAGACATGTGCACCATGACGTGCGTGCCATACTTGAAATTTAGGTTCTGCATGCCAAAGGAGTAACGGAGACGTCGCAAACAGTTGATCTCGCCTGTGCCAGCCATAATCATGTTGAGGGCGACAGAGATCGTGTTGAGACCATCCCGGATGGCGGCTCGTTTGATACGGTGCTCAATGGCAGGAGCTTAAGAAGTACATTATTAGCGACAATATGAATTGCCAGGATGAAACTCACTGTTTGAATACGCCATCTGCGTAAACATGTCATTGTACCGTATCAGGAGCAGATAAGCTTCTTCCCTCGCAGTTCCTGCATATTTCAGGGAAACCGCAAAGCAAGCGCCGGCGATAATGTTGTAGTACGCTAGCTCGAAGCTCTCGTGCACTGTCTTTCCCTTCTGCTTCTCCGCCATCGCATTGCAAATTGACTCCGGGAGCTGAGACATCAGCCAGTCGTTCGTCGGCTGTATGCTTTCGAATAGGATGAGGCAGCGCGCAAGCGTGCGCAGGAGAAGGAAGCTTGGTTGGATGCGGTCGAGTGTGAGTATCGTGTCTGGGATGCTTAGGACGTCGGCGACGTCGCGCCGTTCAGTGCGTAGATACATCAATCCCAGCGCGATCGTCGCCGCTGGGCTCGTCAGGTTGACGTCGAACGCCGGCCGCTGGTGCTTGAGGGTAGTGTTCGCCTGTGTCTCGCCTTGGATGAGCACCCGGAGGCGCGAGAGCAGCACGAGGTCCGCGGGGACATCCGAGCCCTTGCCGAGCATGACCATTCCGAATGCGAGCGCGGCGCTGAACGTGTACGCCTCACGAAACTCGTTACTCAGGTCGGGCTGGACGAGGTCGCGCCGGCTGATTTGGCTGAGACAAACCTCAGCCATGCGCCGATTCTTCGTGCCCATGTAGAGCAACCCGATGCCGGAGATGCCTGCTGCCTGCGTGATGAGCGGTACGTTGAGGTCGACGTCAGGCGTCGGTAACAACGCGGGTGTGTGGACCGCAATGAGCTTCGTGACGTGCCGATTACGCGTGCCGGCGTTCGCAGCGGCTAGGCCAAGTAGCACCGCAATAGAAGTGAGGTCGTGTTTAGGGGTGAGGTACGCAAAGGTGTGCCAAGTGAGCATCTCGCGCAGGTGCCCGGTGAGACCCAACGCGTAGAGGAAACCGGCATGCTCAGGCGTGAGCTCCGATGGCTTGTTGAACTTGATCCACGAACTCTGCACGCCCGTCGCGTTCGGCGCAATGCGCAAGCCAGCTGCAACGCCGTTGTGGAAGTCACCCCAAGCAGCACACTCGTGCGGAATTTTGCCTGGCTCTGGCACGATAAGCTGGTTCTGAGGGTATACTCGGATGGAATACTCGACGCGTGGAGTGACATAAGCCTCGCGGGTGACGGTCTGCACTGCTCCGAATGTGAAGAGCGCTCTGCCCGGTGGGAGTGCTAGGGTACGCTCCGCGACGCGCAGCATCTGCAACTGGTGCTCCTTAGCCTGATCATGCTCACTAACAAGAGATAATGAGTCAACATGCAAGCTCATGCGCCAGCTTGAGGGTACTTACTTGAGCTCTGGCCGCTCTGCAGTCTTGAGCACCGAGACCTTAGACGACGATAAAAGCCGCGCCACTTCCTCGATGCGTCTGTCCTGGCCGAAACGTATATGGGTGAAGTCTTCAAACTCCAGGTCCGGCCCGGAAGTACTCAGGGGATCTCCTACCAGTGCCCACCGCGTCTCGTCGGCGAGCTCGTGAATAGACTTTCGTGAGAACGCGGGCGACTGCGCAGGAAATTAGCGTGGATGCGCTGTACGAGCATTTGGCAATATTCCAGAATATACTCACCACGTAATCCTTCACCGAGCGATACACACCGGTAGTGAGTGGCTCGTGCGAGCTATTGAGACCTTCCGCAAGGTCGTTGCGCCCGACAAGCTGGTACGCGGAAAGCGGCCAATCACCGGATGGGTTCAGCTGGCACGTCCTCAGAGCTTCGCGGAGCGCCGCAGCAGGCCCGATGGGAAGCTTGTCGAGCACAGGGTGGCGCTCCTGGAGGATGGCCATCAGCGTACTTTCGGCACGCTCGCGCGTCGTTGCATCCCTGTCGTCGAGCTGGCGGTAGACGTGTAACAGCGTGTGGAATCGTGTGAGCGGGTCGACCTCGCCGAAAGCGAGAGCAGGGCGGGTGTCCATGGGGAGTAGCGCTGTCCATGGCTCCTCGGGCTCAGCCGCAGCACCCCAGGCTGGATGCGCGATCACACTCCATAAGGTTGCGAATGCATCCGGCGGCGCCACGGGCAGTCTGTCATCGAGGTGCGTCATCACTGTCGATAAAGTGGCATGCAACGTCAGTGAAGATTCCTCCCGGGTATAGCGTGGATATAGGCTAGCCCAGCACAAGAGAACGGAGAGATAATGTAAATGGGATGCGACACATAGTACACACCTGACTTTGCCGGTGAAGGCCATGGACCTATCGCACTCGGGAGGAGGCGTTTCCAATAATCCGCCCACTCGGGGCGAACGATCATAGCAAGCTTACACACGATAGACACCAGAGCAGAGAGCGTGCTATAAAGGTGAGTGTTCAGAAGGCGATCCTGAGCGATATAGTGGAGGCCAATAAGGATAACGCCATGGAAAGAGTTCGGTTTCCAGCTCTTTGGAGGTAAGGGTTCCGGCGGAACAAAAGGCGGAGGTAGCCTCAGGCTTTTGAGTGCAGGGTCGTCCTGGTAGCGATCAAGGCTGGACGAAAATCGCAAGGAATCCCAGAGTGAAGATGCATTCCGAAATTTCCCGTCTTCTGTCACAGATAGGAAGGCATATATTGTGGAACTCAAAGCCCCAAAGGAAACTTCGTCTGCTTGACTAAACCCTGATCGTGACCAGTGCAGAAGGAAGTCGTGATGAAGGGAAAAGAACTCTCCCTTCGGGAGCACAATCGAGAGTATCTGAAGAGTTTGGGTCGTCAACGAGCCCCTGGGGGATAGCTTGATCGTCGTTCGCCTGCTGCTGCCATCTTGGTAACAGATAGTCACCGAAGAGTCCACCGGGTCCTTGAGCGAAATGATTCGGTTTGTGCGTTCATCCCGAAAACTGAGAGGCACACGACGCATACCATGTGTGAGAAGCACCAGCGAGCTATCCGGTTTAAGCACGAGGAGGTCGTATATTTTGTAACGTAGAGCGCGAACAGGTGCGATAGAAGCCGCAGGAAGGCGTACAGGCTCTTCTGCCTGAACCAGGACGCCTTTTTCGCGCTGAGAGAAGGGAAGTACGATCACTTGTTGGCTATGTGGCAGGCAGATCGCGATGCGCATTCGGTCTGTCTCTCCGTCCCATCGGCGGTCGAACAACCCAATAGAGATATTCTTGGAATCAGCGACACTGCATGACCAAAGGGGTACGTTAGCGGCGCATATATATGAGCATATATATACCTTACTCGTCCTCTGAAACTTCTTGACTGGACAGCTTCTCCATCCAGAACGACGGTTTCATTCTAGAATGATCGACGGGGTCGATGTATGGCGTGGAATCGACTCTGCCACCTACTGTGGCCTTGTCAAGGTTTACCTGGTGCTCTTGTCGCCCGAAAGGAGGCGGGGGTGCTGTAGCGGGCGGGGCATTAGGCACCGACCCAGGGACGACAGCTGCCATGGTCGTTATTGTAAGCGCAGGCGGCGCACCGGGAAGCGATGCCAGTGGTGGTTGTTCCATTATACCAGAGCTTAAGGACCCCTGCGATGGCGAGATAGGACTCGAAAGCGAACTACGAGACTTTGCGGTCCGACGAGTCTCTTTGCGGGGGATAGACTGAGGGATGTCTTTCGGGTGCACGTAAATGTACCGCCAGATGGACAGCAACTTCATCTCGCTGTTGACCGAGACGACGATATTCTCCATGAGATCGCCACCAGGGCTTGAGGCCCAAAGGACATGTTCGTGAGCGGGCATGGACTCGGCTTGTTTTTCAGGGTCTTCCTCTTTCAGGGCTGTTGGCATGCCTGCCTTGATTGACGAAGTGAGGCCAACTGTCGACGCCTCCGCAAAAGGGTTGACCATGGTGAAAAGCGTTGGCAGCAGCTCATCCCCGGACGCCTTCACCTCCTCGAGTTCGTTTGGCTCCAGGACACGCTGCATCAAGATTCCATGGGGCGCCAAAGCCCACGCTCGGCGAACGATGAACGGAAGGTAAAACGTGTGCTCAAGGCCATTCATGAAGAACACCCGGCCGACGCTGCGCAGGAAGATAAATACGGCGCGACACCGGAGAGGTGGCTCTTGCTTGCTCTTCGTCTCGTCTCGTATACGCGCGAATGGGCCGAATGTGGGACGCTGTTTCTCGTCTTGCAGTGCAGCCTCTTGGTAGTCTTGGTCTTCTGATGTGCAGTGCCCTGAGCGCGCCGTGTTCGCGACAGATGCGGGCACCTCGAAGGATCCGATGCACGCCCACTGAACAGACTGGCCCTCCTCCTCGAAGCTCCACTTCTTGCGAACCACACCACCCGAGCCAAGAACAACATGGTACGTGTCCCAGGTTAGCTCTTCTTCTTCCGCGCTATAGTCGCTGGATGGGCAAGGATACAGCTGAGAGGTGACAGGGTTGGCGGCGTCTTCTTTGGAGCCGCGGAGGACACTCCGTATGGCCTTCAAGAGATCTGACTCCGCGTTAGTTTCATTGAGAATTGGGATAACAGGATCCGGAGCTTTGACTTTGGCCTTTCGGTCGAAGAACCGCCGGAGAGGTGTAGCCTCCCGAAACGCGAGTTCGATGGGGATGGGTTCTACAGTTTGCATATCGATTCCGATTGGGAGGGTAAGTGTCCAACGTGTATCAAAGGCACGCACACTCCTTCCTGCTAGAGTCTAATGCCCCTGCATACACTGCGCAATTGACTCTAGTCCTCTCCTGGTGAAAGAGTACTTGTCTTGAGAGCGTCTGGTTACCGGGAACAACTAGGGGTGAGTAGCTTGGCGATAAAGCTAGCAGCGCACGGTCTTAAGAATTATGTAGAAAGGCAAGCACAAAGAGTCGGGGGGTCAAAGGAATATCTGGCTGGTGCGGGCGCGGCAGGAAGGAGTGACGCGACGCGTCGACAATATTTGGCGTGCGTCTGTCACGCTCCTCCCACGTAAGCGTGATTAACTCAGCCGAACTCTCTAGTATTTATGCCAGAAATTACCAGATGATATTTTACGTGTCGTCAAAAAATCACAGATAACGTTCAATTCGCGTCTTTCCCTGATTATTGCTCAGCATTTTAGGGCTAAGTATCCAGTACTTGTGTGACCGCGACCACTGGGCGATAGAGATGTTGACGATCCCTGCCCTCCAACATCTGAAATCCACTCCCTGTGGCGTGCAGACCTAATTCTCAGGACCGATGAGAGCAGTGCATTCCCTGAATCAAGATTCGACCGAAATATCACTTCGCTTGCCTGCGAGCAAGCCGAAAGCAATTTGGTGCGTAATCACCGTAGTAGAATGCAGGGACATAGCCGCGAGCGCTGGAAGAGCTCGAACGTCTTGCATCCTAGTGAGATCAAATTTGGAGGTCGACACAGCGTTACACGCACAAGGTGGAGTGAGCCATTATGTCCAGTTATTAGGGTTGCGCCAGACATGCGCTTCTGTCCATTAATTGGTGCACAGCTATGCGTACAAAATCAGGGTACGCTCCCGTACTCGCCATTCTGCCGTGGCGCTGTCGACATCAAACTCTCTTTGACGCTTGAGCATCAACGGCGAGCTCTCGCTAGATGTACCCCCAAACATCGACATAATCTGCGCGTCGGACATGGAGAGGTCTACGTCAAGGTGGTAGAGCGACGGCACGTCCAGTATGATTCGACGGGGCTCTACATCTAAGGCGGCTGCAGCGACATCCTCGTGCGTCTATGCGACAGGTTCGTGAGCATCGTAAAAGCCAGCAAAAACATCATGAGGTCTGCTTACAAGATTCGGTACGTCTACAATTATCTTGATCCTCTCGCCCTCTTTCGTCCACTCAAATAAGGGTCTCTCCTGCGCTCCACCAGCGTCTGCCACCGCGGGTCCCCGCTTGAGAATTCCTTTCGGCTGCGAGGTCGCCTGCGCGGGTGTCTGGGCTTTTGCTGGCACGTCCTTGCCAACTTCCTGGACCTCTTCGACAAGCCGCTTCTGATCCTTCTCGACCTGTGCCTTGAGGGTATGCGCAGCCGGGAACAGCGCAAGGGGCACAAGCGCGCTCCGCGGCACGAGCTTGCCTTTGGATGCGATGTTCGGCGTACCGATCTCGCGCGACAGCGATAAGCCGTACTGCGCCTCTATGCGCTGCAGTGCCAGCTCTGTAGTCCAATCAGGACCCTCCATGTTGCGACATTTGAAACAAGATACCCACCGATAAGGAACGTGCGGAAGGCAGTGTCTCTGGCTGAGCGCGACTTCAGCAACAAGTTGTACACACAGTCAATTACCACCGAGGGCTTGCCGGCTATACGTCAAGAGCTATCAGGAAATTGCGTCAACGTCGAAGCAGTTGGGCAGGCGGAAGAGGGCAGAAGCAGGCCGAAACTCATGCCCGGGAAGGTGGCGAAAGGGAGATTTAACTCGACATCGAAAGCAGGTCAATTGGAGGACGCGGCGAGAAGTTTGGGAGAGGGGGCAGAGGGCGCTCAATTAAGCTTTAAGCCGTGCCAGCAAGCTATGTGGCGTCATAGCCTGGGGCAGTAGTATGCTCGCCTATAGACCTCTTCGTACCTGCCTCGGCAAGGGCTGGACGTATGTACAGTGGCACCCAGCGTCCAAAGCAACTTTCAATAAGCTTCTGGTACCTTCTTCTCGGGCATTGACAAAGGACCCGCGTCGCGACGAAAGTTGTTATTCCCGTCTGGGATAGACGCCTCGCGGGATAGGGAAACAAGAGCGGCTCGAAGCCAGCGAAGATACTCCTCTTAGGAATAACGGAAGAAGCGAAGTGCTTAGTGAATAGGAGAGTTTGCTCACCTTTGTCGGCGTCCATACGCGGCTCAGAGACGATTACTGGTACAAACCACGCGCGACCGTTTGCAAGCGCGTCCTCGTCTACTTCCTCCTCGCCCGACATAGCCTTGCGTATTGTCTCTTCGCTGCCCTCCGGCGGTGGCGGGACGTTAGCGTCCCAGGCTATGTTCAAGAACACCTTCATGCCTTTGAGTATCGTCATCGCACCAGAAAGTATCGTGACATCCTTTGCTTGGCTCTTGTTAGAGGACGAGGGCGACAGTTGCAGATTGCATGTGGCAGATTGTAGTGCAGTAGACTTGATGCAAAACCCGGGTTTGGGGGAGAGGTCTACTTGAATCGTGCGTGCGTCCATAGGCTAATTAAGCGTAAGCGTGGAATTCCACGTTTGTAGCAGTGTATCCCGGCTTCGGCCGATGTAGACAGACAGAGACAGACTTCTGGTAAGCAGCGGGAGGCAAAGGCGTCCGATTCAGTACTTTGCAAAAGAGTCGATCGTGAACTGCCCCGGGCCTCAGTTGCAAATATAGGCGAACACGTGTCGAGGCAAGCTTGGTTGTGGGTGTTAAACGGCTATACGGACGCGAGGTTTGCGATATGGACTTGGAGGTCGTCGTAGGATGAGACAAAGTCAGGCTGGTCAGGCCGTCCCCAATTCTCCCGAGAATTGTACGAAACAGCATGTCCAAAAGCGGATAATTGCCGCACTTTTGATCCAAAATCGTCATGTGCTGCACATTCAATACTCGAAGCTGACCAGTTTTGGCCATAATCTAACACGTTCGTCTGGACGAGTCATTTCACAAATTTCGAACTTTCTCCGGCCAATAGCTTTCAGTCTTTCGGAATCCTCGACTCATCCACCAGCCGTGCTTACAACCACTCGCACGTCAGACGTTGCCATCACTCCTTTTACCCAGACTACGACCAGAGCCTTGCACGGGCCTTAGCTCTGTACCCCAGAAAGACCTAGAGCCGGAACATAAGGCATTGCATCATATGTCGACAGAGACTGTACCGACAAAAAGGTCGTGGAGACCTGGTGAGTGCGCCACGTCTTTCTACATCACTGCGGATATCCTCATGAGTAATATCACAGTCATCCCTGCGCAGAGCAACCCAGAGAATGTGACACCCGTGCCAGAGGACTCGGTGTCCTTTCAAACCTACATCCAGGATCGTCGAGTCATCGGGGTGGGTTTCACTCTATTTCCGCTGATTTGACAGCGCATTTTGTTTTTTGGATCATTTCCGCAACCGCCGGGCGCCGTAGGTGCTCTGCGGATATTCGCTCACGCAGACCGGGAACCATACACTCTCGCTTACCTTACCAGGAGTGCGAGAGTATATTGTGGACCCTGCATATGCGTATCTATCGTCCGAGTGCGAAAATATCTCCGGTTTCCTCGACGCACGTTGGCGCGGCAAGTTGCTGGCACGCGCCCGTTCACACACATGGCACTGCAGCTTTGTGGCGGGGGAACCTTGCTCGATTGCTGAGGCACCCTGAAGCTCGAGTAATCGAGTACAGGAGGTACCTCGCACCCAACGCGCCCCGATTAGGCCTCGCCATCTAATTCTGTGCAGCACCGCGTATGTGGTCCGCGGTCACTGCCACTGTCCTCTTGGGAGGCGGTTACGCGGGTTGATGGTTGCAGAGGCACCGCGCGAATACCAAAGCACACGCCATGCACTCTCAAATGCTACGACGCAGAAGCATTTAAACTGGAGGCAGCAATTGGCATCCTCAGTGGTCTGCACTCCACCTTCTCTCAACCTTTCGACTCTTCCTTAGACTCTCCTAGACAGTCTTCTTCTCTCTTCTTCATTGAACATCATCTCTTCTCACTTCTCTTCTACCCACACTTCCAAAATGCTCTACTCTGCTCCAGCACTTGGCCCCAGCCTGCCTCTGTCTGTTCAGCAGAAGCTAAACGAGGATTCGCAGTATGACCCCCTGGTCCAGCCCTCGCTTCTCCGCCACGAAATCCGCGCGTCGCCTCAGTCGCAAGCAACTACTGCCGCCGCCCGCTACGCCGCCGCCCGCATTCTTGCAGGCCAAGATGACCGGGTCATTGTAATTGTCGGCCCTTGCTCGATCCACTCACCGGAGCAGGCGATTGAGTACGCCCACCTGCTTCGTTCCAAGCTCTCCTCTTGGACGAACCTGCACATCATCATGCGGGCTTACTTGTGAGTGCACATCTGCACTTTTCCTATCTTTTCTTTTGACTAACAGTTTTCACAGCGAGGTGAGGATATAATTTAAGTAGCGGTCTACCTTCAGTTGTTGACGCACAGCCAGAAACCTCGGACGACGGTCGGCTGGAAGGGTCTCATTAACGACCCCGACCTTGATGGGTCCTTCAAAATTAACAAGGGTATTCGCGTTGCGCGCCAACTCTTGTGCGACTTGACCAACCTCGGCTTGCCCGTTGGCTCTGAGCTCCTCGATACTATTTCGCCACAGTACATTTCGGACCTCACCACCTGGGGTGCGATTGGAGCACGAACGACCGAGTCGCAGTTGCACCGTGAGCTCGCCAGCGGTGTCTCCTTCCCTATCGGTTTCAAGAACGGTACCGACGGAAGCGTACGGATTTTTCTCCCCCTTGCAGGCTGTAGCTGACTAAGATTCGCGTGACTTTAGGTTACCGTCGCAGTCGATGCCATGCGCTCGGCGTCGAACCCGCATGCCTTCATGGGTGTCACCGAGCACGGTCTCGCTGCCATTGTCAAAACCCGCGGTAACCAGGACGTCCATGTCATCCTCCGTGGTGGCACTCGGGGACCCAACTATGCTGCCGAGCACGTTCAGGCTGCTGCAAGTGCTATCGCCAAGGCGCGCCCGAACTACCACCCGTCGATCATGGTCGACTGCAGCCGTGAGTTCCTATATAGACGTCTATCGTCTTGGGCTCTAAGTTTCATTGTGTTTCGCAGATGGCAACTCACAGAAAGACCACAATAACCAGCCCAAGGTTGTCGACTCGATCTGCGAGCAGCTTCGTGCAGGCGACAAGACTATCACTGGTGTCATGATTGAGTCGAACATCAACGCCGGCCGCCAGGACGTCCCGGCCGAGGGCCCGGATAGCCTCAAGCACGGTGTCTCGATCACGGACGCCTGCGTGGATTGGGATACGACTGTCGAGATGCTCGACCGCCTGAACCAGGCCGTCGCGGACAGGCGCCACATTTTGCTCGAGCAGGCCCTGGAGAACAAAACCCAGTGAGCATCACGATAGAACAGCCCTTTATCTGTAGACTTAGGTAAGATCATTTTCTGGAGTTGTGCTTGAATGTAGCTTATGGCTTCGGGTCGAATTCGGGTTGTCTTAGATGCCTTGTATGCTAGATGGCTTTGAGCCTTCGTTGCTGTATCTATCAAGGAGCTCTGTATCATTCATTTTTCCATGCTATTCAACGTCTGTGGGAGGGACGACCACCGCACGGCCCGCATGAGCATCTCGGGTGTCTGTCAGCTTGTTACCTTTGCTCACGTGTTACCCTCCGGCATCTTCGTCGTAATCCCAGTCCGAGGTAGAGTCTCAGCGATGCGCCCATTCAGTCGCTATCTACTCCGGCGACCTTCTCATCGTGAGTTGTGTACCGAAATCCTGTCCGCGCACGCCACTCGCTTGGGGGCCAATGACAGGCCCACTAAATGACAGCGCAAGCGCTTGGCTGATAGACGGCTGAAACCGTCGCCTATTGCCGGCGGTGCGGTGCAGTGACCTGTACTCTGTGGAGATCGGGCTTTAGTGCCTGCTCCTTGGCACACGCGGGTCCATGTACAGACCTTGGGAAGCACGCACCAATATTGTAAGAGCCCTGGGGAGATGCGGCATCCGTCCGAGGTGTGATACAATCCTTTACCTGCAGAACCACAACTCCTAACTGACATTCCTGCACCGAGCCTGGTCCGTCTCGTGCGAGGAAATATTAGAAAACTACACTTCACATTGTGCGATCGTCTTCCGTAAGACCGACTACAGCGCGTATTTAATCCGAACCCGACACGGATGTTGAACGCGATGTATGGCCCTGTGCCCGCGGCTCGCCAGTGTGAGCCATCAAAGCCCCGATAGCGACAATGGCCTCTTCTACGGGCTCTCAGGTGAGAGTGCTCCCACTCCACGGCGCTGCAGTCGCCCGAGAGATAGGCCGCATGCAGACACTCCCGCATGTCTCCGCACGCCTGTCCGCGCAGTTAGATTGTACACATTTCACATGATCGACAACACAGGCCTATAGCGATCCACGGCGCAGGGCGGTGCGTCGGGCTCACGAGCCACATGTGCGTTGCTGTACACTTTGTGGGGGTGATCTACCATTTACGGTCCCTAGGTGGACTTATACGGACGGCTGCTTTCCCATGGGTAGTTTCAAGCACTCTTATTCCTGGTGCGCTGTACCCACAGTATCTCGATGGCACGTCCTCGGCTGCTGCGCTTTGGGGCGTGCCTGACGAGCGGGCTGCTTCGCGTTCTCAACGTCTCAACATCTTCGGATATCTGCATTCGGTGAGTCTGCCGGCCCGACTACTATGAACGTCGTCGATAATCTCATGTGTAATCTATAATGGACAGTCGCACGAGCTCAGAGCACTTCCGAACACAGATCGCTGATACATGCAAATAATATACTTCTATCACGAGACGAAAAAGGCTCGGCGGGGTTTAGCGTCTGCTCCTTGGCCGTGCTATCGGGTGCAGAATGGCAAGATTCGACAAGACCTTTGCCAGAATCTCTGCACCAAATAGAAGAATGGTAACCCAGTGGGAATGTTGCGGGATTTCGATGCGCCGCAAAGAGAAAATGGGACGATGTGCTACGGGATTTCGATGCGCCGCAAAGAGAAAATGGGACGAGTGCCGCGGGATTTCGATGCGCCGCAAGAGAAAATAGGGTGCGTCCTCACTCGTAGGTACCTATGTGAACGCTGCACCTAATATAACCATTATTCTCACTATCCATAGACTTCACTTGCCGGATGTGACGATACTCACGATCGTACACGGGCGAAGTGTTATCGTGGCCTGCTAGTGTTCCACCTGTGTGGCGTTCTAGCCGATTCGAACCGGTGGGACGAGAGATAACGAGTTCTTCCATTCCCTGAGCATAAGTTACGTGGACCATATGCGCATACTAACTGCATTTGATTACTGTGTGTCGTAGGTATCTGGCTGGGTGTGCACACGTATAAAGGAACGCTTCTCAGGGTAGCAAGAACTGGCTCTTTGTCCTCGCGATCGTCGACCAACCATGTCGACTCACTCCGTCGAGGAGAAATACGACGTCCCCGATACTGAGAAGCAAAGTGCGTAGCTCGTCATAAGTCTCGTCTGTAATTCTATGATTTCCTGATTTAGAGGCAGGGGACGATGTCGCGCAGGTCCTTATTGCCGAGTTCGATGACCCGAACCTTGACTTAAATGCTGAGCTTCTGGGTAAGTAGCGATCTCACGTCTTCGTCTCTGTCGAGGATGCTCAACGATCGTGTCAGAGGACGACTCTCCCTACCCGGAGGTCCGTTCCGCCGTCGCCAACACGGACAACCCCGACATGCCCTGCGGCACCTTCAGGGCTTGGTTCATCGGTTTACTCTGGGCCATCCTCATCCCAGGTCTTAATCAGTTCTTCTTCTTCCGTTTTCCCTCGGTCACGATCAGCGGCGTGGGTTATATGCCTTATCCCTTACAGCAGAGCGGCTGATGAGTCACATGCAGGTCGTCGCCCAACTGATTTCACTCCCCGTCGTCCGTCTTTGGGCACGCGTCGTCCCCAGGGTCAAAGTCTTTGGTGTCTCTCTCAACCCGGGACCATTTACCGTTAAGGAGCATGTCCTGATCACCATTATGGCTAGCGTCGGTTCTGGATCTGCATATGCTGTACGTTCGCCGCTTTCGTGGAGTCGAAACAAGGTTAATTTACTGCGTCATCTAGACGGATATCATTGCTGTGCAGCGCGTGTACTACAACCAGGTCAACAACTTCTCCTATCAGTGGCTGCTGGTCATGTCGACTCAGCTCATCGGCTTCTCCGTCAGCGGCATTGCTCGTCGCTTCCTGGTGAACCCACCATCGATGATCTGGCCCGCGAACCTGGTCACCTGCGCGTTATTTAACACCCTGCACTCCCAGAAATACGCCGGAATGGGTACGCGTGGTGGTATCTCGCGCGAGAGGTTCTTCTTCTACAGCTTCCTCGCGTCCTTCTGCTGGTACTTCATGCCCGGATACCTCTTTGCGGCACTCTCGTTCACAAACTGGGTCTGCTGGATTGTCCCAAATCACATTGTCGTCAACCAGCTCTTCGGCACCGTCTCAGGCCTCGGCATGTCAATCCTCACCTTCGACTGGTCCCAGATCGCGTACATTGGTTCTCCTCTCGCGACACCATGGTGGGCAGAGGCGAACGTCGCATTCGGCATGGTCTTCTTCTTTTGGATCATCTGTCCATCACTGTACTATACCAATACTTGGAGCTCGAAGTATATGCCTATCTCGTCTACTCACGCGTTCGACAACACTGGCGCGTCATACGACGTCACTCGCATTATCAGCAACGATACCGAATTCGACGAGGAGAAGTATAGAAACTACTCGCCCTTGTTCCTCTCCACGACGTTCGCTCTGTCTTACGGTCTGTCCTTTGCGTCTATCACTGGTATGTTGTGTTGTCATCGAGACACTGGCCATTCTGCTGACATTCATGGCTTTCAGCAACGCTGACGCACACTTTCCTTTACTACCGCAAGCAAATCTGGACCCAAGCCCGCCGTTCAATCAGCGAGCAACCTGACATCCACGCCCGCCTCATGTCCAAGTACCCGCAGGTGCCCGAGTGGTGGTATGTCATTATCTTCTGTCAGTACTTTCACTTTATCGTCCTCGTCCCCAAACTCCTAGCTAAATTTACTGTAGTATCGATGTTTGTTTTTGGTGTCATCTGCATCGAAGTCTGGTCGACGCAGATGCCGGTGTGGGCCTTCGTGTTGGCTCTGATAATCTCCTTCGCCTATGTCATCCCCATCGGAATGATTCAGGCAATTACGAACCAGTCAGTTGGCCTGAACGTCATCACGGAACTCATCATCGGGTATGCGTTACCCGGCAGGCCCATCGCGATGATGATGTTCAAGACATGGGGCTACATCACCATGGCGCAGGCGCTGACGTTCGCGAGTGACTTCAAGCTCGGGCATTACATGAAGGTCCCGCCGCGCCCGATGTTCTGGTGCCAGCTCCTAGCGACCGTCGTCGCCGGCACCGTGCAGCTCGGTGTTCAGGCGTGGATGTTCACGAATATTTCGGACATGTGCTCCCAGACCCAAGATCATGGTTTCACATGCCCCTCGACCGAGGTCTTTGGCACCGCGTCCATCATCTGGGGAGTCATTGGTCCCGCACGCCAGTTCTCGCATGGCCAGATCTACTACGGCCTAGTGTTCTTCTTCCTTGCTGGATTCCTCGCGCCCCTCATCACAGTGATATCAGCTTAGTCTTCCAAGTCTGCACGTATGCTGATCCGCTTTTTTTTTTTTTTACAGTGGCTGGTTCAGAAACGCTTCGGGCAAAACACCATTCTCAAATACATCAACTGGCCGGTCATCTTTAGCGGCACAGGCCTCATCCCACCCGCGACGCCGTCTAACTACGTCACCTGGTCTGTTGTCGGCTTCATCTTCAACTACATCATCCGTCGCCGCCATTTCTCCTGGTGGACTAAGTACAACTGTGAGCACCATCCGTACCCAATATCATTGAGTATCGTCTGAACGCGTCATGCTTTTAGACGTTCTGTCCGCGGCCCTCGACTCTGGTGTCGCCGTCTCTGTAGTCATTATTTTCTTCTGCCTGCAATTCCCGCAGAATGGTACTATCGGCGCCAGCACAGTTCAGGGCTGGTGGGGCAACACCGTGTCCTTCAACACCGCAGATGGCAACAAACTCCCGCTCCTGCAGGTTCCTGTCGGCCAGTTCTTTGGGTAAGCATCCCTCTCGTGTCCCGTTCGCTCACGGCTCTTCGCTGACGATTATGCAGCCCTCGCACCTGGGCCTAAGGCTCTCACGATGCGTACGATTTCTGATGATTTGTTCATAGTTTCTGTTGTAACGGTGTATTGTATGGACTGTATGACATGATTACATTGACTGTACATGTAGACTTGTGCTCAACGTGCGAATATACCTTTTGCATGCGGCAGATACTCTGCTAACCTAGCCGCGTCGACATGATAGAAATCCTAGGGTTAATATACTTGACCACGCTGTGATTGCGCCACCGTGCAACCTTATCCTGGACGCGGTGGTCGCGTGGCACCATCGTATGACAACCAGGCTGTGGAAGATATGCGAATAGATGGCTGCTATACATTATGTGAGGACAATTACAAGCGGTGATCCGATCGATACATCAGCGGAATACATTGGGTTGATAGGCTAAGATCTAACACCTCGCATAGCTACAGAAATGTCCGAATGGCACGAGAAAGGAGAATAATTTTAACCTCCGGCCTTGCCCAGCAGAGCATATCCGTTGCCTGCCGGCCCATGAAGCTGGAGAAAATTGAGTCAGTAGGAATACAAGCATGAAAAGGTTAGACGTGAAGAGGTCGGGCTGACCTTGCCGTAGCAGTGTTTGCAGTATGGGCTGCCTTCATTCTCCGTGAGACGCGAAGAGTCTAGCACAGTGCCACACTCCGTACATCGCAAGCAGTTGCGATGCCAGGTCCTGCCGATCGCCTTCACCTGTAGATACTTGTTAGGACCGAGTGGACAGGAACCAGTGACACGGCTTACCTGCTCGGCAAAATAGACTGTCTTCTGGCATTTTGGACAGACAGAGTTGCTACCTCCCCACTGTCTCCCTGTTGTCATAGGCGCTATCGGTGAAGCCGTCCGCCCACTCAACGCCGCCCCGTACCGAGTACCCGTAGGCGTAGGTCCGAGCGGTATCGTCATCCTACCTCCGATCACAGGAGTGCTCGACGTAACCCCGTCCGAGGTGATCGACTTCTTGACAGGACCAGGTGTACGCGGTGGGCCAGCCATAGTCGACTCCAGAGGTACCGTTCGCGGAAGACCATTCGAACCGCGACCTGCGTGCGAAGGGGTTCCTGTTACGGCCGGCGGCCCCCAGTCTTCATCAGCATCCGCGTTCTTCGTCTCCGTGAGCTCCATGGGCTTTTCCTTCGGTGGTGTGGACGATGAGGTGGTTGGTAAACTGATCTGAGCACCGAACGACGCACGCTTCTGGCCCCAGGTATGCGTGGGTTTGAAGACAGGAGACGTCGCGCCCTCGCGCGGGCTGGTATACGGCCCACTCGCGGGGCGCGGTGGCAACGGTGGCGGAGCGCTTGAGGGAGAAACAATAGGAGGAAGTGTGGCATCTACAGAAGCGGGGGAAGTAGGTGGAGACAGAAAAACGTCGTCGCGGTCAGGAAGGTTCGCGTGCCGGAGGTCGCGGGTGCCGAAAATTTTTACATGACAAGTGTTACTGGGGGTAAGTCAGCACATGGGAATGAGCAATGAACTCTAAGGCATACCAGTATGGCTAAGATTCAAGATTGCAATCAGATGTGGAAGATAGAAAGAATAAGTCTGCTCACTTCCTCATTGTGTTCCACTAAACTGTACGAGTCTAGACGTTTCTTACATGATGTACATGTCAAGCAGGGCTAGGAAATATGTCGGCTAATATATTTCGTTGGATATAGCGTCGCACATACCTTATGATACAGCTAAAGTGCAGAAATAAGGTCAGAAAAGCGATCAATGCGGGGCAGTTACGCAGACCTTTCGCCCTGGGCCCATAATCTGAATCTGCGTGTTAACATCACCAATTCTTGACGTAACTCCAGAGTGTACGCACTTGTTCCGCTGCGTAAACAGCTTTACTGCAGCGAGGACATATCGGTGTTCCTCCAAAGGGGTGCATGGTGGTCAAGAGCAAGAGAGGGCGATGGCCTGCGCCTCCCGCTTGCTGTGTCACCCGACGACTCCGGCTCGCGCGCCCGGTGAAGTCATCCTCGGCCACCGGCCATCCGGCCGGGCACAGGCAACGTGGAAGCCCGACGGAGATTGCCGAGATATTGCGGCGCCGGCGATGGAAAATGATGAGCGCTCAAAAAAAGCAGCTTTGCTCTTCAGCTCACCCTCCGCTTCCAGCCCTCCACCTTCGTACACATACCCACTTCCCCTCATCCCTATTACCATTCACTGCCACCATGTCAGACGATGAGCAGCACCAGCACAACTTCGAGCAGGTGCGCACACTAATTTTTGTGTCGATGAGCCCCCAAGCTGATATTCTGCCCTCCTGGTGTAACATAGGCCTCCGCCGGAGCCTCGGCCACCTTTCCTATGCAATGCTCTGCCCTTCGCAAGAACGGGCACGTCGTCATCAAGGGTGGGTGCACGCGTCGAGGCTCCTGCGAGAAAGGGGGAAGTACTCATATTCTCGCTTAAGGCCGTCCTTGCAAGATTGTTGAGATGTCCACCTCCAAGACTGGCAAGCACGGACATGCTAAGGTCCACCTTGTTGCCATTGACGTATGTGCAGATTATTATCTGTGTAAAATCCTGTCTTTACGCGTCTTATCGTACCTGTCAGATCTTCACTGGCAAAAAACTGGTTAGTCGAAGCGTTTCAAGGTGATAATGCTGCGATCTGATTGGCTATTCGCGCTTCACAGGAAGATATCTGTCCTTCTACCCACAATATGGATGTTCCCAACGTCTCCCGTAACGAATATCAACTCGTACGTGTATCAACTCCTAGAAATCGCGTCAAATCAAATTCACTCCGTCTTCCATAGGTCAACGTCGACGACGGTTTCCTTAACCTTATGACGCAGGACGGTACTGCTAAAGACGACGTCAAGGTCCCTGACAGCGACCTCGGCAAGCAGATCCAGGGTGATTTCGACGAGGGGAAAGATCTGCTCGTCACCATCGTCTCCGCTATGGGCGAGGAACAGGCTATCTCCTACAAGGAAGCGCCCAAGGGCAGCTAGACGTATCGCCTCTCGCGCTCTGCATTTTTACTCCTCGATATCCGTTCCTCCATCTTTTGCGCTGTTCTGCTTCTTCCTGCACAATCAATATAGCACCAGTCCTCATACGTCTGTGCATGTACTCATTGAAGTGTTTCCATGTACTTCGCACGCCGTCGTTGTTCTAGTCAGTCGTTGTTGTTGATCATGATATATCGGAGCTAGCGTCGCATCTAGCAGTTCTCACAAGTTTTCCTTTGCGTGTCTCGCAATGGACTTCTGCATGTATGCGAATCTAACAGGGAGAACGAAGTGCCGAAGTCGTCCATACGTGGTTGTGTGCCCAAAAGCTTGAGGTCACGGTGCAGGTGATTTTTCCTTCGAGTAAGTACAGAGCACATCTGATTATAACGGCAGGGCTGTGAATGTGTCCCGATACGACTGGTAACTTGCGAAAGCAGTCCGACAAAGCACGAAAAAGTCTCGAACAGGCAAAATAAAAAGGCGAATTTTCGGGTCTTCCCTCCTCCTAGGTCCCCTCCACCACCCCTCATCGTTCGACATGGCTATCGCTCCTGCGGCGTCCGTTCCCGATAGTACCGCTTAGCGACACGCTCCCGACGCGCTGACGGCGTACCGGGTCGCGGTACGTCTTCTGCTCCCAGTTCCATGTTGCGTAAAGCTTCGCGTCAGGCGCTGGCTTTGCGGGCGGCGCATCGCCCTTCTCCTTCCTCATACCGTCCTTGGTTGCGCCGTTCGCCTGCGGCTGCGGCGGCTGCGGCCCCGAATTCCAGGATGCACTCACGCCGGGGCCGTACGTCAACTTCCGGCCATCCTGCACCAGCGGCAGCGGAGGCCCGAAGCGCGTCGTGCGCCGGAGGACATTGATCTGCATGCAGAAAGCCGGGCGTGAGATGTCATCCTGAGGCGTGATGCGCTGCTACTCACCGGCAGAACCTTCTGCGCCAGCGCGGGGATCCGCGAACCCTGCTGGCTCACCAGCGGCGCGACACGCTCTTGGTACATGATCGGGCGTGGCTGGTGCGGCGGGAACTTCGGCTCTTCGGTCTCCTTGCCCTTGCCGTTTGTCTTCTCGTCGATGGCGATAGGGTACCATGGCCCAATGCTGCTCACGCGGGGCATGTTGGTGCCCGAGATGCCGTACACCGACGGCAGAGGCTCCCAGCGCGGATTCTTCTGGCTCTCTTCAATCAAGGCGACAGCAACCTTGTACCGCGCTGGATTTGTTGGGCCCTGCTCCATCGGCGGTGGGTGCGTTAATGCGTAGTGGTACGCCTGGTACAGTGATTGTTGAATCTCTGGCAGGGCGAGCTGCGGTGGAGGTGGAGAAGGAGGACTGATAGGTCGTACCGGGAGACTAGATAAGGGCTGCGAGGCGAGTATCGAGATATTGTGTGGAACGCGGTTCTTGTAGTCTGCGGTACTGAGCGCAACGTCCGGTGGTGGCGTGATTGGCCGTTCTGGCTTCAAAGGCGCGGAAGATAGCGACGACACGGCAGGCGGGAGGGATATCGGAGGAGGTGACGGCGTGCGCTGTGGTGTATGGCTCGGAAAAGGAGGTAAGAAGTCGGGTATATGCGGTGGCGGATTCCAACCTGAAGTTCTTGGTCTCTTCCGGGGCGGCGTTGAGGGGTTGGATATCGGAGAAAGGGGCAGCATTGGTGTAAGCGGACGTGGACTGGATATTCGTCCGTTCTTCTGTTCCTCAAGCATGTGTGTCACATCTTCCTCCGGATTGGCGACATCGACGTTCATTTGTTGCGAAAGTGAGGGTGGGCTCGCTGGTAAAGCCTCTTCACTCTCGCTCTCTTCTTCCGAGACTTCTTCATCCGTAGGCATGTCCTCCGGGACAGGCATGTAGACAAGATGCATTGCATCGTCGCGATCCTCTCGCAGACCAACAGACAGCGCGGCTACAAAAACATGTCATTCGAACGGGGGAGATTGTAAGGTGGCAAAACTGACCTCGGAACTCGTTGAGGTCTTCCAGCCTGCGCGCGGTGTGTATCGCGTACCGCGCCATCTCCTTGCCTTCCGTCGCACAATACTCGTTTAATTCCTCAACTCCCACTCCCAACTCATCCAGCGCGCAGACGGCGTCCCTCGCCGTGAGACGCAGTCGTCCCGCGTGTTCAGCGTACTTGGCGCATGTGCTTGCAAGGACTTGTAGATACCGCGAGAGGAGGTCGGTCAGGACATTTGTCGCCTGTGTAGAGGACTTGGAGAAGTGGTGTGCATGTAGAGCCTCGATAGTCGCGGTCTCGAGTAGCTTCTTTGCCCCTGCATCCATTCCTCTCGTCGTCGTTGAGCTCGCTGTGGTGGCGGTTTGAGTCCCAGGGTGGTTCGGGCTCCGATTGCTAAATTCGGACTCAGCAACTCAACGAGTCAATCCCGCACTCTTACGGCGCCTGTCTGCCCTCCGCCCCGACACCCACGACGACGGACACGAATCCGCGATAGCTGTGATAGAAAGTTCCAGTTTAAATTTGATATCTAATTATTCACATTATACCTTGTTCACGAGATCCTTCTTTGTTGTCTCGTTTGCTGGTGTCCCGCAAGGGTGCTTTGCAGTCTCTTCGATCTGCATACTAGGTGGTGGTTATACACCAATATCTTATACCATACAAGGCTTATCTTCATTCAGCAAGCTGCATCGCAGATTATTGCGCCAGTAAACGGAGGAGCGCTGCCTCTATCAGTCGTCTTCGTTAAACTTGGCTCTTGTTCTGCCTCTTTCTTTTCGATAAAGAATCTCTCGCGTAAGTCGTTCAAGGTTCATAAGTATACTTGCTGTTGATATGACCTCATAGTGTCTGCTTATGTAGTCATGTAGTCTTCAGCTTTCAAGGCCATACACATCAGAATGCACCGCGGTTCACTGGCTATCTTCGTAAGGCTCACTCACTTTTAGTTCGCTAAGCCAGAATACTTGTAGTGCTCTTGATGTCTGATGATTGCATGCGCGCGGTACTGCTACATTTAGAATACGCTGGTCGTTCAAGAGCGATTTTTCCGTATTCACACTGGTACGGAAAACCTCCACGCATGCATACACAGCCATCTAGCACTGATTCAGAGGATCTCGGAAGCATTAGCAAGCCGCACGCTGGGACATCCCCATGAGTCCTGACCTAGCCGTCGATATTCCCGTTGGAGTATCGTTCAGCCGCACACTGAACAGTCTGTGGTCGTTTGTATGATAACTCTAGGGGCTAGAATGTCTGACCACTGGCCGACGCACAAGTTCTGTCGAGGTGTCGTTCATCGTTAGTTCATGTAAAGGAACAAGAGTATAACAGCGTGTTCGCGCTAGCTCGTGAGATACGACATTAAACGCGATATACACGATGCCTAGTAAGTTCGGCACCGTTGAAATGCGACCTAGTGGGGCTTGGCCGAACGCCACGAAGAAGGCGCCAATCATTTCTAAGCTTCGGAGCTGGCTTCAACCAGCTCGTATCACTTTTCCGCCCTGCTGCATTATTCAAAACATCTATCTTGCTGTTCTGAATCCACATGCCGCGTAATGAAGCAGAGACAAACGCCCTGTACGCGGCTCTAACTCGTAGCATGATAGAGAGTGGTGAATGGGTCGATGCTGATAGGCTTGATCCCTTTCAGTTGCTCGTTTGTTAACTGAAGCGAAGATGTTTAGATCGTTCCAGTGCATAAGCATGTGAACACCCACCGAATATTTCTTTTTCGCCTTACTGTGAAGGAGGGCCCATTGGGCCCCGTCAGCTCTACAGCTGAAGCGACAGGAGCAGCTTCGGAAGGGCCAGCTTGTGGACTCTGCGCGAGGGTTAGGGCTCTCGTGCTATTTACCGGGCAGTAGCGACGGTGTGCCCCTATGTGGCGAGTTAGAGTCAGGGCTCTCGTGCTGTTGACCGGGCAGTGGCGACGGTGTGCCCCTATGTGACAAGTTGGGGTGATGGCTCTCGCCCCGTTTACCGGGCGGTGGTTGGACGACCTTCAGGCAATAGAGTGGCGTAAACCTTTCCGTGCCTGTTCGGTAACCTCTACGAAAGGTACCAGAACCACCTTCCATTGCCCAAGAGGCTTTTGCGCCTGCAGAGGGTCCCCCGGTGATGGAGGCATTGGCGTTCAGGCTTACATAGATGATCTCTGCCTCTAAACACGGTGCATTAGGAGATGGGTCTAGTAATCATCCGCAAGGACTCACTTTTGCTCGACAGGTACAGAAAATAGCCGTCACATATGAATGATTCCATGACGAGCATAAGCTTCTTGTCTTCGAAGAAAGCCCTGAGAGACTCGTCGTCCACCGTCGCTTGGTAGAGCTCATCTGGCACCACGCTCATACGCGGTTTATGCATGACCCCGACAGTTGTCGAACTTGATTTCTGCGGCAAATTTGACATTTGCATCGTTCCCAACTCCTCTGCGAGTGAATAAGCAAGAGTTGGCCGAATCACAGCTAAAATATGCTTACGCATTGACGTTGGCACCGCTGTCTACCTGGTTCACATTAGACAAGTGGATGTCTTAGTGGCTATGATGTCCTCGGTGGACTGGACATTCACAGAGTGCTTCTTCGCCATCGGCCGTCTTGGGATGCTTGTAGATATTCCCTGTCCGTTGAAACTGGCCAGACCTCTTGTCGATGTAGCCAAAGTCACCAGCCTATTTTCAACGGGGTCAGCCTCAGAAAACAGGCTCGGATAAAACTGTCGCTCGCCTGGATAATCTTCGGTGGGTCCCAGTTTGCCCACCTGGACGACGCCTTCATGATCAGGTCGACGTACTTGTGAGAAGCCTCCGGTTTCTTGAACCACTCGAACATAGTCACCGGCGAGCGAGGATGCGTACGCGGCAAGGCTGTGGGGAGCAACTCCGTTGTACATCCACGCGGCACTCATAGATATGGCGTGCGAATCTATCTAGATGCTATGCCGCACTTGCATGGTCTGGTGTATACATACATTGATGAATACCAGTTGAAAGCACGGTATGTATGAAGGGAAGTCGCTTCAAGTCAGATAACGTGCCGGAAGACCTGCCTCATAAGCTAGGGAAGATCACCCGACTTTTTACATGGGACAAACCTAACGTTGCGATCAAAAAGTCCTGTGGCAGTGCATGGCACAGGCTGAGGGAGGCGAAAATGCCCGTACAGATGCGTGTGCCATTTGGATGCTATGCCAGATGGTCTGAGCGACCTTAGCCGTGTGGCCAGGCGATAGCTTCGTGAGTAGAGCTGCAGATGCCATGAGCGGAGGCAAAGTCGGACATCCGAGGAAGCATCCACCGTCAGACGGATTCCCAATGTGTGTTATCAAAGAATCCCATATGAGCCGCCTTTGGGATTGAATGTCCTCGCAGAGATGGCTAAAGGCGACAGCATGAATGGGGACGTACACGCCATGTCGTCTCACGTCGAGCCTATTAAATTCTCTACTCTGTGCTCGGATACACGGTCTATCGCCTGCATAGTTCGACGCACATACTGTGCGAATGCAATCAACCAGTCATGTCACGATCACACTGATCATGAAGAGCATGAATCCGAACTGGTCGTACTCCTGTCGGATCGGTACGTATATAGATCATGTTCGGGTGTTTGGTCGCGCTCAGTCCGAGAATATGGCGGGTTATCAGCTTGTTGATTACCTTGACAATCCGCTGACTCTGGGGCCTGAGAGCCGCAGGCCAGAGGGCCAACTCGCGCGAAGCGTGCGATAAGTTCTGAGATTTTCGGCGCCTCCGGGCATCCAGAGTGAGATGCCGAGATGCCGGCGGACTCTGCAGCAACAGCAGTTTTTTTCTCGAGAAAACTTAGGCAAAAGTGGCTAAACAAGGCCCAGTTATTCCTCGAATTCACGCCAATGCAAACTGAGGAGAAACTGGTGCAAAACCAGCCAAAAAGGTCTGAAACACAGTAAAACTGGCGGAAAACTGAGTTTTGCCTTCAGTTTTTTTCAGGTGAAAACCGGAGAAAGTTGGCGCCTTGTTGAATCAGTTTTTGGCTAATTTTACGCCGGAAAAAAGTGCGCTTACCACCCAGTGATATATCGCACGAAGTAACTCCGTGCGAGCGAGCATGCACATGAGTCGTCGGCGGCACCTGCGCCTCCATTCACCTCGGGTACAAGGTTCGATATCTGGGATATGCATATAGTCATCTGCCGCTGGCAGGGAAGACTTGCGTGGCTGTATGTGATAGTTCTACATGGGCAATGCCAGGCAGTGCTCACCCTGTACTCGACACCTCGTCGTCTACTAGCCCCCCCACCTACCCACCTGTGTCGTACTCGAGACTCAGCATTACCGGCGTGGTAAGCCTGCCTCTACCGTCTTCATGCGTTCTGCGCATTCCCCCGCACATTCAGCATTTCTCCGACCAGTACGACGTCTTTGCTGACTACTATCCCGATAGCGTTTAAACTAGCTCATACTCTCTTCGTCGCTTTTTAACAACCACAGCTTGAGCTGTAAGTCTGTCCCGGGTCTCTTTGCGACGACGTCTCTCGTCCTTCACCGTGCAACACTGATCCAACAACTCGAATTATAGTCTGCTCTGCGCTCGAGATTGATTTATCCAGTGCGTCAATATGCTACATTTGGTATCCATTTGAAAGCTGATGAGTTCAATATGCATAGTTGGCGAAGAGCGTAACCTTCGGAACACCTGGGTCGTTGTTCTCTGGTACTGTAGCTGCTCATGCGCTCAATGCTAACTCCACGTACTGACTAGGTGTGATTATCTTGATGTAGTAAGTAATTATGCTGCGGGAAGGTCTCAAGAATCTCCAACCGGTGAGCCGACTGCTCCTGCCATGCCGGCCTGATGCTGAAGCCTCACAGAGTCTCATCTCCGATGTCCCACCCCCCGGCGAGGATAATACGACTATAACTACTCACGTGGCCCTTTCCCATGAACCCAGCATCGGTGTAAACCGAGTGACGCTCCCAACTACACTCCCATCTACCCTATGCACACGCCTCGCGCGCGCTCACAATCCCCGAGGCATCGAGGACGCGATTACTGCCGTACAGGAAGCGATATCCCTCTCACCGACGGGCGAGCCCGACGCCACACTGTTGTATACCCTTGCCGAGTTGCTCCTCCATCGATTTGAGCTCCGCGGCCAACCGACAGATATGGCGGAGGCCTTATCCCTCCACCACAAGACGCTTCTCCTTAGTCCTCTCGGTCATCCGGAACGCTACCATTCTCTGCTGTCGCTCGCAAAAGCGTCACACACCCATTTCTGTTACGCCAGCAAATACCAAGATCTGACCGACGCTATCGAGTTCGGCTGTCTCGCCCTCTCGCTTTTCGACCCTACGTGCCACGATCAGCCCACATTTTTTACCACCGTAGCTGCATTGATGCTCAGCAGCTTCAAGCATACATGCCTCTCCCCCGAACTGGACCAGTGCATTGAACATGCCCAAGAAGCTGTCTCACATTGTTCACCGGAGTCGCCCGCCCGGCATGCGTCGCTGGACATCCTCTCGCGGTCGCTGCTTTCAAGATACAGGGAACGGGGCAAACCTTCTGATTTAGAGGTAGCAATCGAATACGCACAGGAAGCTGTTTCCCTTTGCCTCACGGGACATCTCGATCGTGCTCGAGCACTGGTGGCTATGGCTACTGGGCTTCTAGTCCGTTCCGAGCGCACCGGAGACCCGGGGGACCTGCAGCAATCGGCGTCGCCGTCTCGTGATGCTCTCGAGCTTTGCTCGCCTGAAATACCGGCGCTCCTCAACACCCTCGTTCCTGCGCTCATCGCCATATCTGCGAGAGAGAGCGAACGATCCGGTCTGGAGACGTGCATTGAACTCGGCAACCAAGCGCTCACGCTCTGTCCACTGGGCCATCTCGACCGCCCGCACCCGCTCATCAACCTCGCCGTCGCGCAACTTGCTCGCTTCGAGTTCGCCGGCAGACAAGAAGACATAGACAACAGCATAACCTCCCTCCGCGAAGCCATCGGACTGCTGCCATCTGGGGCCGTCGTTCGCGCTGTAGCTCTCGGTAGGCTAGCAGACGCCTTGCTTTTCCGCTTCAGATCTTGCAAGGCTCTCGATGACGTCTAGAAAAGCGTTGCGCGCGGGAAGGAAGCGCTGTTGGTATGCAGCTCTCGCGCACCAGAACGCATGGTGATACTACACCGTCTGGCCGGCTCACTCACTCTGCGCTTCTTCTATGCCCTAGAAAGAGAGGACCTCATCAAGAACATCGACTACGCCTATGAAGCGCTTTCGCTCTGTCCTCCGCGCCATTCCTACCGTACCAGTATCGTGGGCCATCTGCCAAAGACTCTCTTACAACAATCCTGGACCGATGGTAATTCCTCCATTCGTCCGGAGTTGATTTCCACCCTGGCAGATGCCCTGTTGGATCGCTTCATGCCGACGGGTCTGCCAGACGACCTCACAGACTGCGTCCTGTATGGTTATAAAGCTCTGTCATTGCGTACGGGAGGGCATTCCCGCCGCCCACGCATTTTAGCTGGGCTATCGTTCTATCACAACGAGTCAAGACAGTTGGAGGGCTTGAATAGTTCCATTTCATTTCTTCGCGAGGCGTTATCCTTGTACGTTCCACAGTTCCCTGAACGTATCAATTTGTTGAGCTCTATGGTGTGGTCTCTTTCCATCCGTTTTAGGGAGACGAAGGATCCCGAAGACCTGGAGAAGTTCATGCTGTACACCGAGGAAGCACTACGGCTCTGTCCGCTCGAGCAATTCTTCCTCTACGACTCTGCCTCGTGCTACATGCAACGATACAAGCAGGCTGGAGAGCATGGCGACTTGGACAAAGGTATCGACTGCTACCAGGAAGTCCTATCCGACGTATCTCTTTATCCAGACCAGTCACCCATTCACCAAGGTCTACTTCTGAGCATCGCTCTGCTCGAGCGACACAGGGCGCTTGGGAGAATGGAGGACCTCGACGAGTGCATTGATCTGGCACAAAGAGCGCTGTCGTCCTACTCTCCAGAATTGAGTCACCTGGGGCGTGGAAGGTCATTGTGTGTTCTCACATCAGCTCTTAGTCTCAGGTATTCCAGCACTGGTAACAAAGCGGATATCTCTGACGCTATTATGCATGAAAGAGAGCTGTACGTCGTCCTTCAACATAGCTGCAAACTCACATTCACGCTCGTGATTAGCGCGGTTTCTGAACTAGGTCTTGACTGTCTACAGCGGCTTCGCACCGCGATGCACTGGGCAACCATGGCCCATAATCAAGACCATCCTTCGACACTGGAGGCCTACCGCCTGAGTCTTGAGCTATTGGAGCGGAATTTCGTATATTTCCCGACATTGGGGATGCAGCACGACGCGGTTCGAGAAGTCAAGTCTTTGCCTTCGAATGCCGCAGCGTATGCAATCGGCCAGGGAGATCTCAAGCTCGCCGTCGAGATGCTGGAGCAAGGAAGAGCATTGCTCTGGTCCCATGTCCGCCGTCTGCGCACTCCCCTCGACCAACTGGCTGTCGACGAAGACCTGATCCATCTTCGAGACACTTTTCTGCGGAAGAGTCGCGCGCTTGAGGCACTCAATATTTCTGCGAATCCATTCATAAGAGGCTCGGCTATAGGAGAAGGCGACGGTTCGTATGGGCATATGCTGGAGATGAAACATCGTCTGACGGCGGAACTGAACGGGGTCATCGAACGGATTCGTGTCAAGTTCCCTAACTTTCTGAAGCCGCCTTCCTACGACAAACTCAAGGCGGCCTCTGCAGAAGGCCCCGTCATCATTGTTAACCACAGCGAGTATCGCTCGGATGCTCTCATTCTTGGCCCGGGCGACAGCCTCAGCTGCGTTCAGCTGTCCGACATCTTCTACGACCAAGCCGTCGAACTGTCCGACAAGTTGCTCAAGATGCGCCAGGTTTTACTGCGCTCGGCACAGAAGGAGTACGATCGAGTTCTACGCCTGATGCTCAAGTCCCTCGGCAATCTTCTCGTCGTTCCCGTCATGGAGAAGCTGAAGGAGCTCGGAGTCAAGAAAGGGTCGAGGATCTGGTGGTACCCGACGTCTGTAGTATCAGCGCTACCGCTCCACGCTGCAGGCCCGCTTAAGATGCCAGATTCGAAATCGTCCAAGTCCAAGGTGTACCTCCCGGACATATACATCCCATCTTACACTCCGACCCTCGCTGCACTTATCGAAGCCCGAGCAGCGCCGGCTGGTGGCTACCGACTAGTAGAGCGTGCAGGCCTTCTTGGAGTTGCGCTACTCGACCAGTCGCTGCAAGCGGTGGGCAAAGAAGTGGAGGTCCTTCGCAGTCGCTTCCCAGAGGGCAAGCTGACGCTCGCCATCGGGAGTGGATGCAACCGCGAGACGGTGGTCGCCGGTCTTGCGGAGCGTCCATGGGTGCACTTCGCCTGCCACGGGACGCTCGAAGCGAGAGATCCCTTCAACTCGGCGCTCATCCTCTCCGGGGGCGAGCGGCTCACGCTACTCGACATCGTCAAGGCCGGCCTCCATAGCGCCGAACTGGCCGTCTTGTCGGCATGTCACACCGCCGAGCAGACACAGGACAGCGCGATGGACGAGTCGCTTCACCTGGCGGCTGCGATGCAGTTCTCTGGGTTCCGGAGCGTGGTGGGGACGGTTTGGCAGCTGCAGGACGATGATGGGCCGATGTTCGCCGATTACTTCTATCGCGCGATATTTGCAGAGAAAGACGATGAAGACGCGACCCATGCATCAGAGGTCGGATTCAAGAAGGCAGCGCGAGCGCTGTGCTCAGCTACGAAGGAGATGCGGCGACGCAAAGTTAGCGTGGAGAGATGGGTCAACTTCGTACATATTGGGGCGTAAGCAATGATATTCGGACGGTATTCCCCATAGATTCATTGCGGTTCTGGCGTTATAACGACAGTCAAGCCCATTTCTTCTTCTTGCGTCTGTATATAGAATGTTTTAACAATGAACGCACTTGAAAAATTGACGGAAACGAAATGTATAGATTCACAACTGTGGTAAAGCTCGTCATACGCCAAACTTAAATTGGAGCGCACCCGGCGCCCTTCGAGACACTCCTCGATTGTGTCCCTGTGGTCTCCGATGCATATGACAGTCTGCGCCCGAGGTCAGAAGTGCCCACCGGGGACAGATTCCAGGTCAGCGCCATGGTGGCAGAATGTCTGAGGAGCACGGCTGGAACGATCGTAGTGTCCTCCATAGCTTCTCCTTGCAAGGGACGCTTGTTTACTATTGACAACGGTTCGTGAAGTAGACCTCCACGGACGGGTCGTTCTCCAGTACTCTGGTTATTAGCGCCTCCTTCGCGCTTGACACAATTTCGTTTCGCGAGTTCATCAACTCGGCTCTCACTCGTCACTCACTCTTTCGTCTAGACGTAAAACGCGTCCAATATCCTGGGAGAGATGGGAAGAGAGAAGAAGAAGAAGAATGGAGAAATGGCAACGAGCATAAGTCTCGTCGGTGTGTCGCATTACCGCTTCTCCATCACTGATGAGCTAAAGTGTCCACTTCAACCCACGTTTACGCTCTTGGTCTCGAATGGTTTTGAGCAGAGGATCAGAACTTTGAAAGGCGCCGATTACGTCTCCTTCGCTCTCTGCGAAGCTTTGATACTGGGCGGCAGACAGTTGTATGTACGGTGGACGGGCAGTAAGGTGCGTCGTGCATTGTTTGAGGTCTCCGTTCCGCTCAAGATTCCTGTTATATCATTGCAAAGACAAGAAGCAGGCTTCCGACGGTCTGATAGAATAGAAGCCAGACACGCTAAGTTTGCGGAGGTCTGAGATCCTTCCGGCCCCCGCGACCCTCACGCCACAGGGTATGGACCCAAAAGTACTATGGAAGAAGGTACGCGAATTTAATAGCGTAGATACCTCGCAAACATCAACAACAAGGAAGACTTCCGCGGCACACGTTCTCTTCCCCACCCCTGCAGCTGTATTGGAAGCTTTCTCGAAATGATTCAAAGACGCGCTGCTCTCTTCTGCTTCCAAACAGCGTCTTGAAGGCCTCATCAAAGCTCCGAAAGTGACTGCCGGAGACCCGTTGTCCTCCAAGGTTCCCGGGAAGATCCCTGCTTCGCACAGAGCAAGCTGCTCATCGTCGTAACCCGCCCTTCGATACCATTGACCCTGATTTTCACTCCGTCTTCTTGACTTGCGGCTTTTTCCATTCAATATGCGGTCCACTTGTTCAGCCCACTGAGCCGAAGAACGAAAGGACCGACGAACCTTCCAAACGCTGCACAACAGGATACTCGTTTGGGTAGCACCTCTGCAAAAAAGGGCGCAGAGGAAGGCACGAACAGCACGAAGATCTGCGCTGGTTTGACGAACAGCCTTGTACGTGAGAGGTACAGATTCAGTGGAAAGAGTAGGAGAGCAAAAGGGAAGGCAGCAGAGGGCCACGAGGAAGGGTACGAAGAGAATGGGAGGAGTCCGGAGCGACATGAAGGATTGCGGTAGACTGAGCGTTGAGTTAGGATAAGTGGAAAGAGGTAAAAGTGGAACTGCAGGAGGAAGGTATGCGGGAAGGCGAAGGAGAGGGCGATAGTGAGAGTGGAGACGGGAAGAGAGTATCAGACGACGGTGAAAGTTTAGACGTGAAGCCTGGACGACCACAGCTGCCGTTGCCAGAAGTTGGTACGACATGCTCCATTTGAGGCTACCGAGGACAGGCTTCGAACCATGTGTGTATTCTCATGCTACCTTCGTACCCGTCTCATGTTGTCATCTGCAACTTCCGGGCGTTGAAACTTATCTGGCACGCCAGAATTGCTTCCAATCATGAAACGGGTCAGTCTTGAGGTACTGATTCCGTCTGCTTCTGGAACAGGGAGCACGTGAACAAGGCTATTGAACAGAGCGAGGGCCTTTGTAAAAAGACCATGAGCGCCAAGGCATATTGGTAGTGAGTCCCGCCTAATGGCCGGAATCAGTGCATATATGCTAACATCTCGGTTTAGCAGCATCCCTTCAAGCCCCCGAACCTGGTCCGTATGCTTCAATCGCATAGAACCTCGTGGACGTTATCCGTGCTGGGACAGGAGAAGAAGCCGGAAAGTTGAAGGAAGCGGGTGAGAAATAACGGGAGAGAGCTGACAAGAGCGACCTGTACCTTCTCAAGGAAGGCATTAAGTTCCCAATCATACTCCACATGGTCCCACGTTAACATTTAGTCTGGCAGTCATCCTACCCAATACCCCGCAGCCAAAGACTTACCCTCTACCGAGATCGAGCAGCGCACGATCTCCTTCAGCACTCGGCGCGGATTATTGCGTTCCGGCCCTTCTCCCTCTGCGTTTCCCAGACGCATTTGAGCGTCCAACAACTCCCTCTATTCGTGACCGAGCGCATGCTCGAGCGTTTGGGCATACATGCTCTCCGGGTATTCGAAGCCGAGATCAAGGCTGGCGCGAGTAATGGCCTGGCAAAAGATGAGCCCACAGAGCTCTTTGTCGACGCTGAGGATGCCGAAGCGCCATCGGCGAAAGGCAAGGGCAAGGCAAGGACAGAGACGAAGGGGGTCGCGACAATAGGGCCAAACAAATTAGGGTTGTACGGCAACAGGAGCGCGTCGACCTAGTCGCTGGCCAAGAGCATAGTAGAGGCTACGGTTTCCTCGAGACGAGTAAGCATTCTGACACACTTTACGTACTGTGCGTTGAGCCCAACAGCCCGGAGGTCGGCAAGCTGTTCGAGCAGCAGCGGAAGGAGTTTGAAGATCTCGTTAAGATCAAGAAAAAGAAGACGAAGACGAAGGACGGTCGACTCGAGCTGTGCTTCCGGAAGACGCGCTTCAGCGCGTCAGAAGCATTTGAATCGTCGAGTTCTCGACCAAGTGTCCAGATCGCTGAGTGGCATGTGGCTCACCGGTAGGAGCAGCAATCTGTGTTTCTTCCTCGTCCTCATATTTATATCTCTCCTCACATAGGAACTAGGGCTCGCGGTTGGACAAAATATATAAGAGCGTCTGCTGTCTCTACTTGACTTTAAGAGAGAGGAGACCGACAAGGAGTAGCCGAAACGAAAGAAACGGCGGATGTCAGAGCTTAACAAATTAGGTAACAAGATTGGGTCGCTCATAGGCAGAAAGCACTAAAAACGGAAGACAAAGAGCGAGGCATAGTTTGCGTAGGTAATGTTTCGTATCACGGTATATTCCTTGCAACTGTCATAATTTGCATCGCATATGGGAACAATCATCCCGGTATGGCAACTATCCATGCTTCAACATCCTAGATGCAAAGCTGACGACAGATGAGCAGACATTGAATGTTGGATTGTCACCCAGACCTCAGGTACAAACGGCTCCGAAGCGTTCTATCAGTGAAACTCACTACGGAGGCATTCAGCGAATACGATCATCATCTGTTGACTATGACGTATGTCACCGAGGATGTCAATCCTGAGCTGATCATATGACGCCCACCCGTCTACATTTCACTTCGCATTCACACACCCTAAGACCAAAGGATGCACTCTGGGTTATGCTAGAAACACACAGCCAGCCTTCCGGGGTCGCTTGTTCGCTTCTCGGCAGCACCGGTTGGGAAATGCTTCCCGGCGGGAGTCGTAAGCAGCTGCTAGGTCGATACGGCCACGCTGCCGAATGCTTCTGTTACACGCTACTCCAGACACTCCAGTCTCACGATGTCTCGGTAGAAAGTCCGGTCATACACTCCAGGGGACAGGTCACTATCGCCGTTCTCACGAGGAGATCTTCTCGTGTGTAATTCAAGGGGCCAGGATGCTCATGTCAAATGCAAGGCAACGCATATGTTATAAGAGGCAGGCACATGCAGCGTATGGTCGCCCTCGCCCTCGCCAAACCAGCTCTAAGATGGCGGACTCATGCCCCCCCTTGCCGGCCCTGCATCTTGATAACACGCTTGGAGCAGCGTATATTGGTGCGTCAGACAATATCAACACCAAATTCCCGTAATACCGACCACTGCATCAGGCAATGTCCTTGCAGCCATGTTTGTCTCTCCCGCTATACCGGCAGCAAACTGTAGCTGACGGTGTGCAGTCTGTACGGCTTCACTAGCATCCAGGTCTACATATTCTTCGAACGTTACAATGATGGTCGCATGTTACGTTCCCTAGTAAGTCTAAACTCCATGTCCAAGCGTATGGTGGATAACGAGAATTTTGCAGGTTATGTTTTTGTGGTACGTCGCACTGAAAATTTTTGCTACCGTATGGAGTCTAAGAGATGACTCTAGGGTGTTAGACACCGTGCACATTGCCCTGATCTGCCATACCATCTACTTCTATGCCGTGACCAACTTCGCCAACCCTCTTGCAATGCTGTACGTCACCAAGTAAGATATCTTCGTGCTTTACTATCCTTGAGAAACGTTCTGAATGATGACTTACAGAACTATAATGGTAAGAGCCATCAGTTCAATTGGCTTCGAGACACTTGGTATTCACTTTCGTTTCAGGCCCACGTTATGATCACAGTGCGTCGCAAGGTGATTTTCTTGAGTTAGCTACGAACCTGACCGACTTCGGTCACTAGGGCGTTAGCGACGTCACGATCAGAGGGTCCGTACTTTGCGTTGTTGTCGCTGAGCAATCCTTGAACTCTATCGCAGGATCTTCGCGTATAGAGTATGGTTAGGTTAGAGTCGTAAATTCCTCATCTCGGCTTATGGGTGCTTGACCTCGATAATTAGTCAGCCAAGGCAAGCAACTCTTGGTCCCTGCCATTGTGAGCCGCGGCTTAGTAGTCACAAGTTTTACCATGGCTAATCATATTCACCAGCTTCTGCCGTCTCTTGTCTGCTTCGGTGGGTCCGAGTTCTGTGGCGGTCCAGAGCTGTATGCTGACTCCCTGCCTGTAGCCTGTAGCATCGGTAAAGTCCGTCCACTGAAGTGTAATACCCTGTGTTGCTAACGTCACACCAGAATTCCCCATCAGAGGGTAAGCAGTTAGAGTGTTACTTGCCAGAAAGAATGCTGCCTCAGAACATTTCATGAAGTCTCCGGATCGGAACGTACGCAGGGTTCTCCCGCATCTCGGTGAAGCTAGCTTCATTCCGGTTTAGCTAACATTTCTCTAACGAAAGTCCCAGTGGGTCCTGTACACGGCATTCGGCACGGGTGTTGTTGCAGACGTTACCATTGCGGCGGCCCTGTGTTACTTCCTCACAAAGCGCCGGACAGGTTTTCGGCGGTACGTTACCTGTCAATCTCGAATCTGGTTCGATCTATCCTGACAATTGTCGTAGAACGGACTCAATAGTTCAGCTGATGATAGTATACAGCATTAATACTGGTCTTTTGACGAGGTAAAATCCGACCTATGCACGCAAAGCGCTGAACTGACGATTTCCAACCGTAGTCTGTGCGCTATATGTGTGCTTGTCGCCGTATGAATATCTCACAATTTGAATAACTTCGAGAACTAACCTTGAAACCGACAGTATGCAACGATGCCAGCGAACTTCGTCTTCATCGCCTTCTATTTCGTGCTGCCTAAGCGTAAGTCATGCGCATGTCCTGGTAAATTTGTGCTACAACTTGTCTGCAGTGTTCATGAACTCCCTTCTGGGTACGCTGAACGCTCGCGAGAAGCTGCGCGGTTTCGGTTCAGGGGGCGCTGTTTCCATTCCCCTCAATGCCGTCGTTAGCCCCAATCGTGCATCTGTGCAGCCTGTGAGCGGAGTCAGCGATACGGTGAGTACACCAGACGATGCGGGTATTAGACACGAAATTGATAGCTGTCTAAAGCGTTTGCTCGAGATCCAGATCCAGACGGCGGTAGACTCGAGAACGGACTCGACACATAGTACTACAGAGGTTAGTCATGCTCTGGTCACGGTACGAAACAGTATTTCTCATGGTTCTCATAATTCAGAAGAAGTGGAGGGGGCCATACCGCTGATATATGTGGAACAGAGTCAACAGACCGGCTGCGAGGCTTTCCCATCCAACAAGAACCACTACCTTCATATAGTCGTTACTGCCTCCTCTATGTATACCCAAAATAACCTGATTGTACCAGTACTAGTACTACGTCTCACTGCCCCTCGCGGCCTCCGATCATGTGTCAGCGCTTGAAGAAGAATTGAGCCTTGAATATGAAAGTTTGAAGAAACGGTGGTGCAGGCCAAAATTTTTAGAGCTATGAGCAGGTCACCATTATGCGGTGCTCAAGTGCTCAACTAGTCATGCATTACGACTCGGTGCCGACGCTGCGGCGGCATTTGCCGAGAAATATAAACTCCGTGCGGGGAAAAGCTCCTGCGCCGCGCCTCTTTCCTCCGCAACGATACCAAACGAGCATCCCCCAAACCCCAAGATAACATATCCACTGCCATGGGTCTGCTTCATCTTAAGCTCACATTGGACTTGGAGGCAAGTCTCTTCAGATCGTATTTACCGCTTCCCTTGCTGACAACGCTCTCGGTCAGCCTGCGGATATCAAAGCGAGACTGGCAGCTGATTATGACAGTTCCCCTGGACAATTGCTGTCTAGAACTGCTTTTATACGCTCTCACAACCTAGGGCCTAATAGCTTTATTCCCATCCTTCGACAGCAGACCGAGACAGCCCGGACTTGTGTCTTGCACACCATGCGATGGGGTCTGCATGGTGCTGGCCTTCGCACGGTAGCCAACAGCCAATCTGTTGCCAGCGGTACAAATTCGCTGTGGGTCATGCTTCGGGCAACAAGGAGATGCGTGTTGGTTTGTCAAGGGTCGGTCAGTGAACATTTGTTTCTACAAGAGCTCATCCACTCCCTCTCGGTCTCAGATTTTATGCATGGCGCAAGAAGGACAAGAAACTGGTTCCGTACTACTTCAAGCACCCCGATTCACGCCTAGTCCTCCTTGCCGGCCTATATGATGTTACTCAGCTCGAAGGTAAGTACCTCCCGCTATAATTATGAAGACTTGCTCACGCTTTTGGACAGGAAACATGGTGCACTCGTTTGTGCCCTTGGTTTCAAACCATAACAGCCAGAGTAGATGTTTGACTCCCGTGGTTTTGCAAACCTCAGCAGCTCTCACCTCTTGGCTGGACACCAGTTCGCTACAGTGGAACGAGACTCTAGCGGAACTTATTGCGCCCAGCACGAAGGTGGATTCGCTGATGACGAAGTGAGTCTTTCCCATGATTGAAATACCATGTGAACACGCTGATAGTGGCCTCAGTTATCAAGTGCTCTCCCGAATTGAGCGTGAATGCTCAAGCTCTCCCTCTATGACGCTTCCGATCTCAGAGCGCATCGATGGCATTAAGGCCGCTTTTGCTCGGCAGCCTACAACGCCTTCCCGAGCGCAAGCGGTCGCAATGCCTTCCTCTGGCAACCCCCAGACTCCTACGCGCCGTCTCGCTCTCAAACCTGGGTCAGGGTTTCGGGGGGCTGCCAAGACCCCGGGACCTCCAGGCACGTCGAGTGCTTCAAAGCGAAGGCGGTCGCGCTCGCCTTCGGTCGAAATAATTGATCAGCCGTCATCGCCTTCTGCCTCTGCTGCTGTGCGAAAGAGGCAAAGGCTGACACATGCTGTGAATACTACACGTCGCCGTAATGCGTGACTGAACCGGAGGTTGTGGCACTGGCGCTCTCAACGCCTTGTCATCGTCTTCATGATACTTCTCACTTTCGATCTATGCTCGTATCTCTAGCTATTTGCATGATATCTAACTTTCATCTATTTCTGTTTGGTACCTCTGACCTCGACGTTGTAACACTACTGGTAGTATAGGATATACATGTGCGTCTGTTTTAAATTGTACAGCGAGCCGTGCTGGTGTGCGAGTGTACTCTGTTGTCCGGTATGCCCCTGTCTTGATGATATCACACTGACGCCACGAAGCTGATCGTGCCTTGCCTGATCGGCCCCGCTTTGCTCTTGATTCGCAACCACCTCCGCTACGGTCTGCTCTCGAAATACTGCAAACGTTTGGGATGTGACACCGCTGAACCTCCCAGGAACTGGTAAACGACGACACGCATCTGAGAGGTACCCTGCTTGCAATCGACTCCTTCAGCCCTCATCACGGTCGTCGCGCGTAATCACGACACTGCCAGTTATCGCGAAACGCGCATTTAAACTTTACGTACTCGCGAAACTTGAGACGCAATGTGCGGCCGCTTCGCTCTCAGACTTCTCGTACGTTCCCACTAGCTTCTTTGCCTCTGTACCACCAAATCCGTCGCTCATCGCTGATACGGCAGCACGACGAGATCCAGGCCATGGAAGGCTACAACATCGAGATAGGCGACTGGGTCGACCAGGGCAACTTTGTCCCTCGATACAATATTGCGCCGCGCTCGCAGGCTCCAGTCATACGACGCTCTCAGGACGGTACCGCCCAATCTGCTCACGCCGAGAATGACGCTAGCGACGCGTTGGGCGACGGGAGTGCCGGCGAGGCACACGGTGTTGAGCACTCTGAGGAGGCCGCAGCACAAGACGGGCTCGTACTGCACACGATGAAGTGGGGGCTGGTCCCGCATTGGAGTAAGTACGAGGACCTGACGCTGAACACCATCAACGCGCGCTCTGAGGCACTCGAGGAGGGCACCGGCATGTGGAAGAGCCTCCGCGGCTGGCGGCGCTGCGCCGTGCCGTGTCAAGGGTGTGTTCTCTCTTCAGAATAATGCTCATCGAGGGCACTGAAAGGCGCGAAGGTACTACGAGTGGTTGAAGAAGGGCCGGGAGCGCCTCCCGCATTTCGCGAAGCAGAGCGACGGGCGGATGATGCTTCTTGCGGGGTTGTGGGACGTCGTCGCGCTCGAGGGTGCGTGTCCTCGTCATCGGATGTGCTCGTGAGTCTGACTGGCTGACGCCCGCGCAGGCCAGACCGAGCCGCTGTACAGCTTCACGATCGTCACGACGGACGCATGCAAGGACATGAGCTGGCTGCACGACCGCCAGCCAGTCATCCTCCAGACGGCGGAGGCGCTGCACATGTGGCTCGACACGGAGCACCACAAGTGGGACAGCACAGTCGTCGACCTGCTGCAGCCGTACCGCGGCGAGCCGCTCACCTGGTGCGCCAACTTATCAGTATTGACTAGACTGCCTTTCTAATCAGGTCGTGGCGTAGCTACCCAGTTCCGAAAGAGGTCGGAAAGGTCGGCGAAGAGTCCCCGACGTTCATACAACCGCTTGCGGCGCGCCCCGACGGGATCCAGGCGATGTTTGCTCGCCAGACGGCCAAGGCTCTTCCCTCTTCCTCGGGTTCATCCCAGCAGACTAAAGCCGAGGCGAAGACCCCGACCAAGCGCAAGCGCAGTGCATCGCCAGTACCGCAGAAGATGCCAAGCACTTCGTCTCCGAAGAAGTCACAGTCAAAGTCGAACTCGGAAGTCAAGGACGAAGAGGGTCATGTGAAAGAGGTCGTCGATCTTTGTGAAGATCAGGAGGAGGTCAAAGAGGAGGAGGATGTGAAGCCGAAGACGGAGAAGATGAATAGTTGGGAAGATGACGAGATAGAAATCTTGGACATCAATGCACCCCAGGCAAGCCACAGCCGCAATATCAAGAGTCCTGGAAAGTCGGTGAGGATTTTGTTCGGCTGTATTAGTCAGATTCGCGCTCAACCGACATGCTCATAGGCTTCGCACGGGACGCCGTCGCTGAAGGTGAGTTTCTTTGGGTCTTTGAAATCAGCGAATCTGAGTACCCGTGTAGCCAAAGAGGAAAGATTCTGCGAAATTCTCACCAGCAAAGAAGTCCGCCAAGTCGTCAACAAAGGCAGATCGGTCGAAGATCACGGCGTACTTTGGTAGGCCATGACCCAAGCAACCTTTTGTATGTTTCAGTCGAGTACTTGCGTAATTGTACGATGGACATTACAACAGATTGTATTTCTTGGATCTGTACATTACGGGTGACTACTGTATGTAGTGGTAGGAATTATACTCTCGACTTGATATACAGAGGAACTATGATACATAATCTATGTCAAACACGAGACGGTCTACACTAAGCTAAACGTACAGTAAGTCGTACAATTGGAACAGGTATCACCAGGAGACGAGTTCAAGTCCAAAACGTATCACGAACATAAACTCATAAGGCGACGCCAACGCCGCTAGAAGCGAGGCTTTCGTCTTTCGGACTGCTCTTCTCCCCCCTCGACACCGGCAGCTGGAATTTGCTCAGCTCGTCCCCGAGGCCGAACAGACTCACGCCGTCGATACCCTCGAACCCAGAGACGCCTGAGAGATCGAAGTCGGGCACGTTCAGGTTCAGCTGGCCGAGGTCGAAGTCGAGCACGCTCTCGTTGATGCTCCCGCGGAGGTCCGCCGTGCTGACGCTCGCGGCACTGTTGCGCGCGGTGCTCGAGGCCTGCGGGAGCGCCAAAAAGGGGATGTTCAGTTTCTGCAGGTCCGCTAGCGTGGGGACGGCGAGCCTGTCGAGGTTGCGCGCGGCGGCCGAGCTTGCAGAGGCAGAGGGCCGCGAGCCAACGATAACATAGGAGATGGGCCTGCTTGGGGCGTCCGTTGCGATGCAGGGTAAGCCTTCCTGAACGATGGAATGTGTACGCGAGGTGGGGAGACCGTCGATGTCGTCCCCGATCGCGCTTTCCGACACACAGTCCTCTTCGATAATCGGATACAGCTGGCTGCCATGCTGCCGCACGAGGCTATCGACGCTCGTCTCCTTCTCTTGTTTTTCGGTACCTTTTTTGTCGCCTGCAACCTCGTCACCATCTTCGTCGGCGGAGGGCACAGAGCGCGCTTCGATGCTGAAATCGTCTTCGTCGCCTTCACCGGACGCATACATGGAGCTGCCGCGCGAGAGCCGTGCAGAGAGACCGAGTGCGGCAGTGACGGCATCGAGGTCGAGCTTGCCATCGCTCGCCATAAGGTCATCGAGCTCCCACGAGCACTCGGCCTTGCTCTTGCCTTTGTTCTTTGACTCGTTGGAGCCGTCTGTACTTGTCAACTTAGCACTCGCAACACCAGCGCGTGAGGACTGCGATGACGCTTTGCTCCCACCCGAGCTGGACTGTGCCGAGCTTGTGCCGCCCTCGAAGACAAGCATCCCTTCTACCTCCTCGCTAGAGGCACCCTTGATCGCATATGCGGCCTCCCTCTCGCTGCTGGTGTTCACGCCAAACTCGTCTGGATTGGGCGTCGATGGTCCGCTGACGCTCTTCCTAGGACGGCCTGTGGAGGACACCTTCGCATTCGCGAACCATGGAGATGGGCTAACCGCAGGTTTCGGGCTACGAGAGGCGGAGTGATAGAGGGCGGGCGTGGGGGGCAGTGCACCAGGCATCGCAGGGCTTTCTGACGGAGGTGAGCGGGCACGATAATGTCTCTCCCATCCGCTGAGCGAGGGGTTGAAGGTATCTTCCGGTTCAATTCTGCCTCGTCCGGGCGACGGAGACAAGCGCGCTGATACCTTTGCCAGATTAGGAGCTGCGATTCCGAGACCCACGGTCGATGTCCTGCGATGCGAGCTTTTCGCGTCCTTGGTGCCGCCTTCGCCCGGTTTCTCACGGTCAGCCGACGAAGGCAAAGTCTTATGGATGATGTTCAGAGGCTTGATGGCGACCTTGGCCTGCGAGCTCTTCGTTGGCAAGAGATACGTGACGTTCAGACGTTTCTCTTCGGGTGCAGGAGAAGCCGTCCTCTCGGCGAGAACCTGAGTCAGGGTGGGAGAAGGGGCTGCTGAGGGACTTTTGCCTTCATTCGGCGTCTCAGGGGGAGATGGAGGGTCCAAAGGAGAGGATGAGACAGGCGGCGAAGGCAGAGGCGAAGTGACGCTGAAAGTCAAGCATGCATGTACAGAAGATGAAGACGTGACAGAGGTGACGCTAATGCGCTTGCTGTTAGGCTCTGCCACTGGCGACTTCGTTTGCGGTTTTGAGGAAGATAACGCTGGTAGGATAATCGTGTCACGTTCTCTGTGGGTTGCACCCCCCGCAACATTGGCTGCAACGCCATTGACCTTCGAGTCCTCTAGAATGGTGGACAAATCCTCGATTTAAGTATACATTGATGCAAAGTGAACGATACACTTACGGCAAGTCGGAGACGGCGACAACACTGAAAAGTTGGATGATATACCCAAATTCGGGGAAACGTGTGGTGGAGGGTTTGGCGAGATTGGTGAAGAAACCAAACGCGGCGAGAAATAGTACGGTGTTAGATATGGGGAGACTTCAGAACGTGCACCTGCAGCCGGCAATTCATTCTCTCCCAGTTCATTAACGGATCTATTCGTTGTCGGCTTCAATATATGCGGCATGGAGGAAGATGACCAGATGTCATTCGTCATGGAAGATTTCTTGGTAGTCGTGAAAAGTGAACGTGAGGAAAGACTATACGGATACGAACCAGGGGCAGGGGAGGGAAGGGGGATACAGGGCGGCGAGCCAGGGTGAACACTGGAGCAGTCCTCAATGCTCCTGGACCTATCGAATGTTAACTTGCTAACCTCTCGAGCGGAGGGGCCGTAAAGGAAAGGCGCTCTCTCGGTGAGCGTGCCACGAGCGCCGCTAGTCTTTAATGTGGCCAAATCGCTTCCGCGGGCTGCTGTGGATGCGCCAGTCGCGGCCGCGCCGAGACGAAGATTGGAGGAGTCGGGAACAGTGGCAGCGGCAGTGACAATGCTGAGAGCCCGCTCCGCAGCCTTTGCGAAGTTTTCTTCTTTGGTCGCGCCGGACAGAACACCCAGCTCCGGCGTGCCCATCTCGAGAAAGGATAAACTGAGGGAACGAGTATGGGTGTTAAGGGACGCAGAAGCATGCTTCGATGATTGAGACTGTCTGTTCGAGCGAGAACTGGAAGACGGAGCGCCTTTAGACATAGAGCCAGACCCGCGGCGAGAACTAACAGGTGCAGACGCGGAAGCAGCTCGATGGTGAGACCTGCGAGAGCGATGGGAGCCGAAACCTGAGTTTGGGCCAGAGGCATCAGAAATGTGTGAGCGTCCGGCGAGACTTCCATCGTTCGTAGTCGAAGCTCGTGTTCGCGCCGACGAGCTCACAGTGCCGCCTTTGGAGTTCAAGGAGCCCAAGTTGGTCGCACGTGCTCGAGAACCGATGGAGACAGAACTGGGAGCGAATCCGCTTGCGGTAAAATAGGGCGATAAGTTGGGACTCATGCTAGGGTGGCGATTAAGCGTGCTTCTCGGGCTGAAGGTGCTTGGGTGTAAGCTGCCGGGGCTGCCCAAATACGTTAGTTATGGGTTTGTTGAAAGAGTGATACGAGACGCACGTGGATTTTACAAGAGACATACACCGAGCAACTGTGTCCGCGCGAACTGTGATGCGCGCCTCCCAGGCTGGTGAGCCCAGAAAGCCGACGAGATAGCCCTGGAAACTGAGATTTGCTTTTGCAGAAGCTGCACGAAATGTTGTTCGATCGAGCCTCCAAAAGCTGCGCGACATCGTCGGAGCCAAGCTAGAAGGCGGTGCAAACGCGGCCGACGCGCTAGATGCGTCCAAACCAAGACCGACCAGAGGGGAGCTGCACTTCTCGCTCAGCACGTCGGCAGACGACCTCGACAGAATTTGCTCCCCATAGGGTGAGCTTCTCGGACCGTGGTGAATTGTATGCGCTCGTCTATACTTGAGATACAAATACTTCAGAAGCGCGAGGACAACGAAAGGCAGGCTGAGTCCGAGAGCGAGGAGACCTGCAGAGACGGGAGTTAAGTTAGGATCAGTGTCTCTCCGAGACACAGGGGACGCATTTGCGCATGAAAAGAGCGTGAAGAAGAAAAAGACATAACGGGATGACGTGGCAAGGAATGGTGCGGGGCCTGAAGACAACATCGCGGATGCTCTTCAAGAGCCGTAAGCGCTTCCCCACGGCGCTCTCGAATACAAAAGGAAGGGCGTCTCTCAACGGGGCGCGGGAAATTCGGGATGATTGCCGCCAAGAGTCACTTCGACGCCACAAGGATACCGGACTCTTTTCGAATCGCCAACCAAGCCCAGTCCCATATTCCAAGTTTATTCTACTTCCGGATCTCGTGCAGCAAGATATGCGGCGTGGCAGTGAAGAGAGATGGGCAAGCCGTTCAAAGTGAGTGTAAGTTTTGGGGAACCTGCGGCGCGTCGGGGATTCGTAGAAAACCAGCCCGAGCTTTTATACCTCGTAAAAAGGTGCCGACCCTCTAAAATCCCCCAAAACGTCAGATATCTGCGAATTTTATATTATTTCATGTGTAGAAGAGACCACACGGCACATGTTCATGGGACTGGAACGTCTACAGGTAGACAGAGTGTTGCTCGGTATGCGATGGCTGGCACAAGCCATGCCCAGCAATACTCTCATTCATAGGACAGATGGGTCTTGTAAGCCACTAAAACGTGTCCAGAGCTATGCAAACAATGGCTGACAAAACTTTATGCAGAAATCTAAGCGAGAGGCTCTCTGCATCTATGCGCTGGCCCGGCGCATGGGGAGCGGAAGTAAAAAGGGACAATACGGCGGGCGTCCATTCTCATACCCTCGCGAATTTTGGTTGTCAAATGCCCTGATCAAGTGTGATCGAAATCACCATCCCTCTTTTGCCTATGGCGAACGTATGGCATTGTCTGAGCTGTCATCGGAGAAGCGCTAGAAAGCTGTAGACCCTTCCTACCCTAGTAAGATCTGAATACTGACACGCTAGACCTTGCTTATCAGGGCCACCGTAGACCTAATTGATTGCCCCACACTATCAACAAGCGCTTGAGCCTTTGTCAACAAGGCCGCCGTGGCTACAAGGGCCACATTTTACATTTCAGTCAGTCACGCCTCGGTCACAAAGGCGCAGTGCCTTAAATAAAGCTTAAAACGGCTCTTCTTCTCTCTGCATCCAACGTCCACTGCCCTCTGCATCACTAACGATGCCTACCTCTTCGAATGAGTCGATCACTATTTTCCATGATCGCGGCCCCGGTAAGGCCACCACCGGCCCCACCGGGTGGGTTGATTTTTCGAGGTCTCACCCTCGATCTTCGCTAACAACAACTACAGCCATCTCTACTCCTCCGACGCAAACTACGACTATGAATCCCTCTCGCATTCACCTTCTCCTGAAACCCACCCCGTCGGTCCCTCCAAGGCTGTCGCCGCACTGGCCGAAGGCCGTCAGCAGCTTCAGCCGGCCATCTCGCTGAAAGCTCAAACATCAAGCTGTGCCAGCAGTGAAACCAGAGCTGAGACCTGCGTGGACTACCGATCGACTGAACGCGATGGATCCGATACGCAGACCTTGTTGATTCAGCGGACAAGGAGCGAGGCCACATCAGCCCCAACAGCTGGAGCTTCCAATCTTTTGACTATCTCCACTGACCACTCTCCAGGGTCGTCGTCTACTCCCTCCCAAAAGGCTACAGCCAAGTCCACTGCCACTGAGGAAACGTCGAACACCCAAACAACCCCTCCGACAACTCCTGGGAGCACCTTGGTTGTAACACAGAAGGTTTCTGCTACTGTAGACGAGACGTCGCGCAATAGTCCGTACGTCTGCTCGAAGTCCCCCTTGCCTCGCGCGCTCACCGTATATTGACCACACTATTTACCGACCTGTCTAGGTTCTTTGCCGATACTTCTTCTGTCGACTTTGCCCTTCTATGCAACAAAGATCTATTTTCTGAACACGCTATGTGAGCCTCCGCCCTAACTTATGATACCTGGAAAGGCTCTTACATAGCTCATGTAGGCTGGATCTGTGTAATGTTGCCTCGCCTGTGCAGCTTGCGGACGACGCCGTGAAACGGTCGCCGGCTAATGAACAGAACGCACACCAGCAGCCCAGCGATGTCGCTCACGACGTGTATCTGGCTGTTACCGGGGAATCTCAACAACAAGCGGGGCAGAGTGCGAGTGCGACGATCGTTCCGTTGGACCACGATGGCAACCCACAGCACCCATCTGCCATCAACCCGCGTCTTTTGCGCAGGAGGCCACGAATCCCAGCAAAATACGCGTCTACGAATGCCACAGCGGCACGAACGGCCGCTTTGCCGAACGAGAACTATCACGGCGTATGCACGCCCCCCGTCCACCCACCGCAGATGGGAACAGCCCCTCCTGTACCACCTCAACTTTCCCCTGTGCAAGTCTTTCAGAAGTACAACCAGGCGCACCAATCGCCTGCGCCGGAGCCTCTGGCGCGAGAGGCGTCCTGCAGCGTAGCCGATACGAATGCAGGCGCGGCCTATCGTTACGCATACTACGACCATGCATGGGATTACACCCAGCCTCGCCAGGCTATTCCTCCGCAGGAGATTATCGAAGGCAGCAAGGGAAAATATGAACTAGCCGATCATCGACCCCAAACGGAAGGGACGTGTCAGGTCTCCGCTCACCCCGCTGCAGGATGGAATTCTACCCAGGCGCACGAGTTCCCAGGGCAATTCTCAATGCTAGAGAGGTAGATGTTCCACATCCATATATGACGTTATACTAACGGTTTCGTTGTTTTCTGATAGCGGTTCATCCACGGGCATACAGACAGCAGCACACGAAGCGCTAGATGCGAGAGTCTGGTGGCAGGCCACTTCTAGCTTTTCCGCCGCTTCTAATTCCGTCACCTCCGACTCCTCTGTCGCTATTGATTCTACGTTTCCCAGTCCTCCTCTATCCTCTCCTATCACCGCCGCTCTCGTCGCATATACCCGTCCCCTCCCCCCACCCGTTTCCGTCGCTCCTGCTGGTTACCCATCCTCGAACTCGTCCATTCATGGATCCACAAACAACCAAGACCGATACTCCGCCGTGATGCCTGAATATTCATGTTACGCCACTTCCAGTGAGGGATCGCATCCGAGTATCCTGAATGACCCTTCAACGAACTTGTCAGGTTTAGGACAGGACGCTTCGAGGACTCCCACCGACAGCATCTCGATGTCTCACAATGCTTCTTTCAGCCTTTCTGGGGCTACCCAGAACGTTGGGGCTTATTGCCAGTCACACCATCAGCTTCACCAGCAGCAGAGCGCCCGAAATGGAGCTACAAGCGTATTACCTGACTGGAGTCTTATGAACGAACTTGATCAGTTCATGGTGCCGTCTTGTGACCTTGCGGCGTATGCAGGTACGAGCAGGGTGGCGACATCCGACCAGACTACGACGCATAGCACAGCGACTCAGTCGCAGCAGCTGACATTCGTGGAACCCTCGGTTACGGGCGGCAACTATGCTTCTACTTGGCCCTTTTTCTCAGAGGCTACGTATACTTCTGGCACGAATTTAGTGACAAATGTTCCATCACTACTCCCAGACAACTCATCGCTGCCTTCCTCAAGATTCAACATGGACTATCAGCCTGCGCTCCCTCCAGCTCCGACGATGATGCCGCCGCGGCAGCGGCAGCCTTCGACAGAGCGTCGCACTGCCCACGGCGGGGCTCCTGTAGCTCAGATGAGCTCTCAGAATCGCCTTCCTCCTGGTCCGGCTGCTCCTTCGACGAGGCGTTCCCAGCGCACCCCGTCACAGACAGCTGTGGATACCGGGAGGAGGCCGCGCCAGAAACTTCAGGACATCGACCTTGCACGATACGGAGCATACATGATTCGTAGGCCTGCCGCTCGTCGTGACACCCTCGCCCAGACCGGTTCTTCCGGCAGCACTTCGCATGACCGCCACGCATTGGCCAGCCAGTGGTCTCTCCCGTCCATCGCCGACCTTGTTCCAGGCATCAGCCCAATCTCGGAGGCGTGCGAACCTCGGCGGCCTGTGCAAGTCTCTCAGGAGGCTCAGACTGGTCCAAGTCGTCTCTCTCGCACCTCGTCTTCACGCACTGGGTCTGGCAACGTGCACAATCCCGCCTCTGAAGCTGGGCCCTCTGTGGCGTCTGCGTCCAGAGCGTCTACACCACGGGTGCCCAGCCCTGCTCCTCGGCAACCTGAAGCCGGAACACTTGCCCCGCGCCCTGCGAAAGAGAAAGAGCCTTCCGCGTCTAAGCGGTGGGAGGTGTGTCCGATTGAAGGCTGCAGCACGGGTGGTTATCCGCGGGGCACCAAGGGGGAGCACGTGCTTACGGAGCACGCCCGGTCGGTGGGCGGCGAGGGCGACGAGGGCGACCGAGTTGAGTGCCTGATCGTGTCGGATGGCGTGCATCCGCGTGCGTACGAGCTGTCCAGCGGCTCGTTTCTCAACCACGTCAACGATGTTCATCTGCGGAGGCTTCCGGGGGACGTGGTCCGGTCGCGAAAGAATGCGCCCCCGCCTCCCACCGACCTTTCCCGCAGGTTAGGCAAGAGGCGGCGCGAGCACGAGCCCTCGTCGACCCCTGAGGAGAATCTGTCCAGCCGCAAGAAGAGGAAGTAGCTCGTGGTGTAACGTCTCTGAATCCGCTACCTGTCATACCTGTAGCCTTTGTACCCATCTATATGCCTTAGGCTTCTTTGTAATTTGCTGAGATGCAATCTTTTGATACGCAAAGTCTACAAAACGGGCGAATTGAGAACGACACCCCGAGATATTCCGAGGTCCGACTAGCGCTCCAGGACGCCACGAAGGTTTTGCTCTCAAACCTCCATCTCAAACGACGCCCAGCCTGTGCTCATGGGGTCTCTTGATCCACTTTAGCTTCATATGAAGTGGTTTAAAGTTTGGCGTGCTTCACGTACGTCGTATTCTGGCTGCCTGGAGCTTCGTGATCCATCTGAGACCATCGACGCTGCCCACTGGGACTACTGCTGGCGTCAATGCGGGAAAGGTTTATACGAGCTGTAGACTCCACCTATCTCTTCCTTGCCTGCGTAGCCTCTCCCTCAACCTCATGAGAGCTTTGCCGAGCTCATTCTTGCCTTGGCCGTCAGCACCACATCCCCAGAAGGGGTCGACCTACAACGAAGTCAGCGAGCATCCAGCCAATTTCTCTCTAGTCAAAGACTCACGGGGCTGTTCTCGATGATTTCGCTGTCTCCGGTGTCAAGGAGTAGCTTTTCGAGACGAGCATCCTGCGTAAATTTGGCTTCCAGGATCTGATCCATGATACTAATGTTCACATCGAACCAGTCCGAGCGCTGCAGCTTGCGCAGCCGGGTCGCTTCTTCCAAAGCCGCGCGTGGAGTAGGAACCTTTCGAATGCGCTCTGCGAGATCTGGGCGAGTAGAGAGGAACTTGTGCGCTTGAAACACTATGGGGCAACTTAGCAGCTGGTATTAATGAACTACGACTAAGCACTCACAGTGTTCAGCTGTAGGGTATTCTTTACGCTCAAACCGAACAGAGTGTGGGGCAAAATTCGCGAACCTGTGTGAAAGATGTTACTATTTGCCACGCATTCATTTGCAAGGCCAACAAACTCGTAATAAGGCTCGTCTCTGTTATAGAACAGGATGGGCAGCCCGGTGACTGGTGCGTCTCGTGACTCCTCGTGGTTCTCCGACGGCTCTAGTGCGATTCCTAGTCCTTATCTTTCTCGCGAGGCAAATAACGCACCATCCACGTCCATGTTGTCGTTATCCTGCTGTTCCGGCATTGCCCTCGTCGCGACTACGAGGATTACTGAAACCAAATTCACAGCTTAGCAGCAGTCGGGATGCCAGGTGGTAATTAATTATGTGACCCCGAGGTAAGTTTTATCGCAGTGCATTCACGTGCTGATAACCGACTTGCGCAATGCGGGACTCGTGTGAGAAAACTTTATTTTAATCGCTATAAAGCATCATCGATCTGCCGCTCAGCCCACAATCCGACTTTGACTCACACCCGCCATGTGTCCCGACGGGACTCGTACTGGAGTCACCATTTGTGCTTACCCAGGCTGCACCAAGGCAGTATGGAGAGACCCAGATGGTAGCTTTTCGCAGTACTGCAGCGTCTCGCATCGTGACAGCGCGGTGTCAAAGATAAACCAGAACTCGATCTGCAAGGTAACGTGTCGCGGATCCGCGCCGCCGTAAATAAACCCGTGCTCAAAGCCACTGTGCAGAACTGCCACGCAAGACCCGTGTACGTGGAGAACGGAAAAGGTTGATCTTTGCTCGACAGGTTCGCTGCGGATTCGCGCTGACTCGAGGATTCGCAGCACATGACTTCTGTGGACTCCGATGCGCGACGGCTGCTCGTTCTGGCAATGGTGCTCGCCAGGCGCTGGCCCCAATTAATGTCAACCAAGGACGTAATGCAGTCTGCGCCATCACGGGATGTGGTCGACCAGTTTTCGTTAATCAGCAGGGAAATCCGGGGGAATATTGCTCTCAGCGTCACCGCCAGTAGGTTTACCGCTTCTTATATTGATCTAATTTGATTCCGTTGTCGCAGGCTGGCAATTCAGAATGGCGCAGAGGCATGTCTGTTGTAAGCCGTGTATATTCCCACTGGTACTTCCAAACACTCACTCGTAATCCAGCTGCGGCGAATGGCCAAAGGCCACTATCAACGGTAGGAAGAGTGACTTCTGCTCAAAAAGGTGCAAGGACGACACCGCGAATTCCGGTGAGACATGTTGCGAATAATCACTCATCCTCGGCTGAATGCATTCATCGATCAGCACCGATGATCCTTGAAGTACCTCCTTCTCACGAGGCGTTTGAAAGTGGTAATTCTCATTCTAAAGATTCACTGGATATGCAGTGATGATATACCACTACCTGTGTAGTCGCCAATCAATTTACAACGAAGTGGCTACATACACTAACCCCTCCTAAAGTGTATAAGGTACGTCTGCTGGCTTTGCATCTGTCAGCACTGGCGTTAATTCCTTGCTAGGTCTATAAGATTTATTCTTCAAAGGACCACATGGACGAGTTCGGTCGATATAAGTAAGTTCAATTAATCCGTCCTGCACTATGGTTTCCTACCATGATCTATAGACTCGGAGTCGAACGTCGTACCGGTCTAGAGGGTGGGAACTCTAACCGTCGGTTCCACGGCACAGTCCGCGCCTGTCACATTGGAGACCACTATACTGGTTTTTGCTCCGACGAGGACTGCTCGCTTTGTCGTATTCTCGAGGTAAAATCCCTTAGCCTCGATCACACGGCAATTCCGAACTGAGTGGTTGTTTTGCAGAGCTCATTCGAAGTGGCCAGATTTGGGCAGCGTACCAATTTTGGACGTTTTGGTGCCGGCATCTATACTTCAGCTACCTCCTCAAAGGTATGTTTACGATGGCAAAAATCTGCTATAGATTGGTGAAACGTGCCCACAGGCCAACGATTACGTCGGCGAGCTTGCAATGTCAAACTACCAAGCCATGCTCTTGACCGAAGTTATCATGGGAAAGGCGATCAAGTTGACCGTGGGCAACCAGAACCTCACTGCGGTAACATACAATACTGTGTGATATTCGATTCACGTCTAACAGCAGTCTCGCCAGCCCCCTCAAGGATATGATTCTGTCATCGGCGAACCCGGAGGTGATCTGAATTACGACGAATGTATTGGTGAGTCTTTGTTGCCTTATCATTGCGTGTATGTTCTAAAAGCAGATACTTTCGCAGTGTATAAGGTATGGCATTCAATCGCTTCGCGCCGCGTCAAGTTGTTCACGTCGACCGCGCTGCAGAACGAAGCAATCAGACCGCTCTACCTGATCATTTTTTCCAAGCCTTCAGGCGGCCCTACAGTCTTGCCTCGTATTCCCTCTATTTAGCCCTCAGAAAATGTTTTATCACTTGTGGCCAATGGATGTGTGTGCGCCTTGCCGAAATGTGATGACAAGACTTGCTTTCTAAGAGGCGCCGATGGCTGGGAATTGCGCATCGTCTACCGCACAGGGTGGTAAGCGCAGTTTTTTTCTCAAGAAAACTCAGAAAAAAGCGGCTAAAAAAGGCCCCGTTATTCCTCGATTCTACGCCGATGCAAATTGAGGAGAAACCGGTGCAAAACCAGCCAAAAGGGTCTAAAACGAGTTTTGCCTTCGGTTTTTTTTTTCAGGTGAAAACCGGATAAAGTTGGGGCCTTGTTGGATCACTTTTTGGCTAATTTTACGCCGGAAAAAAGTGCGCTTACCACCCAGTGCCGGTTGGAGGTCAATGTACTCGCCATGCTGCGCTTGCGTCCTAGACATCCGGTCTTTCCACACACTCCTACAAAGCTCTAGTGAGACTCAAGTTCAGATCTTCACCGGAAAGCAACCTAGGTTCACTAACTCCGAGCATCCGCCGATGCTCCCATACTCCTTGATATGGCTCTGAGCGAAGACATTCCCACGTGTGCTGTATCGTGGGTTTTCGATGGAGGTCTCCATTTCGGGACTCTACAATGGCACATCGTCGCCTACGTACCGACCCTCCTCTTCTACTTGCGCCAGCCTCTAGCTCAGGCATGTCTTCAGTAATCGTCTACCAAACGCCTGTTCAATATACCGTCCCGGCCTACTGTAGTCCTATCGACACTGTCTTTGACATTGCCGGCAGGTTTCCCGACGCCGTCTTCCTTGTTCCGCAAAGGGTATACAAGCCCAGCACCCAGAGCAACCGTCGTCGCTCCGTCGATGAACTGGAACCGGAGCCGCCTATCATGTTTTTGACCCAGCACCCTGACGGATGTGGCATCAACTGCAGGGATGCCATGAACTCTCGATTCTCCCGCCTGCATGGCCGCGACTATTCCATGTTCCAGAATCGCGGACCCTCGGTCTCAATCCGAATCAACGTTTGTGTCTTTTGTTCACTCCCTCATAGCATCAGTGCTGAAGTTGGTAACAGTGGCCGGGCTATACTCCCTGGAGCCGTCTAATCCCAACCCGAGACTTCCGTAGCCCACCACAGCCAATCACTCGTGCTAAGCTGGCGAAGAACCTAGCCAAGACCGTGCAACGGTTCCTTGATGTGCGTCTAGTACTGCCTCGCTCCTGCTTTTCGCTTAATCATTGATGCTGTCTACGCACAGGAGAAGAAAGACAAGACCATGGAGGCCGAGGCTAACGCTAAATACAGCGTCGCCAACGTCACCATCGACCAGATTGATATCGTCGGTCTGCAACACGTCTCGATGGGCAGCTGGCAGGCCCATCTGCGCCTTCGTCCGCCTACGTAAGACATGTTACATCGCGGTTATTCTCAGGCAACGATCCTCCATCGACCAGTGCCGTGGAGTCTTGTGTCATCGGCCCTACTCTTCCGCATCGCCCTTGATGTCGACCACAATTCATCCAGGCTCCTGCATCGTTTACACATCCATGCCAGTATCGCATTCCACACGACCCATTCTCTTCCCATTCACTGCGCAGCCAACTAAGGCACGCGTCCTAACCCGAGCATGGACAACAAACATCTCCGTCTCACCGTACGGAAGCCTAGCTTACGCTGCGCTCTGGACATCTCATACTGCTTGCCATCTCCTCCCCCTCCCCCTCAGTTTCTGCTATGACTGTTGTCCAACCGTTTCTGGACAACTCGGCATGTATATGACCTTTTCCTCTTGGTTCTGTCTCGACGTGTACTCGCTTTCTCTTGCTGTGTCTAAGTAGGGCTCTCGACTTTTTCTGGCTGTAGCGGCCGTGCCTCTGCGAACTCGCAGCCCTGGCCTGTCTTCTCCGGCGCTCACGATGATTACCCCTCCCTTCCGTGACACTTTTCGCGTCTTAAATCACTATGGCTCTTCGCTTATCTACATATATGACAACAACGCACGCAGGCTTCCGTGGTGCACGAATTTCAAACAACAACATCGCTACCACCTCTCTAGGTGCTGGGCTAGTGCAAAACACAGCCACAAGACCAGAAGGTCGCCAAGAACGGATGGGCTAGCTGCCTCGCGGCTCTGATAGTCATCTGAATGGGGCGAACCCCGCCCCTGCGGGAGCTCAAACATGGCTCCGCAAGCCCACCATGCCTGCGAGCCGGATTCGCCACCCTCACGCACGAGGCGGGGGCGGCGGCATCTCAGGCCCCGACAGTCACGGACAGCGCTGCTCCTGGCACGTCTTTCACCAAATCCGATCTTGTTGCGGTTTCCCTGAGATCAAGGGTCGTCAACATGCTAGAGAAGTAAACCTAACGGCTTCATTCTTCCAAAAATGTCCAGCTTTGTCTAATCTACGCTGACTTCTTTATGCAGCACGGACTACTCGTGGTCACCGCACGCCATCCGTGCGGCAGAGATCACCATCCGGTACACAATGCCTGAAAACATCGTTGGAACGACTACCACTGATCGCAGGCTCATAGCAGATGTTATAAGATACCCAGCGAGCCTGGCCAATAGCTTACTACCGTGTCTCTCGCTCCGGTTCCACCATGAGCTCCTCCAATACTTGCGCTCTCCCGAGATGCTCTGCTAGTGTCTGGGTTGATCGTAATGGCGTACCGTCACAGTACTGCTCCCGTTCGCATATGAAGGCGGCAACACAACAGCCTGTGCAGTCCTCGCAGTCTCAGCTTTGCAAGGAAGGCTATTGATGTTCAACCCTTCGCTAGCGGATAGCGCACTGAGGCCTATTTATTTAGAACTGCGGGACTAGGCCCGTCTATGTGGAGAATAGTAGAGGTCAGTTCCCATTCTAATTGACAGCTCGGTCTGACGTAGGTGACTTGCAGTCCACGACTTCTGCGGTCGCACTTGCGCCAAGGCGTATCTTCAAGGCGGGAATAATGGTCGTAATCAGTATGTTCCTAACGGTGACACTGAGCTTTGATATCGAAACTGAGATATTCGCTCTCAGGAATGGAGTCGACATGTGTCTTTAGTAAGTCGCTGTTACCCGGTACGCGGTCTGTACATCACGTGCGTTATAGCTGCGAACAAAAACCCAAAGCCTGGGTAAACGGGAAGCTGAAAGACTTCTGCTCTAAGGATTGCGTGGATAAAGTCTCCGATATAGGCAAGCCACATCTTACGTGTTAGTTCCGGGCGTAGATACTTACGGCTGCATCAGCGCCACTTCTTCTCGAAGTGCCATCTTCGCACGAGCAGTTTCGAAGTGGTAAGTGTGATAGTCAGTTGACACAATCCTTGTTACATGTCTCAGCCTCTATGTAGTCGTTGATCAGTTCAACATGCAGTGGAAGCACCCAAATAAGAAGCGACCGGAGGTAGTCAAGGCAAGGCTACCAATTGCTAGCGGAAAGCAAAACATGCCTAATCGCTAATTATTGGCCAGATGTACAAGGCATTCCCTCTTGACAGTCACATGAACAAATTTAAAGCCTACAAGTACGCTCTCTTTCTGTTTTCTCTGGAGTCCGATCAAATGCTGAACATCCGGTCCATTAGAGCGGACGTGGGCAACTCAAGAAGACGCTGGCACGGAACGACTCGCTACTGTCGCATCGGTGACGATGCGCAGAATCTCACCTTCTGCCGTAATGCACAGTGTGCGATGTGCAATATCCTACAGGTCAACATTGACATCAGGCACTCTCGTACAGCGACTGACGTTATCATGTCTCTGATTCCAGGGCTCATTCGATTTATCAAAGGCGGCAAGAGGCGCAGGCAGCTACCAGCGGTTCGGTGTAGGAATATACGTTTCAGCTACCTCTTCGAAGGTAACTATCGGCAATTCCTTCTGGGGAATGTCATAATTGAGTATATTTTTCCAGTCGAACGACTACATCAAGGAGCTGGGGGGTTCAAGCTACCGTGCGATGATTCTGAGCGAGGTGATCATGGGGAAGGCAATCAAGCTCCCTCGTGAGGATAGAACTCTCACCCAGGTTATTCCTCTCCATACACATGACCCGAGCGGTATCGTTTAACGGAGACTCTGATAGCCGCCTCCTGGATACAATTCAGTTGTCGGCGAGCCCGGGGTGACTGTGAACCTGAACTACGATGAAGGTGTTGGTGAGTGTATAATTCTCTGTTTTGTACAAATATGGTATTGAAGGGGATATCTAGTGTACAGGGTAAGCTCTTTCTGCGCTTGGTCTTAACCGATGCAGACGCTTGCTGTTGCCAGAACGACGCCATTAAGCCTTCCCATCTTCTCATCCTCAAACCTTAGTCATCGCCTCACACGGTCACTCACAGATATTAATGTGGCTCGCAGGACCTCATTACTACCCTCTTTCACGATGTATGTGCAGGCTGTCCGGGCGGAATTCGTGCTAGGACCTAAATCGCAACGTTTACTGGAATAAGTGTCCGCTTCAATGTATGTATTCTCTTCCCAAAAGTATTTTGAGCACCTTAGGCGAGAAGAGAAGAGAAGAGGGTCACACCCTCAGATGACCCGGATCCCAAGCTTTGCATACTTTTATACGCATTCCGTTCATCTGTGATCATTACTACCGCTTTATTGATATCTGACCTTCAGATAAGTGCCGCAATCACTTCATCTCGAGAAACAGCATTGGCGGCATTCATCCCACTTCGAGCGTCAGGCTGGTCGTCTCAGGGAGGCAACGTTTGAACGACGGTGAAACAACCGAGTGAGCGTGCTGGTGAAAATGAATAGTCTTCTCAGCAGCTGTGCGTGAGGCAGTGTGTATAGAGTTAGTAGCAGCTGCGACGTAAATCATTTCTTGGGAATGTTAGCTCAACTAGAGAAGGGGATACAGTCATGACAAACCGAATCTCAAGGACGATACAGAGGATGATCTCGAGGACAGACTTTTCGCGACGACCCTCCACACTTTGCGCACTCTCCTTTGCGCAGTGCTTGTCCTTAAGCTATTCCAGCTTGTAACGTTGCATCACTCTGGATTCTTGAAGATACTCCTCGTTCCCGCACATACGCTATGAAGCCCATAGCGAGCTCCAATGCAGACATGTTCGAGAAATGCTAGACGCTAGATGCAGTAGCCGGACTCCTCAAATTCTTTCGCGGACCTCGAGCCAAGTTTAAGAAAGCGGCATCAAAGTTTCCGCGGTCTAGCGGCTTCCTCATGGGCCTCGCGGGATAGGTACGTTCCTGGTCTATCTGTGAGTGTCACTCGAGTATCGCCAAAGTTACGAGCTTGGAATGCTATGACGTGGCCCGTAGCGGTGCCGCTTGCAGTGCTCTGCAGTAGGATCATCCCAATGATAGTACACCTGTTCATCTCTAAGCTGCTGACAAGGACAGTTCCCTCAAAGCCTATTTTTTTTTTCCTCCTGAATTGAAAATGCTACCTACAGAGGGTAATGTACACCTAGCCTCAAAGCCTATTGGCGCGCTCGCTCACAAGCTGAAGGAAGGAAGCCAGAAAGGCGCCTGTTACCGACATTTTCTACTTAAGGCAAATTTCCTGTCATCAGCTTATGTCATCGCGCCTCTTCGCCATTTGCGGCGGCAACTGCCTTTGTTAAGCTATACCAACATCTACCGCGAACCCTCGTACAAATCCAAGTCACGCCGCAGATCTACTGTCTTGAGCACGGAACTCCAGGTAGCAATCAGCACCGCTTACTCGAAAAAACCCAACGCCTTCTCTCCGTAACGGACTCGGACCTTGAGTTTAAGTTGTGTGGAGGAGTACATGGCGATTGCGTTCATATTCCGCCTTGCGACTGGAAGGATGGACGAACAATGGAGATGTACCCTCAAAACGAGGACTCAACGTTCGGTCACCAAATCTTGATATGAAGACCCTGGACGAATTTCAAGACGTTCGCCCGAGGGACGCCTATGACTCCTTACCAAATCCAGAGAGGACTAAGGTCACATCCCAACCTTATGTTGTTCTACACAACGGCATGTTCCTTATACCAAGACCACGCATAAGCGGCGTGGCGCACCTGCCCACTGTACTCCATTTGTTACAGACACGCCGCTTCTTCCCATGGATGGAGATCCTCGCTGCTTACACGCGACCATCAGTCAATCGGTGGTGTACCGTTTCAGTTTGCGTCAGAAATGGGATTGTTGACCCAGATTCACTTCTTTAGACAGAGATTTGGATAGGCAGCGCGCTGGCGGCTTCCAGCTGCCCTAGGGATACCAGCTACAGTTTAGTTTGCAACGTTTTCTATCAGCATGTTGGCAATGCATTGTATCTCGATGCTATTGCCCTGGTTTGGACCCTTGTCAGCATGCCTTAGAATCAGCTCTCATCACGTTGTACAACAAAGGACTATGCTTCGATGTCCAAGAGAAGCTTAGCCTCTTTTGCGCGACATGCGCTGTGCAGCGTGGACGCGCATTAGCAACGTGGCAAGTGTTGCTGTTTAATTGAGATGCTCTCTGAACGAAAACTCGCTTGCGTAGATATCGCTAGTTTTCCGGAGATGTCAGTTGCTATAAGATGTGCAGCGGTGTCAGCAAACCTCCCCATCTTTCGCGACCAGATCCACCATGAATTCCGCCACTATATGTGCTCTCCCTGGCTGTTATGTGCCTGTTTGGATAGGCAACAATGGTCAGCCGTCCCAGTATTGCTCTCGCTCGCATATGGCCGCGGCGTCCCACCAACCTCAACGGCCTCAGCGGCCTCGGCTCTGCAAGGCATGCTATTGCTCCTTCGCCAGTGATAGCTGATTGATTACCAAGCTATGTCTCTGTAGAATTGCCAAGCTAAGCCCGTCTACACAGAGCCAGGAAAAGGTTAGCCCTTTCTCTCAGCGACGGCTTGATCTAAAGTATGAAATCTGCAGTCCACGACTTTTGTGGTCGCACCTGCGCGAGCGCGTATGCTCAGAGCGGCAAAGGTGGCCACCAACCGCCCCATGCGGCTGCCACAACCGGCCCTAGCGCAGGAGTCGACATGTGTCTTCTGTAAGCTTAGTTACTCCGTATATTTCCGTCTCTACTTCATGTATTGCGCAGCTGCGACCAACGTCCGAGAACCTTCGTGAATGGGAAACTGAGCGACTTCTGCTCTATCAAATGCCGTGACAGTGTCCACCAAGGCAGTCAGTTTGCCTCGTGTACTACCTCCGCGCGCAATCGCTTACCCTTGCACCAGCGCCGGCAATTCTCGAAGTGCCAAAGTCACAGGATGAATGGCGAAGCGGTGAGGATATCAGCTCTGGGTCGCTCCGGTACATAGCTCATACTTCACCCGACGTCTAGTCGTTCAGCAGTTTGGGGACCAGTGGAAGAGTAGCCCCAAGCCTCCGGACGTCGTAAAAGTAAGATAGCGGATTACAAGGCTGACGGCATATGAGCTCAAGTGTTTAACATCCGACCAGGTATACAAGATATACTCTCCTCAGAGCCACATAAAGAAATTCTTATCCTACAAGTGCGATTTACGTTTCTTCTATATTGGTTCTTAGGACGCTGAGACCTGTGACACCAGAACTGCCGTGGGTAACTCCAGACGACGTTGGCATGGAACAGCTCGCCAATGTCGCATTGGAGATGATGCGCAAAACACCGGTTTTTGTACCAACTCAGGATGCAGGGTCTGCAGTATCTTGCAGGCTAGTGTATATCCAACATACCTTATGCATTGGCTGACATTGCATTTACAGAATTCGTTCCAAGTGGAAAAGGCAGCGAGAGGGCAGTTCGGCGTAGGAATATACACGTCTGCGACCTCTTCCAAGGTATGCTACCGTTTATATGCCTCTTCGCTGCGGCGTGATGACAAGACTATCTAAAGGCAAATAGCTTTATCAATAACGCTGGAGGTTCGAGCTACCGAGCGCTTCTCCTAAACGAGGTCATCATGGGCAAAACCTGCAAGCTGCAGAGCGACGATACGACTCTCAATCAGGTAATTTGTTTCATAGATCATACTGCTGTGCAGTGGTGCTGAAAAGCCGTGATAGCCTCCTGCTGGCTACGACTCTGTTGTCGGCGAGCCTGGAAAGGGCCTTCAACATGACGAGGCTATCGGTGAGTGCATGGTCTCTCCATTAGAGACACAAATTGATATTCCGAAACTTGTAGTATATAAGGTACACCGTTGAGTTTACGTCAAGTTCTTCCCGGTACTGACACTCGACGACGACAGAACGAAGCCATTAGGCCTCTCTATCTCATCATCTTCAAGCCCTAATCGTCGTTTCACAATGCCTCTCCCAAGTATCAAGGTGCTCCCCAAACTCTCATCATTTGTTTTCGTAGCACGGGTGTGGCGTTGTCTTTGGCAGGCTTCGCGGTAGCACCCAGATGGTCGTCGCGCACAGCGGTTATTATAGCTCAAATTCAATTCGTTCTGAGAAGATACTCCCCGCGCAAGTTCAACATTTGAGCGAACGTGAGCTGATACTACTCTGCGATGGGAACTAAGGAAAATAAACAGAGGCTTGTCCGTCCCAAGTCATGGTGTCAACACGCGCACAAACAGACTATTTGACGTCCAGAAAGAACTCGACTCAGGTATGGGTACGCGTTTCATGGTAAAGCCGTTGGAATACTAGACGCTTAAAGGCGCACACCTCCATGACTTGAATATGGTCAGGTTGCTGGCATACATACGGCTTGTGGCAAGGACACATGTGACTGCTACAGCAGAGTTCGTAACAGATACAAGTGCGTCTGGACAGCATTATGTCAGGCTGCTCTTGGACGGTCTCCGACAACACTGCAGTCGCCAATGCGTGAAACCGGGATCAGCCTCCGGCCTTTGCCTTCACCTGTGCTGTCTTCCCTGTCTACGAAATTTCTTTCTTAGCCTCACTAGAGCCTTGCCGAGCTCATTCCGACCCTGGCCGTCGGCGCCGCACCCCCAGAATGAGTCGACCTGGAGCAGAGTCAGCAAGTGTTCGACCGGTTTCAACGTAGCAATTAAGGCCTACAGGGCTATCCTCAATGATGTCCCTTTCTCCTGTGTCAAGCAATAGCTTTTTTAGCTGCGCATTTTGCGTGAACTTGGCCTCCAGGACCTGATCCATGACGCTGATGTTCACGTCGAACCAGTCAGAACGCTGCAGCTTTCGCATCCGCGTGGCCTCTTCCAAAGCTGCGCGCGGAGTGGGTGTCGTTCGGACGCGCTCTGCAAGGTCGGGGCGGGTCGATAAGAACTTGTAGGCTTGGAACACTACAAGATGATTCAGAGCCTGTCGGCAACGACATGCGTCTCGCATACTCACAGTGCTCGGATGTAGGATACAATTTGCCCTGATATTGTATGGGATGTGGCGAAAAGTTAGTAAACCTGCACGAAAGGCGTTATTATCTGCCGCAGACCCATCCGCAGGACCGACGGACTCGTAATAAGGCTCGTCTTTTTTGTAGAACAGGAGAGGCGCCGAATCCCTCCCGGACCGTGCGTCTCGTCGCCGCGGCTTCGGCCACAAATGCTCTGCTGAGATGTATACCAGGAATACGAGAACCGCTAGCAGTAAAACCGGCAGCTCCATGGTAGTCGGGAAGGAAGGAACACCAGGCGATGAACACGCGGCATTTATGCAGTTCAAGTTGAACCTTGCGTCCACGTGCTGATAACGTGTTCCTCAGCTCCGCGATATGGCGTCCTTATACGCTCCTTCGTAAAACTCTTACCCGCGATGAGCATCGAGTCTCAGGAATATATTTTGCGCAGTACTTACCACGACCATTACCTAACTCGGAGCTGAAATCCTACACATTGCAATAAGCACACATAGCATGGTACATCATAAGATAGAGCAAAGCCCTTGGTACGAATAAACAACAGAACCCGCCTTTCTAGAGCATCCACTGGAGACATGAAACACTACAAACGCTCTGAAATCGCACTGTACTCATCGGTTTATCCAGTCTTCTGCGCGTAACTTGTCCCTCAGTCTCATTAAGCACTTCCCAAACTCATTCCTACCCTGTCCGTCCGCACCACTGCCCCAGAACGTGTCCACCTAGAGTGCAACGCCATCAGCGCATGGCACATGGCCGTATCAAATCCCTGCACTCACAGGTCTCTTCTCTATCAGCTCTCTGTTCCCAGTTTTGAGTAGCATGTCCCTGAGGGTCGCATGCTGCCTAAACTTCGCCTCCAGGACGTTGTCCATGATGACCACGTTTACGTTAAACCAGTCTTTCCGCTGTGCGTTGTGAAGTTGCATGGCTTCTTGCTGGGCAGCACTCGGCGTCCTCTGCTTTCGAATGAATTCGGCGATACGCGGATCTGTCCCAAAGAACTTCTGTGCTTGGAAGACTACAACGGCTTGTGAGTACTGTGATTCCAGCTACCCGGTTGGTATGATGCTTACGGTGCTCGGAAGTAGGGTATCGTTTCCCGTTATACCTAACGGAATATGAGGCGAAATTGGTAAACCTGCAATGTCACTCAGCGTCAACGAGCGTCATGTAGTAGGACCCGGCTTACTCAAAGTATAGCTCGTGTCGGTCATAGAAGTAGATGGGGGACCCCGTCTGTGACTGGAAAGGACGTCGCTCAGCCGGTCTTTCAGGGATGACGCAGTCGTCTTGTCCTGCACAAGCGAACACAGGCGGCGCCTCGTGAAAGTGGGATACGCCGACTGGGGTGTCGGCACGAGGCTGAATGGTTGCAACATCGCGAACACGCTCTTGCGCGAGTGCTACGTCCGGCGCCCGCTGTGCATGATCGCGTACTTGCCCACCATGTTCCGCCGCCCATCCGCGCCACGTACCACTGTCCTGCTCTCGCATCAGCCCTCCTTGCGCACGAAGCTTCTCTCTCAGTCTCATCAAAGCCTTCCCGAGCTCGTTTCGGCCCCGCTTGTCTGCGCCGTAGCCCCAGAATGAATCCACCTGTGGTGCAATGTTTCGTTGGTCCCTGTCGTGCGCCGACGAAGCATAAGCAGCAACGACTCACGGGACTTGCTTCAACTAGCTCCCCGTTGCCTGTTGAGAGCAGCATGTCGCGCAGCTGCGGATGTTGCGTGAACTTTGCCTCGAGGACGGCATCCATGTAGCGGATATTCACGTCGAACCAGTCGCTTCGCTGGAGACGGCGGAAGCGCTTGGCTTCCTCCAGGGCCGCTTTTGGTGTGGACTGCATCCGAATTTGTTCTGCCAAGTGTGGCGCTCTGTCGAGGAACTTGTGCGCATGGAACACTGCAACGCGGGATAGATGATTAGTAATATACATATACATATACGTGCCAGCGGTCCTGAGAGGATAAACTACTTACGATGCTCAGAAGTAGGGTATTCCTTTCCGTTGTACCATACCGAGTGAGGTGAGAAGTTGGTGAACCTGAAATCTTGTTCAGCGTCTCGATTCTCCGCAAGATATTCCGGCTCACTCGTAGTATGGTTTGTCTCTGTCGTAGAAGAAAATAGGAGACCGCGTCGCCGAGCTCTCTATGACATTAAGAGCCAGCAAATATTCAATGGTGGATGTCGTATGCAGTACGAGATTCGTGCTTACGGGCCCGATAGCTTGCGTGCGGTGTATTGACGGCTGCGCGGTGATTAGACTCGCCTTGAACGGACAGTCTCCTCCGGCGCTCGCCATCTTTGCGTGGTGGTGAATGCGTCCACTGCTTCATCTAGTTATGCGTGGTTGGCCTGCTTTCCAGAGAGCACAACGCCGCAGCGAGACAGTACTAGTACTAGCCGGTGCTCGACCTACAGTTCCTCGACGGCGACGTACACAGCAAAGCGGTGATGTCATAGCGGACTGGTGTCGCCACGTTAACATGCTGCTTGCATGCTGTAGACGACATGAGAAAAGGCGATGTCGGAGGCAGTGTAATTAGCGCACTATAAATTGAAACCCCGCCATAAGAAGCATAAGAAACGCCAGTAAGCATCCAACTCCGCCTTCAACCATAGACTGTAGTACCAGACTAGTAGGGAGGATCTTCGAGCTCCCGTCGCTCCGCTGTGCAAACCGTGTGTAGCAACACTCCCTTGAACCCAAATACGCCGCTAATAACGCGATATTCTGCAGGCTATTTGGACCCTGCATTAATTTCATTTCCGCCCGTCTGACTCAGGTGCTAGCTGGCCACCCGACCCGTACTGTATCGACTAGTTCGGGTCTGCCTTTGGCACATCTTCCGTCGAATCAGATCCCGTTTCGACAACACCCCAAGTTCAAGGACCCTTGTTAGCATGCTACGGAAGCAGTTACGATAATCATCCAATTCTTCCAGCGATGTCTGTCTTCACGGCGTGCTATAGAAGCAAACCTTACGACCTCGTTCTTCCGACATTATGTACAGCATCGTCTAATCTACCCCGACTTCCGCATACGGTACGGTTTTCCACGCACTCACGGTCTCCACGCACTCACGGCCTCCACGCACTAGCAGCGCGGTTGGGGGCATAGTTCGATACACAACTTGGACGAGCTCTCTTCAGCGGTATGAACGTTATTGATCATAAACTCATCTCTGATGCTATAAGATCTCCAGCGAGCCTAAACGATAGCATCGCGCCTCTCGCTCCGATTTCATCATGAGTTCCAATACCTGCGCTCTCGCCGGCTGCTTTGCCGCTGTCTGGGTCGATCGCAATGGCGTACCGTCACAATATTGCTCTCGCTCGCATATGAGTGCGGCAACTCAGCATCCTCCGCAATCTCAGCAATCTCAGCTCTGCAAGGTATGCCATTGATCTTTGACCCTCCGCCCGCTGACGGCGAACTGAGGCCTGCTTATCCAGAATTGCGGAGTCAAGCCCGTCTTTGTGGAGAATGGCAAAGGTCAGTTCCTGCCAGTGTTCTGCACAGTGGTGAGCCAGTCTGACGTACGTTGTTTGTAGCTCACGACTTCTGTGGCAGAAGATGTGCCAATTCGTACCGTCCGAGTCTAAACAGTGGGCACCATCAGTACGTATCTAGCAACAGCGGTCTTTAGTCCCAAAGCTAAGACGTTCTATCTGCAGGAGCCAGGGCGACATGTGTCTTCTGTAGGTCTCAGCCACTCATTACACCGCTCGCACATTGCATATGCTATGATACAGCTGCAATCAATACCCCAAAATCTTGGTAAACGGGAAACTCAGCGATTTCTGCTCCATGACATGCAAGAACAATGTCTCTAATAGAGGCAAGTCTGGTTTTGTGTATTGAATTTACGCGTACTTGCTAATCGCTACATTAGCGCCGGTTCTTCTCGAAGTGTCATCGTCACATGAGCAATTTAAAAGTGGTGAGCGCAATATCGACAGTATCAAACCCTCTCTTACGCCTTCAACTCGCTTCAGTCGCTAAACAGTTCTACGAGCAGTGGAAGCATCCAAACAAGAAGCGGCCGGAAGTGGTCAAGGTGAGACTGTCGATTGGAAAGCGGAGCATACCGATGTGTTGACCACCGACCAGGTGTACAAAGTATACCCTCAGAACAGTCATATGCAGCGGTTTCAAGCCTACAAGTATGCCTTTCTTTTCGTCTCCTCTGGCTAGACGCTGAGCACTCGATGTGCCAGAGCGAGAGTGCCGGACAACTCCAGAAGACGCTGGCATGGAACAACTCGCCGCTGCCGCATTGGCGACAGCGCACAAAATCTCAACTTTTGCTTTAACGCACAGTGTGCGATGTGTAACATTCTACAGGTCAGCATCGACGTTAGGCATCCTCCCACAGCAATTAACATCATGGCCTGCCACCATAGACTTCGTTCGATTTGTCGAGAGCAGCGCGGGGCCCCGGCAGCTACCAGCGATTCGGCGTAGGTATATATACTTCAGCCACCTCATCAAAGGTCATTGCCTACATTTTTCTCTTGGCGGGTGCGATAATTGATGGTTTTCATCTTTATTTCTAAGGCGGTCGACTACATCGACGAAGCGGGAGGCTCAAGCTACCGGGCAATGATCCTCACTGATGTGACTATGGGCAAGGCGGCTAAGCTCCGCAGTGAGGACAGGACTCTTACTCAGGTGATAACTCTTGCGCGCTGCATAAAGCTGTAGTGCTTAACAGCAACCTTTATAGGCTCCTCCCGGATACGATTCAGTTGTCGGCGAGCCCGGATTTACTTCGTGCGTGAAGTATGACGAGGCTGTTGGTAAGTACGCGACCCCCCTCTGTGGTTTACGGTCTGATATCAAGGCAATGATATCTAGTATACAAGGTAAACTCTTGTGCCCGGTGTTAACTAATGCTGATACCCAGTTGCTGCCGCCAGAACGAGGCTATCCGCCCGCTTTATCTTGTTATCCTCAAACCCTAGTCATTATCTCACTTTGCCCCTCACACATACCGATACGGCTCTCTAAGTTTCACAGCTTTCTTTCGCGGTGCATGCTGTACAAATCATCTGGGCGCTTCATAGTGAGGTCTAGCCGGCTCTCAGACGCAATATATTTCGTGGCCGATACCCGTGTTATGAATCGCCTTTATGTCTGGCAGGATTTGAATGAGAGCGAGCCACTCAGACGAGAGGAAACAAAAGAAACAGCTTTCTGTGGTACATGCGCCAAGCGTGCGCCCGTCCACTACCGTCATCCTCGCGGGATCTCCTCCGTGGGATCTCTTGTCAACTAGAATACGTTCAAATATAGCATCGCCCGTCTTTTATCCAAAAAGTAGAGAGTGCCGTGTACTCCGTATTTTTTCAGCCATTTCAACCTGTTTCCGGCCAGTGGTCCTTCTCCCGCCAGCAGGTATTTACAGTCATGCGAGCCTGAGGTTGGTAACAAGTGTATAGGTGTTCAGCAGAGCTGGAAACGCAATAACCATCGGTGTCGTACTAATGGCCTGCGAAAGGTGATTTCTCCTGGTGAGTTTGACGGTCCGGGAAGCCTGGTCATAATAAGGAGGTACAGCTCCCGAAGGTGCGTCCCCGAGGTGCCTGCTGTCATGATTCACATATCGGAATCACAAGGGCTTGAAACGCAACTCAGAATGTGCAAAATACTGTATCATGTCCTGCTTGCCGGATTAGTTCTTGTGAGTATATTACGTTCCGATCTCGCCGTGATGAATTCACGATAGAATATACTCATATCAATTGCTGAATCGATGGAAAAGACGGACGGATTAAAGCTCGATGTGGAAAGCTAGTGAACGTATGCACACCCTTGCTTGCCGCGGCCTGGTACGGAAAGTCCCGAGATTTTGACGCTGTGCTCCGCGAACCGCGGGGATGTGGGCTAGGAGTGCTTGCGAAGACCCTGTAGGCACAGACGGTAAGGTGAGGAATGAGCTTATGACACGGTGCATAGCACTCGTGTAAATGCTCTTGCCTCTAACATGCAATGGAGAATGGCCGCGATTGAATGATTCAAGCACACGCACATTGACCCCAAAACACACTGGGCGACATTGTAGGCCCTTATCAGCGCGCCGCAGAAGCTAACCTAGTATTTCCCTATGTTCCTCCCCCAGCTATCATGCGGCGTTGGGCTGTGTTGAACCCTGGGACCGATAGAAGCACACGATGGATGAGTGGCTGCAGCTGCCCGCGCCATTACACGTCAGCTGGTGTTTTCACGTTCTAAAACGCGGTTACAGCGAGTCTTCCGATGCAGAAGCTTCTGAATCTTGGCACCGCAGGACAGCTGAGGCTGATTATCCGGATATGGCTTCGTGTCGGATCCTATTGAACAAAGTCTAACTCAGGCACTATAAACTACATGACGAGGTGAAGAAAAAATCTGTACCTTGCACTTGAACTCCTACGCTTTTCAACATGAATTCCGCTAGTGCATGCGCCTATCCAGGCTGCTCTTCCCCTGTCTGGGTAGACAGCAATGGCAGGCCATCTCAGTGCTGCTCGCGTTCGCACATGATGGCGATGAAGGCCCAACAACCCCCACCACAGCAGTATCGGACTCAGCAGCCTCCAACACAGCAGCATCAGAATCAGCAGCCCCCGTATCAGCAGCCCCCGTATCAACAGCCCCCGTATCAGCAGCCCCTGTATCAGCAGCCCCCGACCCACCGGCAGCAGCCTTCGGCTCAGCAGCCTTCATATCAGCAACCTCCCACCCACTGGCAGCAGCCTCCAGCTCAACAGCCCCCGAGTCAGCAGCCCCCGACACATTGGCAGCAGCCTTTGACTCAACAGCATCAGGCTCAGCAGCCTCAGCCCCAGAACGCCAGGGCTCAACAGCCTCAGGCTCAGGCTCGGCTCTGCAAGGTACGTAGTAACGGTCCTGTGACGTCTCGTAATTGGACGTGTGCTGAATAATATTCTCTTAGAATTGTAGAGCCAGGCCAGTTTTCATAGATCACAGCGGAGGTCAGTACATGGTCCAAACCACAGCCAATCTGACATGTACCATGTTTAGTTCATGACTTCTGTGGTCGTACTTGCGCGAATGCATACCGTCAAAGCGGAAAGACCGGCTAACTGGTAAGGTTTGGTTTCGAGAGTGCTTTGGCATTTATACTTACATATTCTGCCTCGGGATAGAGGCTGAAGCTTGCGCGTGGCCTTCGTAAAGATCAGCCGCCACATGTATCTCTGCACTGAGACTGCTCAAAACGCAAGGGATAGTACATGAGCGTACTGTAGTAGGGTTACGTCAGACGGTTGACCAAGCTGAAGAATTGCTATCTCGCTTCATACCCGTTGCCACTGTGCCTATCGTTCTAAATATCTCTGGTCCCGTTTCCGTCTCATTTCAATCGCATTCAAGTTCGCTTCTATAACCGAATTCAAATTCGACTGCATTCAGACTCGCTCCGGCGGAGATCGTAATCCGGTTTATCTAAGCGAATGGACGTGCCAGTGACCGAAGATTTAGCGGAGAGTATCTATGAAAAATTAAAAAGAGCACCATTGCTATCCATACGGTACGGAGCAGGTACGAGCCTCTGACTCATCCACTGCGTCCGCTTCAATTCATGTATGCAGCATGCTGACCCCAAAGCAGTTTAGCTATCCCGCACTTAGACTCGCTAACTTTTCCATCATGAGCTCCCCCAACACATGCGCTCACCCAGGCTGCTCCTCGCCCGTCTGGGTAGATAGTCATGGAAAACAGTGGCAGTTTTGCTCACGTTCACACATGGTAGCTCTGAAAACTCGGCAGCCCCAGCTTCTGGCGCAGACCCAGCTCTGCAAGGCATGCTAATAGTTTCTCGACGTCTGGATGCATGCTGAGGCACGTTGATCTAGAACTGTGGAGCTAGCCCGGTCTATATAGAAGGCGATAGAGGTCGGAAGCATCTTCTCCTAAACCACAGCTAATCTGATGTAAGCCATTTTCAGTCCACGATTTCTGCGGTCGCACTTGCGCGAATACGTATCGCTAAGGCGGAAGTATCGCCCACCGAGAGATATCAGTAGGTGTCGATCCTGCCAGTACTTTAACTCTGATATTGATTCGACTATATTCAGACGGATAATTAGTTCACCCCACACTTGTGCTCGTGTCCGAGATCCTGTCGTACTCCTTACCTAATGCTTGTACTCTCCTCTGTATCTCGTTTCCATTGTATTCTCTTCTGCTCTTCGTTCTCTCTACATCACTAGATTCTCCTAGATGGGGCCCGGCTATAATCTGAAGTTGGCCCGTCACTTAGCCTTGGTCTCTGAGCCCTGTGCTTTGTACATCGGCTATCCGTCACACAGACTGCCACATGCAATTCAAAGTTCTTGACTTTGTTTCCTGTGCACGAGTACAGCCGGTAGCACATCGTATACATACATTGCCATGCATTGATCGGGGAGACAGAGACAATGAGAATAGTAGAGGAGAAAACGAAAAAAGAGCAAAAAAAGAGGAGAGCTATCGAGAGAGATGACAGGACAGACAAAAGAAAAGCAACGATCAAGCGCGAGTCACGACAGAATGACAAGAGACAATCATGTTACTGTGAGGTCCAACAGTCAACCCACGCACTGCGGGTCACATACTTACTGCCAGTAGCCTTGCTGCCTGGGCTGGTACGAGTAAAAGCTACCATCGGAGGAGCCTTGCGGGTAGCCGAGGTGTGCTTGGGGACCCTGACCTTGCGGCTGGTGCTGCTGGCTCTGCGCACCCTGGGGGCCCTGCCCAGCATTGCTGAAGCGCTGACCGTAGAACCCGCCTTGGGGCTGCTGGCCACCCCGACCACCCTGCTGTTGAGCACCCTGGCTGACACCGGTACCAACGTCCTTCGCGTTGCTCCCGTACGGCTTGTACGCGGCCTCAGGTGAGCCGCCGCTGCGCTGACCAAGGGGCGCGCCTGACGAGGGGCCCGAGCTCTGGCCGAGACCCATGAAGCCCTGCATACCCTGGCCGCTACCGCCGTATAGCTGCTTGCCGTAGTCGTTCGAGGGAAGGCCGCTCACGCTCTGACCGTGCCCGTGCTGGTAATCAATGTCACCATAGGGTGACGACGAGTGCTGTTGGCCATACAGACCCTGGCCGTACGGTGACTGCGGCTGCACGGAGCTCGGCGCCTGCTTGCTCGCGGGGGAGGGAGCAGACTGAGGGCCTGGCGGACCTTGGAAGACGGTCGGGTACTTGACGAAAGGCTGGGGAACAGAGTAACCGGAGCTGTATGGGGAGCCGTAATACTGGTTCTGCGGGTAGGGAGTGTAGTAATATGGAAGGGGTGGAGGGTAGCCCTGTTGAGGACCTTGTGCACCAGGCTGACCCTGGCTGCCGGACTGACCGGACTGAGGGAGCTGCTGCGACGGCTGGGTACTGGAAGGGGGCAGGCCGGGGGCAGCATGAGGCTGCTGCTGAGGAGCACCAGGGAGGCCCTTGATGTCATCGTGACCGAGCATATTACGGTTACTGAACCCGGTCTGTCCAGAGTAAGAGTCATAGAAGTTCTGAAAGTCGACGAGGTAAGCGAAAGTGAAATGTCATGAACGCTAACAAAACGTACCCTCTGGTTCTCTCCGTATGGGTAATCTCCTCCGCCAAATCCACCAAGGTGCGAGCTTTGATTCTGATGACCAAGTTGTCCAGAGAGCTGGCCGAAGGACCCGTAGGGCCCATCCTGACTTTGGGAGGCGGACACAGGTGGAGTCGCGGTGTGGAAATATGGTGGTTCCTGCTGTCGGAAGTACGAAGAATGGCCGCCGAGACTCTGCTGAGGCGCAGGCGCAGCGTGCGGTGACTGGGCCGCGGCGTGGTTCTGATCGAGGTGGCTCGCCAAACCATGTTGTGAGTACTGCTGGTGCTGCTGGGAGAGCAGGCCTTGCGACTGAGCAGGCTGCTGAGGGTGCTGCTGGGACGGCAGTGAGGGCGGGGCAGCGGGGATGCTGTGCGAGTAGGACGAGATGTTGGAGGCGGAGGCAGAAGATTGAGGCTGAGCAGAGACTTGAGCGGGGAGGGCAGGCTGCGACAGGGATGTTTGCAGGCTAGCAGGGGCTTGAAGCTGAGCAGCGGACGAGAGCTGAACAGGCGGAGAGACTTGGGCGGGTTGCTGCTGCTGCTGAGCTTGCTGGGGAATGCCTTGCTGGAAAAGACTGCCGTTCAACGATGTTTGAGCCGGAGGCGTAGTAGCAACAGATGTAGATTCCTGTGGCTGAGCTGGAATTGGCAGAGCAGGTGGCAGAGCGGGCGCCTCCGATACAGCGGCGGGCTCCGCCGCACGCAGGGCTGTTGGCTCGGCGGAGACATCTTGGCTGCAATGAAGTATGGGCGTTGGATGATAGATAAGACTAGCGAAACACTCACGTCGAGTCGAGGTCATCACCGCCAAGGCTCAAGCTACCGAACTGCATGCCGACCTTCTCTAGAGTGCCAAAGCTGCCACTTGGCATGATGACAGCTTGGTCGGGCTTGAACTTGTGCCTATGGGCAGCGGAAGTTGGCCTTGTGTGCTGAGCGGGTGTAGCAGGCTTGACAGGAGCGGGAGCCTGCACCGGTTCTTGCTTCGCTGCTGATGGTTGGACTTGTGCAGGCAGAACAGGCGGAACCTCGGGTTCTGCGGCAGGAGTTGGAGCGACCTCTTCCTCCTCCGCTTTCGGCTCTTCCTGAACGGCAGGCTCTGCGGGCTTCGCCGTGGGCTCGTCGTCCCAAGTGGGCGCCTGTACGGTAGTCGGTTCCTCCCAGCCCTGTGCAGCAGACTCTGACTGAGGCTCTGATTGTACCGGTTCAGGTGCAGGAGCGGGTTGTGATGGTGTTGGTTGGGTGGCAGGGGAGGGTGGTGCAGGCGCAGCTGCTGGTGCAGGCGCAGGAGCGGGTGCCGGAGGTGTCGGCTTTTCTTGAGGTCTAACGCATCAAGCTATAGTTAGTTGGATCGCTACAGCTACGGTCAAAACATACTTAGCGATCTGCGCCCAAGATAGCTTAGAGGTAGCGGGAGTCTTCGTGAATTTGACGAGGGGATGAGAAGGCTGAGAAGGGGCTGCAGGGGAAGCAGGAGGGGCAGAACCATTGGTGGCGGTATCTCCTCCCCATGTAGCGGGTGTGCTTGTATTCTCGGAGACGGGCTCAGCAGCAGGAGCGTCCTGTACCGGCTTAGCTCCGTTCACATCAGCAGCCGAATCGACTGCTGGAGCTTCCTCCTCTATCTTCTGGGCTACATCCTCATCACCCTTACTAGGACCGTGCTTGGCGTGACGGCCGTTGGTCTCTTGGTGTCCTCCCCGGATGAATGCACCACGAGCAGCACCGCCCCGCCCAGGTCCACCCCTTCCACCACGACCGCCCTTGCCACCGCGGAAGTCACCACGTTCTTGCTTGGCTGCGTGGTCCTTGGACTGAGTCTGAGGAACACCGGCGGTTGACTTCTTGTCCTTCTTGCGCTGGACAGCACCCCACTGCTCGGCATGACCTGCAATTGCTACGTGTTGAGAGCTGATGACGTCTGCAGAAAGTGCAGGACTCGCCTTCAGAAATTCTGAGTACCGCAAGGTCAACGTCGCCGTTTACATCAAGCAGGGCCGATTGAATGTCTTTGCAAATCAGGGGAAGAAGTCAGGACGTCTGGTCGCATACCCTCACGACACTCTCTATTCACCTTCATTCGACCATGCAGGGAACAGCTCTTGTATCTGCTGGGTTTGCTTGCGGAACTTTTCAGGAACTGCCTCTGCAGGGGCCTGGGGCCTGCGGTAAGTGGACGAATTGTACATTCTGGACGGAACTCGTGTGTTTGCTGCACGGTGCAAAACAAGTTTGACGGTGGAAGGAGCGAGCTGAGTTTGGAAATCCACTTCGGTGGCGTCACAAGCACAGGCTTGATTTATCCCGGGCCGAAATTATTACTTTTTCGCCGAAGGTAACATGCTGCTTGCCAATATGAGATGCTGCCGGCCGAAAATAAGCTTTTTTGCCGGGATAGCTTACTATCTGCCGGAGCTACTTATTTAACTCTCATTACACCTCCGGGCCCCGGGGTTGTCATGCGAAATTGCGCCCAAATCCTCGACCCTCTTACGCTCATGTCTCTGTCCCTCGTTGCCATCACAGCTGTCGAACGAACCGCCTGACGATTTCTGACAACTACTGGCTTGACTCACCTGCCGAGTCTTGTCGTGTTTTCTCCCATTTTTTCTGGTCATATTTATTCCTGCAAGCCTGCTCAGTTCTAGTGGCTACTCGCACCAGCACAGCCTTTCCTGAACCCTCAGTGCACTCACGATGCAGTCTAAACGCCCGCCAAACCTTTCGCTCCAGATTGGACAGCGACCTCCTGCGCGAACTGTAATAGAGCTGCCCACTCCCGTAGAAGAACCGGTCGATAACACCCAGGCTCATGAGGAGGAATATAGGTCTTCGTCTCCTTCATCAAGTTCGTCAGGATCCCAGGATGCGTTCCTCTTGAATACAGGAGAGGAGAACGACTTTGATTCGGACGACCTGTCAAAGGATCTCGCTGTACTGGAGCAGCTGCGACGAAGCGTGCACAAGAACCTTCGTCTGCGTCCCATTCGCTCAGCCTCTGGATCCATGCGCAGTCAACACACACCTGAGCTGGGTGCACCCTCTTCGCAGTCTTCAGACTCTCCTCTCGAGTCCATCACCGACGTCGTCCGCCAACGAACACCGAGTCCTGATTCTGCTTTCAGCCCCGCGAGTGCGTACTTCACCCCGCTTACAGAGTTCGGAGCGACACCCATCAGTGCCCTGTACCATTCCCGCCATACTTCGCTCGATTTCCAAGTCCTCCAAGCGCAGATGCAGCAGCCAGCGAAGCCTACCTCGTCTGGTCAGGGCGTTAGTCCTGCGCTTCTCCTTGCTAGGCTTTCCACGCCTACCCGTCCATTACTCATCGATACCCGGCCAGTGGCGGCTTTCATGCGGCTGCACATACCACAAAGCGTGAACCTCGCTATTCCATCCCTTATCCTCCGCCGCTCACGAAAACCGGCTAATGCCTTCCATACCCTCGAGGCGCTGCGCCAGTATATCACCACGGAGGATGGCAAGCATGTCTGGGATGATCTGATGGCTGGGCACGACTGGGACGGAGATGTGATTGTGTATGACGAGATCATGCTGCAGAAGGATCGGAGTAACCACCAGGCCACCGCTTGGGCAATCATGGAACTCGTCACACCGCTCTTAGTCCATGGTAGCGTGGACTTTCTTGAGGGTGGCTTTGCTGCAGCGCGCACCCACCTGTACCTGTCTGAACGCATGGTGTCGAGCCCAGAGACACCTGATCCCCCGGATACCGCACCGGAGCTGAGTTCTGCCCCAGTCCTATCCTCGAGTATCGCCACTAGCTCTAAAAAGCCTACACTTGCCATAGGGCTGGCGCAACTGGACACAATCGTCGCCTCGCGCTGCACGAAGTTACCAGAGATCGAGCAGCCCACTCCGTCACCTCAACCTCTCATGCCCGCCGCCATCAACTCATGGAACGTGCTCGACGACTACGCTAGTCCTTCTCCCGCACCCTCTGCCACCGTTTTCTCTCGCCCACAGCCCCCTCGCAGGCCGAGCATACCAACTCTCCGTCGGATCGATACCGAACGAACAACGCCGCTGCCAAAGTTGCAGGTTCCAATAGGGCAGTTGAGGTCGAATACCCTTCCTGCTCCCAGTAGCGCCAGATCCCGCTCCCGTTCGCCTTCACATCTCACTCTTGTATACTCCAATCTCTCCCCGCCGCCACTTTCGGCGCTCCTATCTCCTCCAAACCCTTCATATGGCCATCTCCCGCCACCCTCGCCGTCATATGCACAGCCTATGACACCGCACTCGCCACGCACGCCAATGCCGCGTTCACCTGCGACTGCGCGCGCAGAGCTAGATCAGCCGCCGACGACGGAAGAGCCGTTCCCGGAGTTCAGTGTGTCCACAATCCTTCCCAATTTCCTTTTCCTCGGTCCAGAGCCCGCATTGGAAGAGCATGTCGAGATGCTACTCGCGAACGGGGTGAAACGCATCATCAACATCGCAGCCGAGTGCGATGACGACCATGGTCTGCGGCTCAGAGAGCGCTTCGAGCGCTATGCGCACATACCAATGCGCGATACGGTCGAGGAAGATAACATCACTCGGGGTGTGCGAGAAGCGTGCACGTTCCTCGGTAAGTTCACGTTACGTATATTTCTCGTCTCTTCTGACATCGCTTTCAGACGACGCACGCCTCCACTCTGCACCGACTTACGTCCACTGCAAGGCTGGCAAATCACGATCGGTCACGGCAGTAATGGCTTACCTCATACATGCAAACCACTGGACGTTATCGCGCGCATACACCTTTGTCCTCGAGCGGCGCAAGGGCATCTCGCCTAATATTGGCTTCGTTTCCGAGCTAATGACGTTTGAGGAGCAGGAGCTCGGCAGCAAGTCCGTCGGAGTCGTCAAGATGACGCCCTCGGAGACCGACAGCGACTCGGCGCAGGCGGGTGGTGGCCCAACGATGGCGGGCAACTATTCCGTCGCACTCGGTGGCCGACGGCCGCAACACTTGCGCGAGAGCCTGCCGCCGGCGTTCTCTGCGCAACACTCGCTGAACCTGGTGCCGATGTTTCAGGACGCACAGCTGGGTGACTCGCAGCAGGAGCTTGAGATCAAGGACGCGGATGGGCGCTACCGCCACGCGCGGCGCGCGCCCGTAAACGAGACGACGCTGCAGCCGATGCGACGCGTGAGTAAGGCTGGGCTGGAGAGTGCTGTCTATTTATGAGTCGGCGCACGTCGACATTTCTTCCATTCGTTTGTGTGTCTGCTTTGCACTATCACATATACCCTCGCACGTCGCTGTTGTCTTTTTGCTGCATAAGGTCACTACTATTCTTCTTCTCATGTATGTGTCCTATTAATATCGCAATTCGAGGAGTATTGGAGGCGAAAGAGATTCCGATTATTGAATGTACGTGGGATGGCTGTTAGCGACGACAGCAGGTAGAGCTTTGTTACGTGTATCCCCATACGCCTTGCGGTGCACCCTGGAGCCCTCGGAGATGTGACACTGCGGTGACGTATCCTAGGCTGCTTGTAGGATCATTAAATTCGCTACGGAATGCCATGGACGTCTTGAGTGAATCAAGTCCCATTTTTTTTTCTTTTCCGGTGTTCAAAGTGCTACCTGCGGCATAAGGTAATGTACATCTAATCAAGTCCCACTGTCGCGAAGATACTGTGGGAGCCTCCAGCACACGGCGCCACGGATATTTGGCACTGTTAGGATCTCGAGTCTCAGGTTGCCATTTGCAGCCGGCACCTGAATCTCTCCTCGATGCCGCGGATGTGCACGGCGGAGTGGTATGAAGTCTTGGATACGGCCTGCCAAGAGCGAGGTCCCAGTTTAAGGCTTCGCAGCGGTCAGCGACCTCGGCTCTTGATTGCTTGGTCGTTATCTGTTATTTTCCTTGCTGGCCCGCGGCAAAAGCGAAGGCATTCCCGGGAAGCAGAATTCGTTGTGAGCACTCATGAATAAGTAATTTTCACACCGGTGTATGAGTCGAGACCAATATAATGTCAGGATTGATGGTGGGGTGCAGCGAAGCAGCGTGTACCGACGAGCAGCTGTCAAACAGCTCTCAAGAAAGCATGGCAGCTACGATATGGTCGAGCCGTAGAGGTAGAGATTAGTCGGATTTGACTATATATCTTCAATATGTCATGAAACAGGTTATATTTATACTCCTTTCTAGTCTGCTCAGCGAGTGATAGGGTAACGCGCTGACGAAAAACGGGCAGTTGACATAGCTGCCGCGCAATCTCGAGTAGAGTGGCTGACATCGGACTTATGGTAGTCTCTGTCGCAAAGTACTGACTAAAGGACACCATAACATATGAACAACGTGCTGTCTCGAATGTCTCGTTAGTCATTTGGAACCTATTGAGTTATTACCAACCTGTACTACCATTCCGGCGGTCGCGCGTCACGCCGATTTTCCGCTGACCCCTCCAATAATTTTTTCTCGGTTTGTGGCGATTTGGGGGAGTCGTCGGAGAAAATAATCTGGGCGCTTCCCGCTAAACTGGCCGTACGGGTACAGTACTACAGTCCTGGACGGATTTTAAGTTGTTGGTATAAGGACCGGGTTTTGCGGCATAAATCGTGCATAAGCGATCGTCCATTAAATATAGGGCAGTCCTGGGAAGAGGCAAGAGGCCCAATGCAAGCCTTGAAGATGCGGCCTGATGCGCTGCGCTGCTCCCGATCATATGAACCGCCCGCGTGGCAGCTTGACGCGCCCTGCGCGTCCATACTTCCGTCTCGCCGTCACGAAGGCACAGGACACAAGTGCGCATGTCAAGACGAAGGATGAACACGAAAGAAACAGGGCCTGAAAAGGGCTCTCCGCAATCTTCGTCTGCAACGAGTGGCGATGCGAAGGTGCATGCACAGCCAGCGAAGGCGTCGCGGAACTACTTGCCATGGGTCCTGGCTGCAGTCGCGTTGGCTGGCATGTCATACCTCTTCACGGGCAAGACTACCACCAAGGAAAATCCAGGGCTCACTCATCTTCCAGAGTCATACGGCTTGTGTAGCGGTCCTGACGCAATCTATACGGTCGATGACGGCCGGCCAACCGTGGACTGTATTCTTGTCCTCAAGGATGAAATACTCGCGGCGGGCACTAGGAGTAAGCAATTCACTTACAAAGCCAAAGTAATCTGTGCTTAGCGCGGTCCATAGGCGATATCATCAGCGCGTGGGACGAGTACCAGACTGAGCTTGTGAACAAGTTCTACGGCGGCGAACCTAAGGCGAAGAAATCACTTTCTCTCCTAGAGACGAAACAAGGAAGCATTATCGTTCCCGGGCTTGCAGATTCTCATGCGCACCTCGTTCAGTATGGCTTTAAAGCAAGCTTGCCTTTGGATACCGCACAGTCTCTCGACGAAGTGCTCGATGCGCTAGAGACATACGTACAGGGTCATCCAGATGTCTCACCTGCAGACTGGATCAGCGGCTTTGGTTGGGATCAGACTCGTTGGGAAGACTGGGCAGGAGAATTCCCCACTGCTGTTAGCGCGGCTCCCGTGATGTTGGCTATCATAATCTCACATGCTTTCTGCCCTCGCAGGCTCATCTAGCCTCACGCAAGTTGCTCGCAGAGCGTCCCATCACTTTATTCAGGGTCGACGGTCATGCGTTATGGGTATCGCCTCGTGCTCTTGAGCTATCACGAGAACAACTTCCGGGGCGGCGCTGGCCTTCTGATAGCGAAGTTGAAGGTGGAGAGATCCTCAGAGACAGTAGTGGCGATCCAACAGGTAAACTTTTAGCCGTATATTGTAAGTTCGCTAACAGGTCTCATTGTTTTTACTAGGTGTATTTGTCGATAACGCGATGGCCCTCGTGGCACCTCCGTCGTGGACAGCGTCTCAAATCGAGGGCTACCTCGAGAAAGCCATAGAAGACGCTCTAAGCGTCGGTCTCACAAATGTGCATGATGCAGCATCACTCCCGGAGTATATTGATGCCTTTGCGAAGTATGCTGCTCCCCAACAACGCTTAGCTTGGATCGTCTGATCACATACTAGGTTCGCCGACGATGGTCAACTTCCAGTCAGCTGTTTGAATTTTGCGGTAGCACCCGTGCTGACATAGGTCTTGCCGTCCCAGATTCGCGTATACGCTATGGGCAACTCGGAGAACACCACGTACTGGGGTGATGTTATCCCCAAGCTCGAGGACTACGGTTCACAGGAACATCTCAACGTTAAAAGTATCAAGCTTTTCACCGACGGTACATTCCCTTGCAGCCAATGGTGTGTCCTGAAGAGCTCATATTATGCCGTGCTCAAGGAGCTCTGGGATCTTGGGGTGCTGCTCTTCTCGAGCCGTACTCGGACAAGCCGGATACGAAGGGCATCATGCGCGTCTCCGCTCATAGCTTGGATGATCTGGTCCAAAAGTTCTGGGACGACGGTTGGGGCATTGTGCGTCTTCTTCCCTTTTTGCTTGCCTCGTGCTAAGTAATCTCCGTTGTGTATGCCACGACACCCATCGCAACGCTGGATAGAACATTCATTGCATTGGCGACCGCGCGAACAAAGTCGTGCTCGACATCTTCGAGCGTATTCTAACGGAAGAAAGCGAGAAGACTGGCGAGAGCCTGCGTGCTGTCGCGGACCGCCGCCGGCCGCGCATCGAGCATGCGCAGATCATGCGCCCTGAGGACCTCGGCAGAGCGGGTGCGCTTGGAAGTAAGTGGTCATTCTATAATAACCCGTTACGAAACTGAGGAATAGTCGGCGTCAGTTATTACCAGTGTGCAGCCTACGCATGCGTGAGCAGGATTATAAGTTTCGTAATAGGTACATCATTGACATCAGCATCACAGGACTAGCGATATGTGGTATGCAGAGACGCGACTTGTCAGCACCCGCATTTACTCGTCTTCACTGTATGCTTACTCTTTCATTGAAGGGCCCTGAGCGCATTAAAGGCGCATACGCTTATCAGACACTCCTACAGTACGCAATATACCCACTCCTCTTTTTTTAATAGTTACTCATCCTCCTGTAGAGCTTCACCCAGGCATATTCTTCCTCTCGGCTCCGACTTCCCTGTTGAAGGTGCGTCCTCGCCTCTGCAACGTCTCGGTCTATCTCACGGCCGCACTAGGCATCAATCCCCTGCTGGGCTTCTACGCCGCCGTGACCCGGCTCGATGTCCATGGAAAGAGCCCACATGGCTCCGCCGGATGGTGCGTCTTCCTCTCTAACAACCTCTTCTCTGTCACTGCTCATGACCTCTGGCAGGTACCCAAAAGAGCGCCTCACGCGTGCCCAGGCGCTAAAGGGTATGACGCTCGACGCGGCGTACGCTTCGTTCGCGGAACACCGCCTCGGCTCGCTCGTACCAGGGAAAAAGGCGGACTACGTAGTGTTCGACCGTGACTTTGTCGACGAGGAGACTCTTGCGGAGGAGACCCTGAAGGCAAAGGTGAGGGCCACGGTCGTGGATGGGCGGATTGCGTACGGAGAACTATGAGGACGGAAAACTGCTTCATGGGTCTCTCGTCGAAGTGGCTCATTTACGCTCAAGCCCTGCTAGACAACGATGGTATATTCTTCAAAATGGACAATGAATACAATCAGCATTGCGTCCAACAACCAGCTGTGTCCTGCTGTAGAGTCTCCCCTGTTGCCATGTATGCCGCGAAAAGAGCTTACGAGAATTCAAGAGCTGTCTCGATATCTATTAGGAGCTGCGCGAGGCGTGTTGATGACTAAGGATTAAGAATCACAAGATAGAGCGGCCGAATGGCGTCGTCCTAATAGTGGTGAGTGTTTGGGTCATCCAGGACTAGGCACAAGAGCAGCTTACCCTGTATACTAAAATCTTTGATTTAATGCCACATTGCGGACTAAAGAGAGATATTATGCACTTACCAACAACCTCGTCGTAGTTCAAGCCTGTAGTCACTCCGGGCTTGCCGACGACTGAATCGAACCCAAAAGGAGGCTACCACAATCCACGTAAATTTTAAAACACTACGCAACATGCTATGTGTGTGGAAAGGACTTACCTGCATAAGAGTTTTGTCTTCACGAGGAGCCACGAATGTTCTTCCCATGACCACCTCGCTGAGGATTATCGCCCGGTAGCTTGAACCTCCCAGCTCATGAATGTAATCGACCGACTGAAAGTAGTGCTCAATCATCACACCTGCAAAGAGGAATGTGGGCAACTTACTTTTGAGGAGGTAGCTGAGGCGTACAGCCCCACGCCGAATCGCTGATAGGAACTACGTCTTGCTTTCGACAGATCGAATGAGCCCTGAGGTGGAACATATAACGTTGAGCACTGTATGACAACTCTTGCTGTAGAGGCTAACCTGCAAAATACTGCACATTGCGCATTGTGCGTTGAGGCAGTAGTTGAGATTCTGTGCATTATCACCGATGCGACAACAACGAGTCGTTCCGTGCCAGCGTCTTCCTGCGTTACTCACGGTATCCCTGAAGCATCAAATATTCAGCAGCAGTCTGTAGAAGGCCAAAGGAAAGCATACTGGTGAGCTTTGAAACGTGCTCTGGTACTCTGAGGAATGAATGTTCTGTACACCTGGCTAACCATTAGCATTTAAGTACGCTTAGCTTCTAAGGAGACGATCTTGCCTTCAATATATTCGGTCGCGGCTTGTTGGGATGCTTCCACTGCTTGTTGAACTGATCAACCACTAGAGCGAGGCTGAGGTGGGAAGGAAGGACTGGTACTATCAAATACTGCACTCACCACTTTGGAATTGCTTTTGCGTGGGTGGCACCTCAAGAAGAATTGGTGCTGAGACAGCTGTAAGTAATTGGGTGTAGAACCAATATGTGGAGTGCAACTTGCATATATTGAAGATATTATCCCTGCACGTATCGGAACAGAAGTCGTATGGTTTCCCGTTTATCCATTCTTTGGGTTTTCGCTTGCAACTGCATAGCACGTGTGATGCACAGACAACATGCTATGAGACTAGTACTTACTAGAGACAGAGATCAACTCCACGATTCTGGACAACCAAGTCTGAGTACGTGATGAAAGAGTGAGGGATTGAGGACCGTTGACATGCCTTGCGGAGCTTAGACCTCTGAGGCTGCACGGGCTGCTGACTCGCCGCTCTCATATGCGAACGGGAGCAATACTGCGATGGCTGGCCATTTGGGCCAACCCAAACAGCGGCAGAGCAGCCTGCGTAAGCACAGATACCAGCAAGACTCATAATGCAACTGAGGGCCACAAATGCAGTATGCTGTCAGTCGGGCTCGCTGGGCACCTTGAAATATATAATACGAGTGTGCGATCAGCAGCATTCGAAGGCTGGCATGGATCAGAAGAGGCCGACATTGCGGAAACAATGAGGCTGTTGGGTTTGCTTCTAGTGTAACTCGTCAATGAGGGTCCTTGAACGACGGAGGAATGCGGCTGTTAGGGCTATTAGGTTTGCTGCCGTAGCATGCTGACGGGGGGCAGAGCAACTCCGCCAAGATCGTCTGATATGATGGACGGCGTGCGAGAGGCAGCCCTAAGGTGGTATACACAGCACAATCTCGGGTGGGTGGCTCGCATTCGATCAGCGACAAGAGGATGAAGTCGATCTAGGGTCCTAATGGCCTGTGGGACATCGTGTTGTTGGCGGTGCATCTAGTTTGAGGGTGCTAGTACGGCTGTACACGGGTTGCATTAGGCTCGTCCCATACCGGTTTCTCGCTCGCAAGCTCGCGTCGCATCCCTTGCCCAAATGGGATGCAATAAGACGCACGTGGTCCCCCACGAAGCGCAGCGACCGGACCTGGCTGGCGAGTCTAGGGTTGCATAACAAATGGAATGGAACTGTTGCCCTGGTGGTAAGTTTTTCATATAGTTAGCTAAGTGCTATTTCTTACACTTCTAACTGCGGAGCTTGAATTTGGACATCGCGTTAATTAATGTTTGCGCAAGCAAGGTAATTCCTTCCCGCGATATCGTCACAGACCTTGCCTGTGCCCTATGTGCCAGTGACTTGCCCCGCGCAACATGTTGACGGGGCGATACCGGTTCCCCGCGACGTCACCGTTCTGTTATGCATGTTGTTATCAGACGAGCCTTGAGCTGCTACACTGACCTTCTCTCGCTGTGGGCCAACTATGCGGAAGTGGATGAAATCGTTGTTACATTCATCATCGCGTCAAGATATCGATCGCCGGAGGAGACCTTCTGGCCGTGTCGAGTCCAATCCTCGCCCATTTGTCAATGCAACGCCAGCAAGCTATCGAGTGCGTGAGTAGATTTAGTATCCACATACGAGACCCACCATTGAGGATTGACCAGCCCTTGATATCGTAGAGAAACCCACGACTCAGTCTCCTATTTTCTTCTACGATAGAGACCAACCGTACTATGAGTAGGTCTGAATATTCTGTGGGCTGTCTAGATACTGAACAAGCTCTCAGGTTCGCCAACTTTTCTCCTCACTCGGTGTGGTACGATGGGAAGGAATATCCTACTTCTGAGCATCGTAAGCATCTCATCTTCTAGAGCTGCTGCTATATGCATAACATTCGCTCCGCACGCCCTAGTCTTCCACGCGCACAAGTTCCTGAACAAAGCGCCTAACCTGGCGGAGCAAATTCGGACGCAGCCCACACCAAGAGCAGCTCTGGAGGAAGCTAGACGTCTTCGTAGCCTTCAGCGAAGCGATTGGTTCGAAGTGAATCTGGGCTGCATGGATGCCGTCCTCGAGGCAAAGTTCACGCAGCATCTACAACTGCGCGACATGTTGCTGTCAACGGGCACCCGAGAGTTGGTGGAAGCAAGCCCTGTAAGGCGGCATATTTCTCTTCGACGTACGACGGTAACGAGCGGGACATCTCACTGCAGGTGGATTCATTCTGGGGCTACGGCGCAGATAAGCAGGGCAGAAATGAGCTCGGAAAGGCTCTGGTGAGACTGAGAGAGAAGCTCCGTGCTCAAGAAGTGCAGATGCAAGAGCATCCCGTTGATACACGGCAGGGGCAGGTGGCGAGTGATGACGTGCAGATACGCAATTGCACTCAACAGATGCCAGTCGTAGCGTTTGCGCAAGAGCATGTTCTCGATGTGGCACTCGTTGAGCCTGTTTCCGGCGCTCCATTCGGCGCATCTCCCGCTCACGGTTCATCTTCTGGGTTCGCTCACGCAGGACAAGAAGGCGCCTATGTCATCCCAGAGAGACCTGCACACTTTCCTCTTTATCCACAGACAGAATCCCCCATCTACTTCTACAATCGGCTTGAGCCATATTACGAGTAAGCTAAGTCCTACTACCTGTCGATCGCGGGCGCTGAATGAGCTCTCAGGTTCACGAATTTTGCCCTGTATTCGGTGAAGTACAGCGGAAAACGATACCCTACTGCCGAGCATCGTAAGAATTGCATCTACCGACTGTAGAATTTACCCAGCTTACTGAGAAATGCTCTAGTCTTTCAAGCGCATAAGTTCTTGGAGACGAATCCGCGCCTTGCCGAACACATTCGAAGGCAGCGGACACCGAGAGCTGCACTACAAGAGGCCACACGTCTCCGCAGCGCTCAGCGGAGAGATTGGTTCAACGTGAACGTGGCCATCATGGACGACATCCTGCAGGCAAAGTTCAGGCAGCATGCAACTCTTAGGGACATGCTACTCAGAACTGGAAATAGAGAGCTGATAGAGAAGAGTCCAGTAAGTACAGAAGGCAGATAGGCTGGTGTGTTCCACGCTGACTATGCTGGGTTGTAGGCGGATTCGTTCTGGGGTAGTGGTGCGGATGGCCGGGGCAGGAATGAGTTCGGGAAGTGCTTGATGAGACTGAGGGACAAGTTACGCGCAGGAGGATAAACTAATGACCCAGACGTGATTTCGAATCACGACCAATGCATCGCGAAAGTTCTCCGAGTCGGAGGCCGAGTCCAGCTATTTGATTGTACCAACAGTTTCACCCTAGGTTATCTTACTACGTGTCGTACTGTGCATCTATATCGCATATGTGCTAGGTGCCATAGCAGAGATGATATGTGAATCAGGACATGCGTTTGCTTGGAAGACTGAGCCTCGGGGTACGGTATTACATGAAGCGCGCGGATACAGGATCATCGCACAAACGCTGTGTGTTCACCACCACTTGTAAGTGCACATGTCGTCATTTTTCCTCGCCAACAGCTTGAATCTTGGAGCTGCGGATTGTACGCTGAATGTTCTGTTATTGCAGACATAGAGATCGCAGCCGACGCCTCAGGCCTCAACGGTGACACTTGCCGCGGGCAGGGAAGAAACTGCAGAGGCTGCGTAGAGGGTCGTCTGCTTGGCCGCCTGACACTAGTCAAGTGGCCACGCACTCGCTGAATCGCAAACTTATCGACGTTACTTGGCCGTGTTGGCGTGGCGCACGCAAATGCAGTATGGAATATTTATTTACTATTTTACTAATCTCTTGCCGAGTACGGGGTGCGTTTGCTCCACGGTAGATACATGCGAAAAGTATATTCTCAAAACGAATATCCGGTATAAACACTGCCCACGACAACCAGCTGAGTCCCGCCGCGAAGCCCGTTCGGAACGACCTAGTGCATGTATGTGGCAAAAACCGATATTTGCGAGGGATCATTCGAAACGATGATTAGGGCTTGAAGATAACGAGATAGAGGGGCCGAATGGCATCGTTCTGACAGCGTTAAGCATCAGTACCGACGAAATCCGATGTAGAGTGGATGACTTACCCTGTACACTACAAGCCCTTCAAAATCGGCTCGTGTCTTAGATACTAGAATCGTGTACTCACCTATGGCTTCGTCATTTACGGAAATTCCTCCCCACTCGCCGACAACGGAGTCATACCCAGCGGGAGCCTGTTTGGATATGTCAACGTTGACGTATAAAAACGCGTCTATTTTGATGGATCACCTGCTTGAGGGCCGAGTTGCTGCTAGTCAGCTTGTAAACTTTTCCCATTATAACCTCGGTCAAGATTATTGCTCGATAGCTCGAGCCTCCCGCGTTGCCGATGTAACCGTTCGCCTAAGGAAGGTCTCCAGTCATTACACCACCGAGAAAAAATTGAGACAATGATTTACTTTTGAAGTAGTGGCTGATGAATATATTCCTGTACCGAAACTGCCGGCTCTTGCTTTCTCCACTTGGAACGAATTCTGTGAATATTTTGTCAATTTCTACACAAAGACATTTTAAATGAACCCTAGCCTTCAAGATGTTGCAGATATAGCAACCGGTATCGGCGCAGAAATTGGTGTTCTGCGCATCGTCTCCAATGCGACAACGACGAGTTGTTCCATGCCAGCGCCTTCTGGAGTTACCGACGGCAGCTCTAAAACAACAGGCGTTCAGCACCTAAACAGGTAACGTAGAAGGCAAGGTGCCGCACTTGTACGCCAAGAATTTCTGTACATGACTCTGTAGAGGGTATACTTTGTATATCTGGCTGTAAATCAGCGCCTAAGCCCCAGCGCTCCACTGCGGTTGATGACCTTACTTTGATGACATCTGGAGAGTTGGGGCTGCTCTTCCACTGGTCACCGAACTGCTGGGCGACTGGATGTCAACTGAAGTATAAGATATGTGCCAGCATGATCAAGAGTTGACACTCTCACCGCTTCGAAATTCTCCTTGCGACTTTGGCACCTCAAGGATAGCCGGCGCTGGTGCAGGAGTTAGCGATTGCGCGCAGAAAAAGTACGCGAAGTAAAATTCACCGCTTTGATACATGGTGTCTCTGCATTTGATAGAGCAAAAATCACTCAATTTCCCGTTCACAAAGACTCTCGGGCGTTGGTCACAGCTGGACAAGATATGTGAAGCAAGGCAGTGTGCGAAGGGATTGGGGCTTACAGAAGGCACTTGTCGCCGACAGCTCCTGCTCCAGAGCCATTTGTAGCGGCCGCATGGTGTTGATGGCCACCTTTGCCGCTCTGAGCATACGCTTTTGCGCAGGTGCGCCCGCAAAAGTCGTGAACTACAAAGGACACACGTTAGATCAAGCTGAGATTATGAGAATGAGAAACTGACCTTTTCCTGGCTCTGTGTAGACGGGCTTAGCCTGACAGTTCTACAGAAACATGGATTAGGACATGATCAACCACTGGGGGCGAAGGAGCAATATCATGCCTTGCAGAGCCCAGGCTGCTGCCACTGCTGCGACTGTTGATGCTGCTGAGGCTGCTGAGTCGATGCCCTCATGTGTGAACGAGAGCAATACTGGGACGGTTGACCATTATTGCCTATCCAAACAGGCGCAGAACAACCGGGGAGAGCACAGGTAGCAGCGGAACTCATGATGGATTTAGTTGCAGAGACGGGGAGCTTTGCCAACATCACTGCATATTATATAACAGCCGAGAAGTTGCCGAGCATCGGCGATCTTCGCACGGGCGAGCCTGCCTTCAGATAAACAAATATGCACTGGACAGCGCCGCTCACCACATTGCTCATGCATGCATGAACACCCTGAACCATGTACACCGTTTGAAGGCCTATGCTTCTGTTAAACACCAAAGCAGAAGTCATGGGCCCATTGCTGTACACGCTGGAAATGAATGATCATGAGGGCCGCTTCCGGGGTGTGCGGACAATGGCCTGACCCAGGGCACTCGCATCGAGGCGCGAGGCGCGACGTCAGCAACATGCTGATCAGAGGCGTTCTATGCTGGGATCTCGTTAGGTATTCCTAGAGCGGATGAGTTCAAGGGAATGCTGTGTAACCGAATTCCGGCCTAAAACGGTCGATATGGGTGAATATTTGAAATGCGCATTGAACTGATGCTAACCGATGGGGAGATTTGGCGCACCCGCAGCGAACCGAGCTTTCGGAGCGGATACGGCATGCTGTTAACGCATGTATCATCGTATGGAACGGGATGCTCTTGTGTAGAACGACACGCGGCTGAACCCTAACCTTGAGCTTGTATAGCATCGATGTGAAGTCGCGGGATTTCGCTCGGGTTCTACGACACTGTTACGCCGGTCATGTTTCCAAACCTTCTTTCGTACTGAACTTAGGCACTCGTACATGAAGTGCCCGTTCCCGGGCTACGTTTGCACCCCTTGTTCGCCCTTCTAGCACATTACTGGGTGAGGTACGAGCGCAACGGTCAACTTCGTATACCGAGCGTCGTGGATAGGATAGTCATGCAGGAGGGGTCCACCAGTTTGCGTACAGCCCACTAATTTGCAATCCAGACGGGTGCGATTCAGTCGCCGTCGCGCTTTGGAATGGCTGTATGTCGTAGTTGCGAATGATGAAGCGAATATGCCTACTAAAACGTAGCAGTGATTGCTAAAATGTGATGACAGGGAAGCAACTATCCTGCCGCACCTCGCGCCGCATGACATGGGGTACTGAATTAGCCAACCACGCACCTAGCTGTGCACTCCGCCTCGCCTGACTACGCAGCACATCAGGAGCAGTGCCAGTAACAAAGCCGCAGATCGTGCACCACACGCCTGGAGAACATCTAGGCTTGGTGTGATGGCACATCTGTGCGGCGCGGCGCGGCACGGTCATGGAGGCTGAGCTGCAGTGTCCGAAGCGTAGCACAATCTAACTGAACGAAGCAATCATTTAGTACTGCGCTTTCCTTCCCATTCGCGGAGAGAAGGCGGTGAGCTTCTAAAGGGGGTGATGTGTTTGCCACTCATAGGTCTGAGCTTAGGACCGCCGACTTTTTTATTCACACGAGATCTCGCAATAAACCTCTGTGTCGCGTTGCCTAGGACACCATGAGTTTCTTTCCGAGATAGATCAAAGGACATAACTACGTCGTTGTATGTGGCCCGTGGTAGAGGGGCACAGGCTCACAGGCTCACTGCCACTACCGCTAGAGTGCAAGATCATGCTCATGGCATGACGGCGGCTAGAGAATGTCTGGATTGTGTGGCGAGGACCTGTGTATGCGGGGAAGCAGATGCGCGTGTAGAAGCCTGGCACTTGCAACGGGCTGAAAACGGAAACACTTGTGAGGAAAGGGTCTGATTCTCTGGAAAAGGACTATTCCGCGCAGGGTCTGTGGTTCGCACTATACCACGATCGCAGGAAATTTACCGTTACAGCTCCGAGACGTATACGCGTCGAAAAACTCAGCGATTCTAGCGCTCGGGGATCGCCGGTCGGAGACTGCGTCGGACATCAAAGGCGATGTGCAGCCTCGCCCCATGAACGGGAATTTGACTCAGGAGGCGGGCGGACTGTACACGGAGCAGCGAAGTGACGTATAGCTTTGGAGTGTGTATAGTAAGATATTTCTGGGTTGGTCTCATGGGTCTCATAAGCGATATTCGAATAAGGTTATATTATGTTCAATGGCGCTGATTCCGCCAAAGAGTCTGTTCGAAAGCAAAGGGATATTATCGTACAACTAGAAGAGCATTGTGAGGTTAAACTGAGGAAAAATCGCTTAAGGCTTGTATATAACGAGATAGAGAGGCCGAATAGCATCGTTCTAGCAGCGCCGGGAGTCAGTATCGTTCAAAACTTAGGGGAAAGGCCCAGGTAAAACGACTTACGCTGTATACTATAAGTCTTTGAGCCCCAATTCTAGTATCATATATGGGTGATTATGTACTTACCTACGGCTTCATCGTAGTTAAGACACCGTCCGGGCTCGCCAACAACTGAATCGTACGAAGAGGGAGGCTTTGCGAATCACTGTCAGTATGATTTACGGCAATATATTCATAAAACGAATTACCTGAGTGAGAGTAGAATCTCCGTCGAGAAGTTTGCAAACCTTGCCCATGACGACTTCGCTTAGGATCAGAGCTCGATAGTTCGAGCCTCCCAGGTTTTTGATGTAATCCTTCGCCTATGAACGACACTTTAGCACTACACTCTCTGTGACGTGCAGCCCAGTCGACTACCTTGGAGGAGGTGGCTGAGGTGTATATACCCACACCAAATCGGCCATTCCGAACTCCAGTATTCTGCCCTGCTTTTACGACCTGGAATGAGTTCTGCGAACAGACTATCAGCTTGTGTGCGGGAATGTTTGGAAGTCAACACTGACTTGCAAAATGTTGCAAATCCAGCAATTGGCATTGGCGCAGAAGTCGGTATGCTGTGCGTCATCTCCAATACGACAGTAGCGAGTTGTTCCATGCCAGCGTCTTCTGGAATTGCCCACAGAAGCTCTACAGAGCGGATTTATATCATCTGGGTGTAGGGGGGGAGGAAGAAACCGTACTTGTACGCCAGAAAGCTCTTCATGTGGCTCTGAGGAGGATATGTTTTGTACACCTGGTTGGGGTTTAGCATCTGGGCTCAGTCAATTTGCAGCTGATATTCATACTTTGACGACGGAAGGTGGGTTCGGTGTGTGTTTCCACTGGTCCTTGAATTGATCGGCAACTTGATTGGAAAGGAATCTATGAGCCAAGTATCCAGCCGACAGCTAATCAATATACTCACCGTTCCGATACTCGTCCTGAGAATTTGGCACTTCGAGGATGGCAGGCGCTGACACAGGAGTTAGCGATTACGCGTGGAAGAAGCACGACAAACGAGACTTGCAAGCTCGGTAGACATCATCTCTGCACTTGATGGAACAAAAGTCACTCAACCTCCCGCCCACGAAAGCTCTCGGGCGTTGGCCGCAACTGCGCAACATACATGAGGTGGGAACAGTAATGTGCGGGGTGGCCGAAGCTTACAGGAGACACTTGCCGGCCCCTGCGTTCTGGCCAGCTGCAGTAGATGCTTGTTGCTGATTACCGCCATTTCCGCCTTGTGCGTAAGCGTTCGCGCAGGTACGACCGCAAAAGTCGTGAGCTGTGAACAAAAATAATTAGATCGAGCCGTAGTTTTAAAGAAAGCGCCAACCTCTGCTTTGATCTACATAGACGGGTTTAGCTTGGCAGTTCTGCAGAATGCACCTTAGCATCAGTTATACGGAAGCAGAAGAGTGACGGTGTACCTTGCAGAGCTTAGACTGAGACTGCTGGGGCTGCTGAGACTGTTGAGGCTGAGGCTGCTGAGTCGCCGCCCTCATATGCGAACGAGTGCAATACTGCGACGGTTGTCCATTTGCACCTACCCACACAGGCGCAACACAGCCTGGGAGAGCACAGGTACTAGCGGAACTCATGATAGAACTGGGGTAAGAGGTGCGGGATGTTCCCGACCTCGGTACGTATCTTATAATGATGATAATTAAGATAGGGTTTTGTTAGTGGACCGTATATAACTAACTGAACTTATTCGCACCGTTGAGCCTATCGAGGAAAAGGCTCACTGAAGGGGGTTGCACGTTAGGAGCCATGCCGCGCGCCGCGTGAGCATCCATTTGCCAACTGGTACGTACCATATGGGGGAGGATGTCGCTGGTTTCCCCAGATTGCATTCGGACACGAGCTCTACGCATGTTAACTGCGTGGCTTGAGAATGGAAGAAGGAAGTCGTTAGGCTTGCTCCCACAGCATGCTGATGAGGACCCAACCTAGGACAGCCACGGTGGGATACGATTTCGGCGCGGCATCAGTCCAAGCGTCTCTGATCAGCGGCAAGCCGTTCATATAACGACAGAATGCTTCCAAAAGCACTGCCTTGTGCTGTAAATCAGCTTGGAATGACATATACGGGTCAAAGTGACGATACTCGTACCAATCCTACGGCACGCTTGAGATAGGGACGGTCTTCGGTGCTTGTACAGCCGCTTTGTATGCTAAGTCAGTAGAGAAAGTGCCACACAGCCATTAATATTGTGCGCGGTAATTTCCGGCCCTGCTGTCTGTGCCCATCGTGAGCGTTTTCTGCTGGGCCCGCCCCGCCATGCGCGGAGCAATATCTCGGCGTCTATGTAAATCTCGGAAACCTCCGGGGGTTGTTTCGGTATTTTTATCCTTATGGCACTGTAGTAGAGTCGGATTGTACATGAAGCCCAGAGAAGATGGGATTGGCGTACGTGTGTTGATTCTAGGAGAGTCAGCGTGCAGGACCTATTGCATATCAACCTCCGCGGCAGCCCTGGGAATTATCACCACCTAGTATCCCCAGGCCTAAGTTCTACAGTGGCAACGGTAGGGCTTTGAAGGTCCGACGACGCATCGAGGGTTTAGCATTTTGCACACTGAGGGCTACAATTTGAAGTTCTCGGCATCTCCGACGGTCAAACTTATGACCGAATGTCTTGGAATATTGGTTCGACAAGGTTGCTACCTATTGAGCTCTCCTCAATATCTACATTCGCAGGAGGCTCGCTCCCACAAGAATCATTAAATACGTTGGCTAGGCCTGCTCGCAAGAGACACAAGTTACAGTAACAGACTAGCCCAGTGGTCCGAGAGTAAAAGGCGGGTTCAAGCAAGTAGTTCATGCCGTCTGCAGAGGTTCATCTGAAAAGGACAAGATATACCGGCCTAATTGCCGCGTCCTGTTTCGGTAACATCAGTGGCATGGTTCGGAGCTGGGGCCAGCGCGCATGCTAACTTACCGTGTAAACTGGTGTCGAAAGAAGTAAGCACATAGCATACGTGCACGAACGAGCAGGACGCACCGACGCATTCATCGTAGTTCAGATCTGTCCCGGGTACACCTTGAACGGAGTCGTAGCCCGACGGCGGCTGTTATGCCTCGCCTGAGTATCGTGGTATTGACATGAATGATATCCATAGCACTAACCCGTTTGAGGCTTGAGCAGTTGTCTGTCAGGCACAGTGGGTTGCCTGCGACAACCTCATTGAGGAGCAAGGCGCTATATCTAGATCCTCCGCGTTCTTGGACGTAGTCATAGGCCTGTTTTAGCAGCTGTATTAAGACCAAATTTTACGGAGATTACTCAATCACAGCGCACCTTCGAGGAGGTAGAGGACGTATAGATCCCTGAGCCAAAGCGTCCCCACGATCGGCGCTTTCCCGACCACGATAGATCGTACGACCACTGTGAATCATACAGTCAGTCGGCCTGCAGTAGTTCCGATAAAATACTTTATACATGCCTTCATGACATTACAGAGCGAACAGTCGCTTCTCGAGCAAGGGGTCAGTCGCGATGAGTCGTCTCCAACGCGACACGCGCGAGCCGTCCCGTGCCAGCAGCGTATCACATTCCCATCCGCGTATCCGATACGCCGCCCCACTTCAGCCCTATCAACCACCTGTGAGCCAACATCATACGATACCAGACATACAACCTTACCGGTAGCGATCAAATCTTGCGATGTGCTGCTTGCTGCAAGTGACCCTGTAAACCTGGAAGACGGTCATCATCGGGGATGATGCATATGCCCAGCGACCGCGAGACCTGCCTTGTGGATTGTGGGAGGCATAGGAGTGTGTTGCCACTGACACTCGAACTGAGCCTGAACTGCAGAAGACATTTCATAGTTCAGATTGGCTTGAACGTCTCTATGATAATCAAGCTTACCGTCCTCGAAGGCGATATGCGAACGCGGGACCTCGACAAGGGTACGGCCCTTCTCGCTGTCCTTGAACGAGACGGAACTATCGGCTTCCCAGACGAGGACACCTTCCTCCTCGGACGAGTCTTCCTCAGAGTCGCAGGAGTCTTCTGACGAATTGCCTTCGTCAGAATCATCCTCGAGGTAGCCATCGACGTCTTCGCACAAACGCTCCAAGTCGTCCAAAATGTCCTGCATCGAAGGCATGAGGGGCAATCAAGCGGTGGGCTTGAGCAATTCTCAGCACAGGTGCCATGTATATATCCCCAGGAAAGGAGGTAGCGAGATAGGTTTGTCGGATCAGGTATTTGGAACCCCGCAGCCAACATCCCGGGCACATGCAGCCGTATTTCGTGAAACTGAACAATATCAGAAGCCGCAACAGCGTCCTATTGCAACGTCAGATCGTCGCAACGCTTCGCACGTGCATAGTACCTGCGTAGAAGCAGTGGCGGTACTTTATTGAACCCTAATTCCATAAGAAGTTAGATTCCGACCTGCGCTGGGAATGAAACCGATGCTGCCTTACCGCGTTCCGCTCAGAAGTCAGGGGAATGAGGATTGCGGCATCCCGAAGGTCATTGCATTGGCTGTGAACGGCTGCTAATGATGGATGGTAAGAAGATGCAGCACGTTGCTGATGCGCGGCGGTAGCATGCAAGGGGCGACACATCCGCCTAGAAAAATACCTTCGTCTAGGATCTTGAGCCCATCGACAATGACCATGAAATGGTGGATAGCAGCTTTCTTGGCCCCTGTTGCCTGCTATGCGGTGTATCGAGGCATAGTCGGTACGTGTGCACTGCCATTGCGACATCACTACGGTGCTCAGGGCTCGCCGGGACATTAGTCCAAACGCAGGGGCGTGCAGAATGCGAACAATGCCAAAGGCGCAAAGCTGAAGAAAGGAAGAGGCGTGAAAAAGATAGCAGAGAAGAAGGGCAGAAACGCGGCATACATGATACAGAAGAAAGGGAGATACGACGCGAACAGGAAACGCCCGAATGGTCCGCGCAGCAGGACAAGACACCTATTCTGTTTTACGAACGAGGTCAGCCATACTACGAGTACGTCAATCTGATATTCGTGGAGGGAACATGCATACTTATATTCTAACGACAGGTTTACCAATTTCGCGCCGTACACGGTTGAGTTCGACGGAAAGGTATATCCTACGTCCGAGCATCGTAAGCAACGCTGTATGTTCTCCATCGATGCTGCTGACCAATTCATAGTATTCCAGGCCTACAAGTTCCTGAATACACGCCCGGAGCTCGCAGAACGCATCAGGAGTGCACCCAGTCCGCGCGAGGCTCTTGAGGAAGCCACGAGAATGCGAAAGCTCCAGCGCAGCGACTGGTTCGACGTCAACATTGGTGTTATGGAGCAGCTTCTAGAAGCCAAGTTCACACAACATACCACTCTGCGCGACCTGCTTCTCGGAACAGGAGAAAGGGAGATTGTCGAAGCTAGTCCAGTAAGTAAGATCAATTGGACAGACGTACGGGCGATCATTTTCTGTCTCCCCCCTACAGGTGGACGCATTCTGGGGCTTTGGAAAGGACCGCCAGGGTAGAAATGAGCTAGGAAAGGCTCTGATGCGATTAAGAGATAAGTTACGTAAAGGTGAAGACAGACAGACCGTAGTGCCAAAGACCCGCTAGTATGGACAAGCCTGTCGCCTTGGATGGTCTCGAATAATTTATTATGATATAACCTTGTAATTTTGATTTGCACGAAGAATCGTCGGGCGGCAATCTATGCTCCCACGATGCCTACGTGAGTCTGCATCACGAAGCCGCCGTGAGGTAGAGCTTGAGCTGCTACACTGGACATCTCATCGTGCGAAATTTGCAAGACAGCCCAATCATGTGGAAATGGCTGCTTTCATGGTTGTCGCAACCAAGTGTCGAGTACCAGCGAAGATGGCCTGAGCACCGAGAGGCCAGTCCTCGCGCAGACGGCAATTCAGCGCATACGCGTCGGACTCGTAAGTGGGATTTGTACCTGCTTACGAAGCGCGAGGGTAGAAATTTATCAACTCTAGGCGTTGCGGAGAAATCAGTAACACGGTCTCCCATCTTTTTCTACGACAGGGGCCAGCCATACTACGAGTAGGTCTGGATGTGCCGCAGAGTGATGAAGCGTTGACAGAATCCCAGGTTCACCAACTTCTCACCTCACTCCGTGTGGTATGATGGAAAAGAGTACCCTACGTCCGAACATCGTGAGCCCCATTTGCGTTTCCGGTGACATACACTGTTTGCTTACGTGCTTCAGTATTCCAAGCGCACAAATTTTTCAACAAGGCCCCTCACCTGGCGGAAACAATTCGGATGCAGCCCACGTCAAGGGCAGCTCTGGAGGAAGCTAGGCGTCTTCGCCGCCTTCAGCGGAGCGACTGGCTCAAAGTGAACATTCACTGCATGGACGCCGTCCTCGAGGCGAAATTCACGCAGCATCCGCGGCTGCGCAGCATGCTCCTCTCGACGGGCGACCGAGAACTAGTTGAAGCGAGCCCTGTGAGTGACAGCCATTCTTCCTCGGCGCATGACGGTAACCAGTGGACGTCGCGCTATAGGTGGATGCATTTTGGGGCTACGGCGCGGATAAGCAGGGGCGAAATGAGCTTGGGAAGGCTCTAATGAGGCTCAGACAGCAATTTCGTGCTCAAGAAGTGATGGTCAGAGGACGCTTGTAGCTTGTAAGCTTGTCAAGAGCCTTCAAGTTGCTGTCAGCGGGCGTCTACAATATGTTGGCATCAGTGTTCAGTGGTGTCCCAAAAAGGCAAGTCTTCCAGTTCGACAACGGCCCGGTACAGTACAGTCTCTTTGTATGTCTCTGGACTTCCTGAACCTCCACGTTCATGTTATATATATATACCACATGCATAAGAATGAGATCAGCTAGATTGCAGATCATTTCTTAAAGCTCTAGCAGGAACGAGCGCAGGCTCGGTGTTCAGTACGGCTGGCCTAGAACGAGCAGGTCGAGGCAAATGCGTGAGTAGATACTGTGGTGACTATATAAGGATCGCAGAGCTGGGTATGTCATGTTTGAGAGTTCAGCCAGTTGACGAAGGCTGGTCAAATACATCTCCTCAAGGCGCAGATCCCCATTACTCCTTTTATTGACGTTGGCTGGAAGCAAAAACGCTGCCAGACCTAGCGACTCCCCATATAACAAATATCGTAAACATAAAAAATCGTACATCTCTGAGTCAGCGCGCACGGCTGGCGAAACTCGTGGCTGGTTCTCGGGCGCAGATATACAGCAGATTTTCTTGCAAATCTGGCAACCCAACTTCAGCACCGCATTATTGCGATACGAGAAGCTGCAGTACTGCGAGAAGGTACCACATGTATCTCTTCTTATTACCTTGGTGGAGCGGCGGGCGCACATGCTGCCTTCAGTGCAGGTCCAGTGGGGATACATGACGGGTGCAGGCTAAGGTCGACGAAATGTCAATAAGGCGCAAAATGTCAATGAGGCGCAAAATGCCAGTGGCTTATAGCCGCAGAACAAACTTTGCACACTCTAAGGGTTTGCGTCGGATGCTATTGAGAAGACAGGCGAGTTATGATACATAGTTGCCCCGGAAATATGCTGGGAAGACAGCTGTCAGCATGCGAGCGTGCTGCTATCAAACCATTTGCATAAGAGGCACACTGCGCACTGTCCTGGCGCCGTTCGATTTTGCTAGCAACCATGAAGATCTGATGAATTTTGGTGCCAGTGATGCCAGTCGTGGCATACGTTGCGGTGCGACGGCCGACGAGGAGGCTGCTGCTACCCCAACAGAAGTTACGGGACGCGTGTTGTACGTCGCTCTTCCACTGCAAAAATATTGACAATAATGTGGAACCGCGTTAGGGCCATTGGAAAAACCCAATGTCTATGAGGAGCCACCAATTGTTTATTCCAGAGGACCATCTTCCATACAGGCTTACGCGTCTGTCGATCATATGAATGTTTCACGATATGTACTGACATCGCTGGGAAGGCTTTAGTCACGGCGCGCAGTATCCTGTACGGTTCAACGGTAAAGTATACCCTACGGCAGAGCACTGTAAGTTCTAATTGGTCGTAAGCATTGTCAATACCAGCCTCTCAATCACCTTGTAGTATATTAAGCGCATAAGTTTCTAGCAGCACGCCCAGATCTCGCAGAGTGCATCCGGAAAATGCCTACTGGGTCCAAAGCTCGAGAGGAGGCAGCCCAACGGCGAGAACATCGACGCTCTGACTGGTTCGACGCGAACACCGGGTTCGTGGATCAGATCCTAGAAGCCAAATTTGCGCAGAATGCGGGCCTTGAAGAGTTCCTACTCGATACGGGTAGCAGTGAGATTCACGGAAGTAGCTCTGTCTGATCAGTCCTTCATCGCAACGAAGTTGATTCGATGTCTGCTGACTTTGCCCTAGTTCGACTCATTCTGGGGCATTGGTATGGACCGCATGGGTCCAAATGGGCTTAGTAAGCTCTAATGAGACTGAGGGCAAGGTTTCGTAGACAAAAGGAGGCAGAAGTGAGGGCTAAAAGTACTAGCGGCCGATAATGCGCATAAATAATCGTAGTCACCAGCAGGCGGAGTCGGTAGCACTGCTGAAGGCGAAGCTGCGCAGAAAGGGATGTCTATCTCGTGAGTGATTTCCCTTCGTACAATGATGATTGAGAGAGCTGCGACCTCTGAGATATGCCACTACACCACCAACTTTCGCCCAGGTAGGGTCCGTACCAATGCCCAAAGCGTGAGCCACCTGAGCGCCCGGATGGCTGAAGCGTCTCCGCCATATGGTAACCAGACAGCAGGCAAGACCCGGCCACTGCCTGGTCAATCGGATGGTGACCAGGTAGGCGGCCGTACAGTGGACACCTTACAGGCCCAGTTGGTTACCGGTCGTACACTGTACAGGTCATTACGAGGTCCTCAGATACAATAGTTGTGTGCCGTTGGTATTCAATATTCAATGCTTTTAGTCTGGCTACTAACATGAATATTGACATGTTTACACTCTCTTGCGCTTGCGAGAGGGCCCGGAGTCTTCGTCCAAGCTACCTACATCTGAATCACAGTAATCCGTACGTTCCAACTCGCCCTCTTCAAACTCTGTGTCCAATGACACCTCACTCATCAAGTCCGTGTCAGAGTCTTCCGAGTCTTCGTCCGGCTCACCCCCGTATTCTAACTCGTCGTCACTAGCAGATTGTGCCGCAGCTTTTTGGCGAGTTTGCCGCGAAGATTTTTTCTTCTTTGAAGGAGCAGGACGCTTCTGTGTCAATCCAGGCTTACCGGCACGTTTCTTTGTTCCAAGCTGTTTCGCCACCTTGGCCTTGTCCGCCTTCTTGGCTGTGTTGACCTCTCGAAGCCGTTTTGCTTGCTCCTTGTGTTTTGCCCATCGATCCGGATATAGGAGAACTGGCCTAGTCAACTGCCGAGGAAGGACAGCGCGCAAGAGGTGCGCATTGTGGAAGCCGTGCATGTTGATTATAAACCAATCTGCTGGTGAGTGCTTGTGTTCTAGGTATCCCTCTTCACGTCCTGATGCTTCACGCTCCTGGACAGCCATGCGCGTGCCCGAAACTGTGCAGTTGGCGGCCGAGCAGTCATGCTGGGAATTGAATGCAAACTCGACGGTCTGTCAAATATACTGTGGTGAGCAGCAGTTGTAGTGGTATACTTGCTCCGTACCTTCGCAGGAACTACTACAAGGACTGACTCGCCATTTGGCCGATATAGGTAGGGCATATTCCACAGAGGATGACGCTGTTCGGCAACAGAGAACCTTTCGATAACCACCATCGTCTCTGGCTCTGTTCTCGATGTTGAGATCAAAATCTCTATGATGGTTCCTACAAGAAACTCATTGTTCTATGGTCCCGATGGCAGGTAAGTTGTTTGTGCTCCATTGTCTTCTTTATACGTAACGTACCACCGCAGGTGAGCGGGCAAACACCCAAAAGCCGGGTAAACACTCCTCGGTGGATTGCGCGATAACTGCCCTTCCACTGACCCACTGTGAGTTCTCTTTGCTGCTGTCATAGTATATGGCTTTTGATGCTTTGGTTTGCGACAGCAGCAGGACAGGACGGCACTTTTCGCCTTTGAGCTGATTCAGTTCGGCGGCCCAGACACAGGAACTCATTAAGTTACACCGGACTAGCCACCAGAAGCGCCCAAGAGCGGCTAAGACACGCTGAAGAATTTCCGAAAAGCCCAAAAAATGGCACAGGCGGGAATCGAACCCGCGGCCCGAAAGTAACAGCAGCATGCTATAAAGCATAAGACCTTGCAAATGTAAGGCTGGAATTGCCCTATATTACCACTTTTCTACCTCAAAGTCTTAGCTGTAATATTGTAGCCAATTATCAGGTATTAAAGCATTGGAATGTAATTGTACAAATGTATATCCTGATGGCGTGGCTAAGACACTGACGTGGCTAAGACACCAGTGTGGCTAAGACATTGGAACATTAAATATTTGCTATTGATTCCACTTGAGTATAGTTCATCTGCTCCGGTGTTTTAGCCACACTAGTGTCTTAGCCACGTCAGTGTCTTAGCCACGCCATCAGGAT